TACGAGATGAGGACACGTACGCGATCAGCCGTGGTAGCAAGCTGCCTGAGGCTGCGACCTGGATGCGATCCGACGGCCTCACAGCTACTGACTGGGCGGTCGTTACTGAGTATATCGATGTGTTGAAGCCGCTGAAGTCTGCAACAAAGCGCCTTGAAGGACGTGGCAGAGACGCTGACGGTCGCGTTGGAGGTGGCCGTTACGGCGCTATCGCTGAGGTTATCCCAGTCTTTGAGTATATACTTACTTACTACGAGCAGCGCGTTAAAGCTTACGAGTCCGTCGACTATAACGCGCACAACGAGGCGCCTGAAGACCATCTCTTGATTAATCTCCGCGCTGCCTGGGCGAAGGCTAATAATTACTACAACAAGCTCGACCTCTCACCCGCGTACTATGCTGCAACTCTACTTCATCCGCGCTATAAAACGTATTGCGAGCTTGTCTGGGCGGACAAACCTGAGTGGCTAGAGGCTAACAACTGCGCGTTTCGCGCGCTTTGGGCAGAGTACAACACCTTACCACGCGCGGTAAGACGGCCAAAGGTTATCTCTAGCGAGATCGACGACGCTATTGAAGCCCTCCTCGACCCAGACGGTGCCGCGGCTGCTATTGATGGCGATATAGATGAGTATGAGAGGTGGAAGGCGCGCGAACCAAAGGTCAACAAGGACAGCTACGCTGCCGTTCACCCTATTAAATACTGGGTAGGCTTGCGTGATCGCTACCCCAACCTTGCCCGGATGGCTATTGATGTGCTTTCTATACCTGCTTCAAGCTGCGAGTGCGAGCGCATGTTCAGCGAGCTTGGCGACCTCCTTGAACCCCGACGGCGGCAGATCTCACCCCAGTTACTAGCAGCTATACAGTGTGTACGGCGGTGGTATAGGGCTGGTTTTGATCAGTGTAGTAGCAGTGCGACAGCAACACTAACTGACGCTGAGATAGACACTATATACGGATTGTGCGATTGGGATCGTGAAGATGAGTAGTTAGTATAGGCAATTAATCTGTATAACTCCAAGCCAATCAAGCCAATCAATCAAGCCTCAAGCTAGTACTGCAAACAAGCTAATCAATCAAGCCTTTTGACACAATGTTCAAGCCTCAAGTCAAGCCGGAGGCTGAGGCTTGATCGGCTTGATTGTTGACAAGTCTGGTTGGTTCGGCATGGACACACCTTAATAACGTATCAAGGAAGCTGAAATATTCGCAACACTTAACGAAGGGCCAATCCCATCGCTTTCAAAGGATTTCAAGAAACAGGACAGAGGAGGGATTATCAGCAGCAGCCATCAAACACCATACCTTCCTTAACCAGGTCCTCGATATAGACTCCAACTACCATACGCTGTGCATGATTGCTTTCACGCAAAACCAAATCGAATCTACAAGAGCCACTATACTTGATGAGCTGATTGAAAGGATACGAGAAAGACAGAACGATCCATTGGTCATATCTTCCAGCATTCGATCACTGACAGCGGATTTGGAGGAACGTGGAACGGTGCAGCCGCCTCAAGAGCCCAGCCAATGGCTAGCGAACGCCTCAGAGAAATGGTTCGTATTCACGCATGCTCGGCTAGAAGGAACACGAGAACTTCTCGGCGAAGACATGGTGCATAAGATCAAAAGTTCACATTTAGGAGATGACTGGCGAGCAGTGACAATGCACTTTCCTTCTTGGCCAACACCAGAGAACTTGGACTCTTGTTTCATGAGACTGGATATTCGAGAAGAAGACGTGGAAGAGCTTGCAATGGCGCTTTTCAACGTCAAAGTAGAATGGGTTTTGGGCGTTTGGCAAATCGTCTATGGAAATGGGATGGTGCAACTTATACCTCAATCCGAATTTACTCTAAAAGGCGTCTTGGACGAAGATATCGTTACGGTTTTCAAGTCGGAAATACATGGCGCTATCACTGAGTGTCCCATACGAGTGGGAGAACGAGCCGAGGGGAAACACCGAACGGAATGTGTCTCAATGGCTTTTTTAAGAAAGGAGTGCACAATCACTTTGATAATGGGCTTAGACAGAGGTATTGAGATTCAGAATAAGCTCAACTAAAAGATCGCTGCGTAATACCACGCCTTTCTCAAGCCTCTTTCTCTACAAATTGTCCTCCCAAGATATATAGATCCCAGCTTGAATCAACCTTCATTGACCCATTCGGTGAGTCAGAAAGTGGTGTATGCTTCTTCGGTCCTTCGCCATCCTTCTCAATCACGGTGACTTTGCTGGACTTCCATTCGATCACCTGTCCCCTGCCTTTTACCATCTTTACACTGTTCGAAGGCACATTCGTGAAATCTGTACTTTTGTCGGGCGGTTTTACATCTTTGAGATCAAAAGCCTGAACGGTGTTAATATAAGACTTGGAAGAGGCGAAGAGGCGTACCATGAGAGGTCTTTGGCGACAAAAGTGCGAACAAACTTGGTAGATCTTCGCTCACGCGTCTGTTGGTTTCTGGTTATAGAGCGGTGCGCTTGCGTGGGGAGATGTTGATCGAAGGAACGGCACAGATGGAATGCGCAATGCCGTGCCGGAAAATGAGTGTGAGATTTGACGCCCACAAGAGGTGGTCGGCTGCTATATGGCTACTGCCGGAGGAGTTTAAGGTAGTAGAAAACTGTTGGCGGGGTCGTGGAGCCATGTAATTTGTCGCAAGCGTCAGGCACCAGCACACGTACTTGGGCCGTAGAATAAAATGCGATAAGAGTGAAACCGAAGCATGTAGATTGCTCGCTCTACTCGTAGAATATTATATAGCTGAGAGCTTCACTAGAGTTTTAGTAGTCATGCCACAATGCTACTTTTGCGTCCGCGTCTGAAACGGCCCAGAGCCGCCGTTGCCCCGCACTATCACGTGATACAGGTTCCAGGTAGTGTCACCTTATTTTGCCAATTGTTTTTCGTAGTAATGATGTGCCATAATGACAATCAATTTGAAAGCATTCTTGTGCACTTATTTGTGCAGTTAGTCGTACTAATTATAATAACACTGACTATACTGATGAGTACGCTATGCACCTAGCTGTGCATTCGACTGTGCACTTGATTGTGCACTCGATTGTGCAGTTAACTGTGTACTTGACTATGCACTTAGCTGTCCACTAATACATATACTGGAGCGCCTTAGCAATATCCATACGAGGGACTATAACAATGTCATGATATGATGAAAAGCAGCAGTAATCGCGCGTGGATGTGGATCGTGGAAACAGGTACTAAGTACCGCACTCCTCTTTCACACCTCCATCCTTCATGCCTATCCTACTAAGTTTTTAAGGTGTATATTCATCTAAGAACATTCTTAACAAGGATTACTAGAAGCGATCGCTAATACGTATGCTGAGGAACGAACTAATGCATACATAGCCCGTGCATTTTGGATTCTCCGCTTCCCAGTATTCTGCAAGCCCCTTCACACTTGCAGGCAAGTGTTTGTTGCTTCTGCAGACGGCAATCGTATCAACGTGGAGAGGAGGCGTGGTTGTAGGCGATGAGAGGGGCGCATGTACGCTGTACAAGGTGATATAAAGTCCGTAGTCGATCTCCAGCTCTTCCTTTTCTAAAGATCTCTTCTTCACTGCGCAGTTACTTTTATCCAGTTCAATCCTCCGACACCTTCGACGCCCTCGATTTCCCGTTCATTCTCAGCCCCCTTCAGCGCAGGGCCCCTCGTACACCCACGGCCTTCACTGTACGTTATGAAGCTTTATTTCAGGACTGAGATAGCCTCTAGGTGGCCTGAGGCTCAGCTTTTCCATAATAGGCACAGCATCCAAATGCAAGCTAGTAGAGTCGGCGCAGCGGTTGCTTCCTTTGAGCACAGCCTGACTTCCACAGCAGTCTTTGTTGAGTCACTATGTCCAACTCTCAAGAGCCAGGCCGACAGAACACCAATCTTCCAGCAAGACAGCCCGCCACCTCACAGCAATCCACCGCTCTTAATAGCCGCGACCAACCCGCAAATGGAGCTCCCAGCATTCGTCCCTCCTATACAACGGCAGATTTAGGATTACGAAGAGACGGTACTCAGACGCGCCCGACAGGTAGCGACAAGCGCGTAACAAATGGTGTATAGTATAAGTCCATAAGTCATCGTGTTCGAGACAGTGTTGTTATCAAGGCGTACAGAGCTATCTCGCGTTAGCTGGCTATTATCAGGTGGTCATGCAACAGTGATAGAAACAATGGATCTTGAGATTACTCAGCCACTTGAGCAAATATAGGCTATACACGTGATCCCAGCTACGATATTTGCGTTACTATCTGGGGTCATTGATGCCAAGTGTCCGGAGCGAGGTCGGCTCCCGACGTGCACGGTCACTTCCCACATAGCACTGCACCTAACATACGGTCATGTTTCTTGGTATAAGACATCGCCGGCTGCACTTTGACATTAACGTCGCCAGCCAGCATGCGACGGAGCACCATTAAAAAGCGCTGACAAACGAAGCTGAAAGACATATGGGAACACAGTCATGCACTGTATATAGTCGTTTGTTTGCGCTACCTCCCTTACCATATCCAGCTTTCTGTAGGGTTCCGACAGTATAAGGGGCCCATGTAGGCTTTTCAGTAGTCACCGTTCGTGATAGGTAGTAACTGATATTCAGAGTCAAGTAGACTTGCCGATGGCTGCGGTGGTAACGTGGGAGTTCGAGGGAACGAGGTCAACTTCCGTAATGAAGATAAACGATATTGTGAAGCCTATAAAATCTGCTATTGATTATTTAGAAATAACAGCCAGGTACTTGGCCAGCGTTTATCTTTGATGCAGATTTGGCGGTTGTGTATTGCGGGATAGTGCGAACAAAGAGGGTGTAGAAAGCGCTTTGTAGGTCTAAGTCAACGGATGTCAAAAGTCACTGAATATGAACCTTCAAGAGGAAGTAATAACTGTCCGGAGAGTCATAAGGGCGAGTGCGTGCACTGATCTTGGTGCGCAACAACGGTAGGTATTGGTGCCCAAGGGCATCGCAGCGGGCTATCTCATCCGTGGGGGCCACTCTGGACGCCGACCAGTGTGGATGTGTTGGAGCGGTCATATCTGTAGCGGCGGCCGTCGCCAGCCTCATACTTACGCTTGACGCATTGTGCGTTCTCGTCCAGGAGCCGTTGTTCGCACTGGGCTCCAATGGCCTGTTCGTCGTCTTGTTTGTCTTCGGTGTTTACGTGTAGGTGCGCATCTTCCTTCTTGACGGTTGGCTCTGGTTCGGGCGACGACTTAGCCTCTGGTGGCAGAGTGTCGAGGTCCAGTGGTGTGTGTACTTCCGCCTAATTTATTGAGACGGCGAGCGCGGCCTTGTCGCGTTAGTTGCCTCATGGCATGTGTCTTCCACTTGCCGGGCGCCGGGCCGAACTCGGGAAAGCTGTCGTAGAACTAATTGACCGCCTCGTCTCGCTCATCGGCCTGTCCCATTGTGAAATAGGCGCCATTGGACATGATTGCGCAGGCTGTCTGCTCGATGCGGCCCGGCCGCTCCAGGTTGGCGAGGCAGTCTTGTGTGATACTCAGGCCTTTGGCCAAGTCCTTCTTGTGCAGTGGAGTCTTGTGATCGTTAAATGGTGTATACCATTCGTTGGTGAGCCTGCCTATCTTCTTATGTCGCTTCTTCGCGTCCTTCTTGCGGCCACGCTCATCGTCGGATCCGCAGGCTGGGCGGCCGCGTCTGGTGCCCATTGTAGCAGTGTGTGGTCGGCACGGCGATCGGCTCAAGTGTAGGTGTCGCCACTGTCTGTAGATGTGTGGCGGGGCTCGCTGGTAGTCGCGGTGCTACTGCGTCGGTGCTGGTGATTTAAGTCTGGTGGGAGACGCGAGGTGCGGTTTTCGGCATTCGACGTGAGCAAAGAGTGGGTAGGACGAGGCGCGGTGACTGAAGATATGAGGACTACGTAGTGTGAGCTTGCATCGCTACGCGCAAGGCATCTCATGATGAACCGCAGACCCACCTTTCATCTTGCACCTCATTTGTCGCGTCATGCCCATTGTGAGTGTCCGTAGTTTGTTGGAGAGTATAGGAAGACTACCCTTCCCAGCAGGGTAGATGCATTGCTTGGTGACGGTTCAGCACCGTCAGGCTCTGCCATCGCCGGCGACGGTTGGCACGTCGGGTCGTGAAGCTGCTCATGGGCGTCGCTGTCGCTGTCGCTGTCGCTTCCGCCAGCCCAATATTGAGAGCAGTCTCGCTTTTCGGCAAAGCACCATGTGGGGTTGGTCTCTCGAGTGTTTCTACGGCCAACCCGTCGTTGGGGTGAGATTGCCTCGGTTCCGGGAACTGAGGCCGGCTGGCGCTACGGTGTCTTCGCGCCTTCCGCACTGCCGGTCGTCGGTTGCGCCTGCTTTCTCAATGCTTCATGGTGCTAGTGGTTTGGGTTGGTCTTGTCATTGCTTTGTGTGAGATGTCAGGCACGGTGATATACTGTAACCCTCTAGTGTTCTGCCACAGGTTCTAATCCCATCTTTCCTCTCGCGCTAGCACGTTCTGGGATTAGCACCAGGTTCGCCCCTTCGTACATAGCTCGCTCCTCCCATAGAACCAATACAACACGATTCAATCATGTTTCATATCTGGTCCTGTTGACATGAGAGGCTGTCTTGCCTACTAAATACTGGTGCTGCGTGCTCTTGAATCGGGGTGCGCGATAAGGCGGGTCTCCACGGCAGCCATAGTGATACGATAGTTGTGTGCAACGTTTACCAGCACCCCGCTAAGCGTGCCAAGAGCCCATGTGCGATCACTGAACGCTAGAACCTCTCCTGTCCATTGAGCAAGCGCTCCGTTCTACTTTAACACCATCTGCTAATGAAACCGCTTAATATTCACGCTCAATATGACTGTATGGCGGCTTTCATTAATATTTGTTCACAGTACGCTCTTTCGAACAATAAGATGTTCATGAGCCTCACTCATCTCCAGGGACTGTCTCCTTTACTTCACGCCGACATGGCAAGAATAGCAACATGCTGCAACAATTTTCAAGCAAGTTGCTAGGCAAAACAAGAGGTGAGCTACGCTGCCGAAGTATAGGTGCAAGACTGCTTACTTGTGCGCCTAGAAGCCACGTTCGACGCGTTGTATTCCCACTCTGCTGGAGGATGGCATCAACAAGACGATATTGTCCATCCTTTCAGTGGCTGCGGATGCGTTAATGACCACCGACACGTTCAAATTGGAACAGTCTGGACTTTCGATCTTGATAGCGACATCCTGCGCATGGATAAAGAGGGGCATCATGGTCAGATTCCTCTTGAGCTTGCACATCGGAATTCCATTGCAGCGTCTGACTTTGAATCTTACGATCGGCCATTGCGCCCCAAGAGTGTAGCGTCAACTATATTCCCACCACCGTACTCGGAACTGAAACGCCGTGATTTAGACCTATCGCTTTTGAAGCGACGCGAAGCATTTTGGTCAGAATCCTCAACGACTCTGCGTTTTAGTGGCGACATGTCCTATGCGGCCTACATAACAACTCCACGTTTCGTAGGCTTACGTACGCGGTCGTCAGAATCGTTGCTCTGGACTTTACGATTGTCGAAATTAATCTCCCTCGTCGCGGTACCGGTGGCTACTTGGTACGGCTACAGGATCTTCCAAATTGGGAGCCGTGGAATGGAGACATCATCCGGGTTGGTGGAGTATCTATTGTCATGTGCCAATATGTTGCCTATGCTACCAGGCTTATTCGAGCGGATTTCAAGAAATGGACAGTGCGCAATCTGAAGCAAGACCCTACTGGGATACCCGACGGATTTAGGACGTATCTTATACTCTCGGTGCACGAGCTCATTGTATATCAGATCAACAGCCACGTTGAAAGATATACAAAAGCCAAGCGTCTATTCGACAACACGGGGGCATTCTCTCCTGGGGCCGTTGACCTCCTCCTCAAGTCTACACAGCACCGTGCCCCTACGACATGTATTGACGATCTTCCCATTGAGTTGCAAGATATGATCCTGGACAAGATTGGCGTAGGACCACTTGAACGGGCCAAACTTGGCTGCAACCTCCAGATCGGACCTGTTTTTAAGTGGAAGTGTGACGACCGCAGCATAGAAAGGGAAGAAGGCCGTCGAAACAGAATCGCTGAGACACCAGTAGAGTCTCAGATCTGGTTTGATGGTTGCTTTAGCGGTGTAGCATATAAATAAAGGTGTTTATAATAATAGTATATCCCGCTCTATACGAACGGCAACGGATTTTTCTTAAGATATAGGCGCCAAGCAACAACGTCTTTGGCATGGTTAACCAGGTGCATGCTCCCACCAATCTTTTCCAATTCGTGCCCTTTAAACTTAAATGGGAGCGTAACTTTTTTTTATTTTTTTTTTTTTTTTTGGAATCGTTCCCATTTCCAGCGACTTGCTCTCGATGCTGAGCCTTAGTAGCGCTCCACAATTCCCCCACCCGCTTGCTTTCAGCAAACATAAAATCCCTTTGAAAGAGAGTGCCACCAGGCTTACGTAGGACTTTGAATACGCACCAGTCTGCGCAACTGACGTCGCCCTCAGCCTCCTGAACAACATCATACCCCTCGGCTGCGGTAAACAGGAAGCGAAGCATAGCTCCTATGGGTCTTCGATAGACATGCTCGTCAGACTCCAGCACTCTCCAGGGTAGGTCAGGAGCAGCTTCAACGTTGTTGTCGTTAAGGTAGGCTTTGTGGACGAGGATTGGGGTTGATCAGGGTTGCTCGCCCGGTCCTACTGTTGTTCCTAAGTTGTGTTGTTCAGCACGATTCGTAAGTCCGTAAGCGGTAAGCCGAGCACTACCGTATACCACTGTGGCGAAGTCTTTGATCCGTCCAAGTGGTTATGCAATCGTAATAGAAAGCATGGATCTTGAGGTTACTTTTTTACTTGAGCAAATATACGCTGTGCACGTGAAAGTGAAAAATTAAAAGGGTGGGCGATTGAAAATGCATGTGATACGCGGCTTAAGGGTTCCCCACTACGATGCTTGCGCTACTATCTGGGGTCATTGATGCCAAGTGTCCGGAGCGAGGTCGGCTCCCGACGTGCACGGTCACTTCCCACATAGCACTGCACCTAACATACGGTCATGTTTCTTGGTATAAGACATCGCCGGCTGCACTTTGACATAAACGTCGCCAGTTGCACTTTGATGTACTGAAAAAATGTCTCCTTACGAAACCGGCGAACAATCGACCCAAGCGGACGTCGGAGCGCCATTGCTCGCAAACCTTGCAACAACATCAACTGTACAAAAACATCTTCAGGAGATCGCACCACTCTTGGGAACGCAATCACATCTACAGGGCATAACAAAGCTGAAAGATGGGGTTTTTGCGTATAGGTGGATCTCAGAATTCCAGTGTCTTTGTACCGATGTTCTCAACAGCGTAAGCAGACAGTCACGTTACATTACTGCAAACAATGACAACGCTTCAGGACTATAAAGACACTGTAGCGAAAGCAGGCGCAGTGGTTCGAGAGCCGCAGCCGAATGAAAATGGCTACCCCCGAGCCGCGGTGCTACTCCTCCACAACGCCAGACTTCACACAAGTGACGATGAAATATTTCTCCTTCAATGCTTTCCTATAGACACGAAAACACACAAAGCAATCATTCATCGCATTCTGGAATTGGATCCCACGTTCAAAACTGCCAGCGTTACAGACATAAATACGAAGCTCTTTACACAGAGTCTTACAGTTCCTGCGATGAAGGGCGAGGCATCATTGCAGTCAGACTCGCTTTGCCTGGTACTGCAGAACGTCCGTTTGGAGATGGTACCGCAACTAGTTCCTTTTCTCCTCGTTCCCCGTCTCACATCCAAAGTCGAAGTAGCATAGCCAGGCGTAGTAAGAGACAGCTCATGCCTGAAGACTTTTGAGCCTGTAGCTAAATTCAATTTAAATTTCGCCGAAACAATAGCTTGTTTGATCATGTCCGAACAGATCTAACATTCCATAAGAGGGCAAAGTGGTGTCCTTGCTACAGTCAGCTCGATCCGCAGATGATGTTGTAGGCCGCTGACTTACCTCGGTTTCCTCTGAACTTGGTACAAGGTCCCCATCGGGGTCCATATGAGATGTTGGGCTAATTATCCCGTGCTCTATAGTGCCTGCCTCTTCGAAAGGTGATGCAGAGTTGTACTGCTGTTCCGGAAGAATAGAGATGTCCGTTGAGAAGCGCTGGCCCTGTGCTTGAGTTGTACTCCCATTGTCTTCTGGCATTAGGATTGGGCATACCGTCGGAGGCTGCACGTCTTCATTTCCGGAGACTCTCCGCCGTTTGGCGGTGTTTGTGTATGTCTCCGCAGTGGAACATAGTTGCTGGCTTTGTAGGGCATGACGAATGGGTACAGGTCCTTGTGAATCAGGAGACATAGTATGGGAGGGTGGTCTGACATCCATCCTGGTTTCAGATCCGGCGGTAGATCGCGGAAATGTATGCTGGGCGTGTTCGTTGCTGCCTATGTTCACGCTTTTTGGAAGTATCGTGTCACCTTGTGTAGAGCTTTTGATTTCCACGTGACGGCAAATCAACTTTGCTAAACGAGTGCATCCTTCTGCAATCTCGGCTACATTCACTCCTTGGGCCTGGAGACCGTGAGTAAACTCCTTTATCACTATGGAATCGAGTGCCCGGGATTGCTTTTCCGCTGTCGGGAGCATGTCTTTCCGGTAATCGCAGAGCAATTGTATATCTTCTTCACTGACTCTTTCTATACTGCGACGCGTCAGAGAATGCCGAATTTGGTTGTTTTTGTGCTTACTGCCACTTGAGGCCATTTATTGAACGCAGAGAACCTGGGCCTCCAATCTCTGCGATTTTCAAGTATCTACGAGAGAGAGTATATTTCTTAGCCACAGTCTTCGTCTCTATACCAAGTTCTAGAGCAATCTTTTCCAAAGCGGCGGTTTTGCTGTCACGCCCTTTTGAGAGGTGCAGTGGCTGCAATACTGCACATTGGTCGACTGCATCTCCAAAGAGAATGAGCCAATGCCGATACGCTGTGGTACTTTGGTTCGTTGGCTGCTCTATTCTCTCGTACATCGCCTTTGCCTGTGCAATCGGATCCGCCGAGGAGAAGCCATCATGGACTTCAGGTGATTGTGTTGTGATTTGAGCACCAGTCATATGTTGAGCGATTTCGTTTAATCTCCTTAATCTCTGTAAGCTCCTTTCTCCTTTCCCTGCAACGCGTTTTTCAAAGTACTCTTCGTGTGGTAGTCTGAGAGCATCGTGTGGCTGTTGTGTGGCTGCATCGGCGGCGCGGACCGGCACCCGAAGATGTTCGATAGCATTAAATGCATCGCGAGCCCCAACGTTTTCTGGAAGAATCCTACACCACTCGTGTATAGTCCCTCTTTGTATGAAGCCACGAAAACATTCAAGCAAGGCCTAAATATTGCTCAGTCATACACCAACCCCGACTCGAAAGGACCGGCTCACTTTGTTTTCGATGACATCGGATGGCTTGCACAGATTCAATGCTTGGATCAAGTCCTCCTGATACTCAGGAAATGCCATTTCTCTCGGAAGGGGGACGGTGGTGTTCGCAGATCCAAGGACGAGGGGGATTCCGAAAGCAGTTTGGATTTGAATGTGCGTCGCGCACATTCAAATCAAACTACTTTGGGAGCCTTCCGTCATGCGGGGACAACTCTAACCGTCTTTGCGTAAGCGTGAGTCTGTCATTCGGCGATTGTGCCAGTCGGGGTTTCGCCTCGCTTAAGCACATCACCTCCGCGCTTGCCACTCGCTTCATTACGGATCGGCTCCTAGACTCGAACGCTATGCATCAGCTAGACCCTGCACTTGACCTTGACCTTGTCCAATGTACCGGATCTCTTCCACCCACGACACTAGTGTTTGCAACGTCGTTCCTTGAGGCGCGGGCCGCCTGGCCTCCCTTCTGCTGCATCGACTGCCTCACTGAGCAATCTCCCCGCATGTGCTAGTTGCTTGATTACCATAATCAACCCGCGGCACCGTCCTAGGTGGCTTTGATTAGCGTAGTTTTCGATAAGCCTAGGCCCTTCAGCGCAGGCCCCGCAAACTGTGATGAGGCCTACTATGACCAAGTCTATCGTGAGATGAGAATGAGATGAGAATGAAATGTGATCGACCTGTGCACAGATAGGGTCTCTCTGGTTCACACTGAGGGTGTTCAACGCTTAGCCAGGTTATTGAAGACGTGCCGCGCGGATTGCCTCATACCCACACTCTCGTCCATGCCGTTCGTCGGCAAGCGCCCTGACTGGAGCGACCCTCCAGACAGCAGTGACCTCTCAGTGTCTGAAGCGTTGCCCAAAGGATGGCCTGGAGTCGGTTGGACGACTGAGATGCTCATATATCATGCAGCCTTCTGCAAGGCTGAAAGGTCCTCCATCCGTTGCTTTACCGCTCTTCCATGCTCAACAGTTGCCTTCTTTCGAACCCGATCTCCTGGGAAGATGGGTCACTATTCCGCAGCTGTGCCTCGGGCATGTGGCTTACCAAGATTTCCAACCCAAATTTCGTGGAACAAGAAAGAGACTAATCTTCAAGCCCGGCCCTGCACTAGAAAGCGGTCGTTACTAATTCCGATGGCATATCACTCTTTGGTTCAATCCACAGTTCTATTATACTATTATAAGTGTTCTTATTCGCCCATCGTCTCATACTCAGTTCCCTTCCTCCTCTCCGCCGAACTCCAACTCCGAACCGGCGGTGTGTATTTGTACTTCGGGTTGAACGGCGTCTTGCACTTGTCGCAGCGATACACTCCGTCTTTGTTGGGACCTAGTGCGATCGGCACTATGTTGCGACATTTAGCGCAGAACCAGTCTCCCTTTGATTTGGGGCAGTAGGCGATGCTGTTTAGGCAGCGGCCGTTGTGCGAGGCGGGGTTGGGGAAGTCGCATCCAGAACAGCGGTATGGTGTTGCTGCTGGCATTGTTGGTAGATTGGTATGAAGGCAGGTTTGAGTTGGAAGTTTACAAGCGGGCGAAGATTGTTGCTTCGTGAAGATTGATCTGTGACGAAGACGAGTTGATTGAGGATTGTGAGGTGTGGATGTGCTTGAAGTTATGTCGTGCCTGGAGACAATGTCGGGAAATGTGGTATTTAAGCTTGGTGATAGCTGAGTGGTATTTCTTTTGAGGTTCTTCTTCTTTCTTTCGGCTTCGTACCGATAAGTTGCTAAACATATGCAAAGGAAAGGTTTGCGCGTCGTGGGGTGGTCGGCGACAATGATTCGCACAAAGGGTAGTTTTTCGGTACTCTTCAACGGCCTTATTGGATACTTGGATATAAGTCTAATCTATTGCGGGCTGGCGGTTTCTAATACCCGTCTTTGACATCCCATCATCTCCAAAAGGTCGTCCTGGAAGCATATAGCCAAACGTCGAATGACCTCACATCACTCAAAGCGTCACTTTTTCGAACATCAATCCGAAGACAACCTCGTTCGTCCCGAGTGATGACCAGAGTTCTGAAGCAGGCGAGAGTTACTAGGGCGCACACGAATTTGGGCACGAAGGGATCGCCACATCACTAGCCAGGCTCTTCGCCAAAGCCTGCAGCTGGGGTGGAGTCACACAACCAAGGGTAACCCACCTCATACAGCACTCCTGTATACCAACCAGATACTTGTATTCGCCTATCGGATGCAAGCGCAACTGGCTTCGGGTTTGTTCACGCCACAGGCATAGCTATATCATTACTACTTGTTTTCAGGTGCTCATCAAAAGTGGGATACACTTTTTTATAGTATCGATCTATGGAAGAAAAGTCGGGTGCAGAATAGTGGTTGGGGGGTTCGGCGTCCATCTTCGAACGTTGTTCAAACAACAGAGTGAATTAATGCTAAAGGGCGGGTGTGTATCTAGTAGTACAAAGAAGCAAAGATCTGCAGCTTGTCGGTCATTCACATTGAATCTTTCTGCATCCTAAGAACCAGCGATATTCGATGGCACCTGTTCAGGAAACCGGGAGACCAGTTGCCCGGGCTTTTCGTTCAAGGTAAGGTGACTGACAAGGTGTTTGGTGCCGGAGAAGCCTCTCCTTCTGACCCTGGCAGATATACAATGCCATACAGATCAATGCATGTCAATTTCGTTATTTATATATTCTGAGCCGCTAACACAGGGCTTGAGCCTGCGTCGTTTTATAATGGAACCGGATGAAAGCTAACGCGGCCTCTACCGTAAGCCTCTCGCGCCATCCAAAGGACGTAGTCGTTGCAAATATGTGCAACCTGTCATCACGAGCGTCTCGGACTTGGGGCACATTTGGCGTTTCCGAATCGGATATCTGTTATCTCAGTCTCTAAAGATAGGGGCGGGGAAAGAAACATACCACAAAAGATACGTGTCAGATGAAGTAAGCGATACTGCATCGTGGACGGTATCACCTATGTATCACCTAAGTATCACCGATGTATCAGGTTTATGTTCAAAAAGGAGAGAGAACAGACCAACGAAAAAAACAACAATGATCAAGACATAATCTATCATCGCAAGCATAAACTTCTCCTGAGCTCATTTTTTTAGCATTTCATCCGACAATACGAAATGAGCCGCAATGGTAGAGATGACCGCATCTTTTCGTTCATCAGATTGGGAAGAGTCTTGCCAAATAGAGACAAATAGTCTATCAGAACTGGCATAAGTAAGACAGGACGGTTGTACGGCTGATAAAGACCCCATTCTTCTAAGCTCTTCTGTAAGTGGGGAAAGGATGCCTGAATTGTTGCTTCTATGTTGCTACGGTGACGTGCGAGCAGAGCTATAGGTCCTTTGCAGAAATCCGATGGTATAGGCATAAGAACAAATCTCTCTCGATGAAGAAATGCAGTCCAAGTCTCAAAAGCGAGGTCTTTACGGTAGGAGTAATCGAGCGTAGCAAGCACACTGCAAAAGTTGTCGAAGATCCTCTTGTGTGCGCGCTCGGTTGCTTGCACTGGACAAACGTCATGTCGCCGCTCACATAGGGCCTGCACGCCCTTCTCTTTCCAATGTAACAAATCGTCATGTCCAAGAGGAACGTTGTAAGGATTTGGGGGGAAATCCGCTTCATAGACGTCTGGCTGGACGAAGACGGCCAGGAATTCTCGGAAAGCTGGAATCTAGAACGTATCAGAATATTAGCACACACAATCTTTCGACATGACTTACAATAATCTGGTGATGATCAGGCGGCGAGTTGTTTAGTGATAGCGTTGAGGCAAAATCAAACATCCCGGCCAAGGCCATGCTTGATGTGGGGATAAGACAAAATGGAGGGCATCGAGCTTCCCTATGGTATATATATCGACTGCAAGCCCTGGGCGGTTAATACCCCTGTCTGTCTCAGCGTATGGATGGTCATTTCAATCGCCTTTTTAATTCGCGAGACTTCCGGCTCGAATTGGTACAGCATAGAGAATTAATTTATCCAGAAGTGGCAGTAAGAGAGTACGTATTGCAAGGCTATACATAGAGATTTTTAAATACCATCTAGACGGACATTCCTATGATACGATAAAAGCCAGTAAAGGTCATTCACCTCCTTCTGTCGCTTGTTCCGCGGGATTGCCAATTGAACTGGTATGATGGGGGTGGACTGAACCAAATCTTACCAATTCCATGCCTTACGGAGAACCATTCAGGATGTCTCAATGCAGGGGGCTTTGCGATCTCCGCGCTTTGTTCGATACCGTCTTGCTCTTCCTTTGCATTGCCGATTACGAGGGGGTGATATACGATATCTTGATATTCAATCGTCAAACTCTCGCCCCAGTCGAGAGTGGTCTATAGTAAGTTAGCTTAGTCGAGAGTAGGTTAATCAGAATTATATCACCAACCTCGATTTCCTCGTGGAATGCAGGAGTCCATTTCACACCGCGAGCTCGAACCTCCCTCATAATTACTCGCCTGCGAGGCTCACTCAGAGTGGCATCTCTTAATATGAACCTCGCGAGTTCATCCTTCTGCGTAATTTCTTGTAGTAAGCGAAGAGCTTTCCACTCCTCAGTGTTATGTTTCCGAAGCGTGTCGATGAGCAGTTGGAAATTGGTATCGTCAAACGAAAGACCCTTGTATTTGTAGATTGCGAGAATGGCGTCCTGTCCCCATTTATCGTAACGCTCCTCGAAAAGAATGTTAGCATCGTTGGGGATGGTAGGCTCGACGGGTGAGGCAAGCTCGGCGGGTGAGGTGGCGACTACAGTCGTCTTCGTAATTGCAACTCCCGGTCGCGGAAGCTGTTTCACGCTTGACTCTACTCTTCCAAGTTCGATATCGTCGCCATGCGCTACTGTAACGAGTGAATGTACGGCAAGGAAGAGGCCTATGGACGAGCAGCAAATAATGGTTAAGATAGTAATGGGTTCCATGGCAGCAACGGAAACGTCTCCAGAATAGTCAATGGAAAAGAAGCATCGACGATAACGTGCTTCTTTTGTAGTCCAACCCAGAAAGCTGTCATACTCCCATCTTCTCATCGCGGCGCCCATCTTGTGCATCACGGCGCTTCGGGTCTCATGCCCAGCGAACGCCATAATGGCCCGATCATCCCAGGTGTCGCGTACCTATCCGGCTCCCCATGCATAGCCAATCATCTCGTCTCATGGCGCTGCCTATTCTAATAAGGTATAAAGGCCGGCCCCCCTCATAGCATGGCGGCCATCTTTTGCAGTGTGGCCGCCATCTTCTACAGTGTGGCCGCCATCTTTTACAGTGTGGCCGCCATATTTGCTAATCTTTACAGCGTAGCACGTATTCTTAACTTCACAGCGTACCTCTTCTACAGCACAGCGTCAACACGTCGCAATCGTCGTTCACCCGACCGCCTCCGCGATGCCTAGACCAAGCAAAGAGTTGGATCTGGCGATCAAAACTATCCTAGCCACACCGAACGCTGAATTCAGTGTACGGACGCTTGCGAGACTCCAGGAAAAGTTCAGCAAGACCCGGTCTCGTACGAAACCCATGTCTGACAAGCCGACTGCTACCCTGTCAACGGAGATAGGTGATGAGTTCGTCAATGCCGTATGCCAAGCCGAAGAAGGCGCAACCCAGACCAGGCGTTTGTGGGAAAAGGTTAGAACGACTTTAACCCTCTGGGACATTGCTGGGAGTCCCGAGACACACAAAAAGTGTGAACTGTCTGCGCGTCAAAGGTTATACCTGGATTTCGCAAGCACAGCATTTGACATCGCGCGTCTCGATGAGCAAGGACGCGATTTCCTTTTGCTATTAGCATATGCAAAAGTACCGCCGATGCCTCAGGAAACACTCCATCTCTTACAACGAAAGTTTTCCTGGTTGGTAAGCAGCTGCACAAAGGCCAGAGTGCTTCTAGATGAATACTTCACCGAGGACAAGTTCCTGAAAAGAGTGTTCTCGGCACCTGCACGTAAGTTGCCAATACCGTGCATTAGCTGCATATGATACTGACTACGGCAAGCGAGCGTTACGCATGACGCGGCAACTACCAGCTCAGTACCAGGGGTCCGATCTGAGCATACCCTATCTCATCACTCATATCCCATTTACCATTGCTCAGGTCAGCCGCATGCCCTCGAGAGTGCTACCATGAGTTACTTCGAAATCGAAACAAACCCACATGCCGAGTTCGATCCCTGGGAAGGTTCTAGTATACCCTTCAATCAGCCCTTCGATCAGGCTTTGTGGAACGCGAATGCCAATACCACCAACCTCCCTGAGTTGACCGAGACTGAGAGTGGGTCATGGCAATGAACGAGCTGCGTATTACCCAAAGCCTCTCCGTTCACTAGAACTTCGGGATTATCAAGCTGGTCTACAAAGACGATAACGTAGGAATACGGTCCGGAAAACACGGTTGTTCCCGTCGCTAGGACAGCACCGAAGGAGTGAGACAGCTCTTCCTTCCAATACATTAGTAAAACAAAGTCTATGCTATTATTGTGAACATACTTTACATAGCTGCTCTATGCAGATTCGAATGCCCGCATGCCGATCGACGTTGAACGTGGCGTGGGATGTTGTAATTGTGACCCCGCGCGCGTAACTACGTAATGTGTCATCGCATAAAACCAACACCAGTTTTTGGAGGTCGCTTGACGGTTTGAGCTTTGAGATATGTGCGCTATTTCGGGATTGCATTGCGATCTGAACTCCTGTTTTTACGGTGTTTCGTGTTGGGATGACCGCGGATCTTGTTGAGCGTGACGTAGCAAGAGCAGCCGGTTGAGCCGTGCAGCAATTGAGCCACGGAAAGCTTGGCATACTGCAACTGGCTTGCGAGAGTTCTTCCAACACCAGTCGAAAATGTTGCTGCCCTTGCGATCCCCTTTAAATTGTTCCATCACATCGAATTTCACGAGGCCTCACTTAGCCTTGTTGCGCCAGGCTCACCGCCTCGCTGTATTAGTTCACCGGTAACAGCCCCGTACCTCTTCCAAGCCCGAACACCACCAGCCAAAATAAGGGAAGATACATTGCGGCACGAACACCCATATTTATGCACATTTGAATCTTGCAAAGCTTACTGACTCCCGCAAATGCAAGCTGTAATCGCTGTTCATTGAGGGATCGAGGAATCGTGTTGGTGTGAAAATATAGGCAGCAGAGTTGTCAACAATCAATCAGGCCTGGACCAGTGCGATCTCTTCACGATCTGTATGGCTGCAATAACACGTTGAGGGAGTGCCTATGCGACGTCGACAAGCATAGCGGACGAGTACCTGCAGCTACAACTTTCCGCATCGCGGTACCCTTCTCATTGACATCATCGAATCGTGTGCGCAATGGCCAGAATGCTTCTTAGTGACTACATCCTTGAGAATAAGTTCTTCTCGAGGGTATTCCCAGCATCAAGATGTGAAAAAGCGTCAAAAGAACAGCGATGCATTTATAAAGGAAGGCTGTCTTCTGATTGGACATAACCGTCTGAGCTGCGCGTGGCGAGGGTAGAATAGCCAAGGCAAAAGATACGTACATGAAGTGACTCTCGGAAAGACGGGAAGACACACATAGGTGCTTAGAGCGACTGTCGGCAAACCGCGCTAAGCTTACATGCATGCATAGACCAATTACTACATGGATGCATGCAGCGACTGTCGGCAAACAGCGCTAGACTTTACCAGCGACTTTCGGCAAACAGCGCTAAGCTTGCGTCCATGCATGGGCCAATTACTACATGGTTGTGTCGAGCGACTGTCGGCAAGTAGAGAAGAACCCAATGTGCTGTAAAAGAAGCCGAGATAGGAAAGACGAAGAGTCAAGCCAAGGGTTCAAGTTGAAGGTACCTTTCAGAAATTTCTCCTTCAGGTGGCCTCCGCCATAGTTTTGCCATTAATTCACAAGTTTATGGGTAGTGGCGGAAATTTCTATGCATTATGACGTGTCGTCAAATAAGGACATGTTTGCTACTTAAATCGACCGTTTAATCAAGCCCCGTAACCTTCTCAAAACCTTTTTGCACACTCCTAAGAAGCATTTCCATTCCGACAGTGCCGCTCTATCAAAGATGTAAGCAAGTTTTCCAATGCACAATTTCCTACTAACACAGAATGAGGTGCACGCATACCACTACGATAGTCGTCTATTTCGATGAAAACGGTCGTAGAAGAACGCGAACAGAGGTTAGAAGAGAGGATTGTGGAAGATCAACGTGCCCAACGTCCGACAGCAATCCAAATCGACGTCTTCAACCCCTAGGCTGCCCAAAAGCCGTTTACAACAACTTCTAGGAGGAGGCTACAAAGACGGAAAGGACACAGAAATATGTCGGTGAGCTCACTGCCTGTTGTGTTTGGAGCACGGTCGATACTACATCATACACATATCAAGACGCCTAGCAGAATCATTGGGGTAGACTTGAATATGTAAGCAGCCCTCAGACAACGCGAGTTGTGCGTGCACAATGAATACATCTAGTGTTGCTCTTGAGCCTTACTCAAAAGCCACGCCTCTATCTTTTCTGCAGCACGTTCATCGTGACTTTGAGCTGATGTGGTGTAATCCTCGTCTATCCATCCATATGTACCTCCTGAAAGGAGAATTTCCCCAAATCTTCTGCAAGATCCAAAGTCTAGTAGCTTTGGGTTGTCATCGCCATCAATAGCGATGTTTGTGGGATTGAGGTCGTTATGCGCGAATCCAAGAGAATGAAGGTGCCTCAAAGCCGCACGGATACCGCGCATGCAAATATCGATATCGAGAGGGCGTGGGACATCCTCGTGGCGGTATTGCAAGATGACGCTGTGCCTCTCAAGAGCAATACCAGTAAATCGACCACGATTGACGGTGCAACCATGGAACCTGACAATATTTGGATGAGGGTTTTGTTCAAGAAATTGTAACACCTCTGCTTCTCCGAGTAGCATTTGTGGCAGGAGCTTTGCCTCTTCCTCGTTATCAAGACACAATAGTTTGGGTCGCTTGATATAGAGGTGACTCCGGGTTTCCTCTGATACTACGGTCAGAGTGGTGGTTTGCAGCGGATATACCCTCTCATCCGGAACTCGTTGTAGAAGTCGATTTAGATCCTGAACAGTTAAGTCGTACTTCCTTATATCCTTTGTCTGACCAAACCACGCTCTGTCGTGTTCATCGATGTAGGTAAAGGTACATCGTACGAATGCGCCGGTCTCTAAGTTTTCTACTTCGCAAAGGGATGTCAAATCTTTCTTTGAGCGAATTTGAGCACCGATGCCAGGGTCGGCGCGCATTGTTCGCTGCTGTTTGAGTAGACGCAGGATGGAGACGCAGGACGGAGACGCAGGACGGAATCGAGATAGGGTTATCGCGTAAGTAGGATCTGTAAGATATTGATTAGTGACGCAGGTTCGAAGACAAAGCAGGTCCAGAAAAGTAACTCACTATGTATGTATTCTGTATGATTAGCAGTGAGAAAGACAAGAACCGATTCTGCGAGGCACTGAGCGCTCGCCCTATATGGTTGTTTGACCGAATGGTTGACTATGAGCTAAAGCTAAATGCGAAAGGATCTGGGAAGTCGCTGGGCAGCGTGGTTCAATTTAATTATGTTAGTGCGGGTTGTCGCTGAACGCCCATGCGAGTATGGCGTTGTTCTCGCGCTTTCTAAGCGTGTCGCTTGAGACGTGTATCGGGCCGAAAGTGCTCATTAGCTAATTATCATCAGAGGGGTAGCGCAGCCGTGTATTCTTATGAGGATACTTTTAGCGCCGCTATATTAATAGATCAGAGCTTATTGGATCGGCAATTAGTGCTGTTGTGCTGCGCGACTTAGCGCCCTGGCTGATACCGCTAACCTTCATTCGGCCGGTCTTGACCCGCAGCTTGCGGTACTATAACTAACCATCCCCCAATCTAAAGTCACGCTAACTTGTCTCCTCGACCGTGTCTAACGATGGTGGATTCCCTTGAACTGTGGAAGCAACGTCACAATGTATCTAGCAATGCTTTTCTAGACCTTTTGAACATTTTGCGCAATGATGCTACGAATCCTCACCGCACAACACCACTACCAGTAGCTACTATTGCGAGACCGTTTGCGCCACATTCATTAGCAGTTCCTAAGCCCTCTAGTCATCAATTGTCTTTGCACGAGCAATCCGTCCAACTAAGCTTGTCGACGTCCTCGTACTATCAAAGTAATAGTTCGCCATTGCAGAAATCTTCCCCCAGCGGGTTTCGAGTTGCAAAGCGGAGTCGCGGGCGCCTCGCGCAGCAGGCCTCTTGCGCTCGTTGCTGGTCCTGGAAGCGAAAGGCAAGGTTCACTCACAACACCAGAAGGGAATGCGCTAACAAATTTAGTGTGTACCTGTAGAGAGTTCGCTCTGCGCTTGTTGCAAGAAGAGCAAACTGCCACCAACTCTTTGCGTCCGAATACGCTTTCTTGACGAACCAGTTTTCGCGAAGTGTACGAGCTATCCCTCGATCCCTACGTTTAGCTTTAATATCAATCAGGGAGACAGTCGACATATCAAGAGAAGCTTGTATGGGGAGATCTCTCCTTGTGCTATCCTCCAAGCACTGTGACTCTTCAACACTTCCGAAATGGGCCAACCATGGAAGTCAGGTGTTGCCAGTTCGAAGTCAGGAGCTTCGAGGAGACGTGCCTGTTCCACAAGACGACTTCAGGCTGGAAGAGCATGAAGACTACGCCATTTGCGTTGTCCCAGTTACCGTCTGGGGCGACGATCGACACCTATATCCGACAACATGTGGTCTTCTTCCTCGATCAACGAAAGGGCAGCAAGTCATGGCTAGACGATGTTCTTCAACAAGCGATACAACACGCATCAGTGAGTGGCCAAGAGCACTTGATATCGTAATCTAATTCTTTATTCTTAGGATGCCCTGCTCCAAGGAGTTTTGAATTTGTGGTCTGCTCATTGCCTTCTCATGGCAGGCTGGCAGCTAGCCGTACCTGGAGATCTTGGAATGTTTCCCGTTATACATCAAGGATCATTGCTGAATGGCACAACACCCGCTCCACGTGTGCTTCAGAATCAGCTGGATCGAATGCTAGAACAGTACTGCGCAGACAAAGAGCTCGAGTGCTTGAGCGAACTTCAAAAATCTATGCGCAGGCAGGTCAAACGGCCGTGGATAGTGGTTTTCATCGTAACAGTCCTCCTCTTACATATAAGGGAAAGAGACGTCTGGAGATTATTGTACTGGACTCTACACAACAACAATGTAAGTGTCCCACGTTGTCATTCCCGATGCACACTAAATCCACTTTAGACGTATACATGGCGGCATCCAGAGCAAGCCAATACACTTATAAAGCGAAGTGTACACGCAAGTAATGTCCTCCTGGCACATCTATATGTTGCTGGGGATGTGCCTGATTCCTTCTTGTTTCTTACAACGCATTATGCGACTATTCCTGTTGCATCAGCGAAGGAAAGATACCATTGGATGAATGAGGACAGCGCAGATTTCTCTTTGTGTAGATTGGCCTTTATCAGACAAGGGGTATCCAATTCTGTCCAAGCAAGCCCTTTGGACTTTGGTTGCTGAGCCGATACCTCACAGAGTTGTCAACAATCAAGCCAATCTGCAATCAAGCCAAATGTGGCCCCTGCTTACTAGCGGCCTAGAATATACAGGTACAGCTATACCTAGATAGAGGGATGGCACGTCTCTCTTATAGGCCCGTGGCTGATCGACAAGGCTAGTGAGCAGGGGCCACATTTGGCTTGATTGCAGATTGGCTTGATTGTTGACAACTCTGATACCTCATACCTCTTGAATGCGAAGTATCTCCTGGGCTGCCCCACGTACACCTGCGTACACCTCATCAATCGATCCACGGCATTCAATCTGTACGTTATGTTATGCTTTTTAGTCATATTCAATTCGTATCCGATGCTCACATGAAAGAGAGGTCCGCGTTGTTGTAGATATTTGAGGACCTCAGTATTGTTTTCGTTGAAGGTCTTAAGCCTTTTCGTTATGGAGTCCGGGTTGTCATCTATTCGGGTCGAATACGCGGAACGATCGTGTAGATGAGTCAACAATTCCGTCTCGGAGCAATCTAGCGAAATGGTCGCGTAGTCTTTGCAGATCTATTGAGAAAATTAATATGTATTTCTGATACAAATGAAAGAACGAACCTTGGATTCAAAATCAACAACCTGCGCAACATTCCTAGGAAATCCATCAAGAAGAAACATAGGTCTGTCTGGTCCTCGCATATCGCCCATGGCTTGGCTCAAAAGCTGAGTGGTGAGCTGAGCTGGAAGTAGGATCGACCGTTCGATGCTTTCGGGTATGAAATCTTTGTAGGGAGATTCTGAGCGTGCTGCCTCCTCACGCAACAAGTCGCCAACGGAGATGTGATGGAAGCCGAATTCCTCTGCGAGGAGTGCGCTCTGCGTCCCTTTCCCTACACCAGGACCTCCTAGGACAATTAGCCAAATTAGACAAATGTGAATAATAATCTCACCAGAAACGAATATCACAACGGGGCTTTTTGCTTTGCGCGATTGTATCTCTTCGTGCTTGTGTAAGCAGTCGTTTAACAATTGTTGCCATCCTGGCAATGTCACTTTCTCTTTGAGTTCCATGAACTCCCCAAGATCTCTTCCATTACGTTGTTCGTATACGACGGCCTGATGAATGCACTCCAGCTTATCGAGTTGTCGCACCAAGATCGCCGTTTCAGTCTTCCCATCCTCATATTCGTGCCATAATTCCAGTAACAAATCTGCGAAATCTGGGTTCGACGAGCGAAGGGTGCAAGCAAGGAATTTCAAGGCCATCTCTTCCCGTTCGTGTTTCTGTGCTGGTACAAGTCAGCGAGTGTAAGAAACAAACAGGATTGTTTGCCGAACCTCGACTGATTCCATCGGATGGAGTGATATCTCCAATCAATGCTTCCCCCATGTCGTGAACTAATGCCATACAGGCAGCCCTCATGCGTAGTCTTTCATGGGCCTAAAAAATGTCAACTTGAACTAGAACATCAAGCGGAAGGAGCGTACCCCAGGTGCCATGAGACACATGATTGCCATACGGTACATGTGATCGCTGACGCTCTCAGGATCTGGCACTCCGCGAAGCACCCAGCCCCGCCGTGGAGTGGTCTTCAGTGCTTCAATCAATTCGAGGAAGAAGAATTGCATGCTTGCCATAGTTCATACTACGATGCGATGAGGTTTTGGCGGTACCAGCGCCAGGTCATCAGAGCGGGGTAGGACTCTTGGCGTACGGTTAATCGTTGTTCCGGATCCAGATTGCATGTTAGTATTATCTTGCGTTATTGTCAGACACAACGGCACGCTTAGGGTACATGCACGCTTTTAACTTTCCATGTGCATACTTCCAAGGTTATTGACAGTACGTAACTAAATCCACGAAACTGTTGGTTGCGCTATTCGGATTTGGCGTCGACTCGTCGTCCCAATAAGCGATCAAATAAGAAGACTGCGCTATTCGTTCTTCCGTAGAATAACAAGGAATGGCACTCTCTAAATAGCACAACGGCAAATTCGGAAGGGTGGGGCATATTAAGCGCAACGAAGCCCCCTAGCTGAGTGCATAGAGCCAAGACGCTCTGATATTTTTAAAACTAGGAATTAGAATGTAACTATAGGAGGATTTGGTCCATGAACTATCTTGTATTGAGGTTAAGGCCTTACGCATCCGTCACTTACACAACATACGACAACCTACCTGTACTAACACAAAAAGATTAAAAGTTCGTAGCGGGCAGCACTATTAGACTTATTGTTCGTTCTGAGAAGGCTATTAAAGACTAGAGACGTCCGAATCACGCATAGCAGAATATAAATCCAGCATTATACTGTAAGGGGCTGAAGCCTTGACTGATAGTACTCGGCCCGTGGCCTTCGTTGTGGGTGGCATGCAACCAATCGGATGCTGCTGTGATAGGCTAGAACCTAGTCGGTTCAGTTGCCCTCGATGGAACCCTCGGAGCTTACTCCGTGTTCTAGGGACCGGTGGAAGCTTCTCGAATACATGATGACTCGATGTATATAAACTTAGCATGAGCAGAAGATAGCGCCTCCATCGAATTCATCACTGTTTACCTTGCACTTATGGTTAACCCATCGCACCCTTACATATACGAAGAAGCCCTAACATTATTTGGTCCATGGAATTGAGCCTAGGTGTAACAATGGAAAAGTTGATATTTACAACGCGCGTACGGTGTTATTAACTATTAGTCTATGCCTCTCTACCCTTGTCTTATGGAGACATTCCTAGCAAGTCATCACTTAAGCGTGTTGGGCGCACATCTTCTCTGGCCGTGCTGTCCCAAGTGCTGTTATCAGGCGTACTAACTTACCGTGAAATATATCAGCGTTTACTAGCCGCTGATCCCCTAATTACATCAACAGATTGCGGAGACCAATATTCCCTAGAGGCAGAAGGTGGAGGGTTCTAAATCCGAAGCTGTACGATAAGATGAGAGAGATACTTCGGACAACATGAGATGAGTTAAAGGAGGGAAAGGGATAAGGATACGTTTCTTATTCGAGCTAAGGAGAGGAGGTAGTTACATATTATCAACCTAAACAGCAAGAGGGAACAGAAGGCTTAAAAGGAATGTACGCATGAACACTGAACGTCTGCCAATCGCAGGCTTCTAAACCCTGCTAAGAACACTTTATGAAGTACTGTAAACTAAGCCAACAACAATATATTCAAGTAGAGAAGTGTAATGCCGTGAACTGCATTAAGATGGTTTCGCAAGTCCTTTTTGCTGAAGTCCTGTCCTTTACACGAATAGTGAGGGCATTTCCTACAACCCTTGTCAAACTGCCTGTCAATGTGATCTTCTATGTGCTCGGCATAGTGGCCCGCATTTTCCATCTGTACGAATCGGCCCTGCATCATGCAGAATGGACAGCGACGAGGCGCCGCCAGAATGCCCTCTGCGGTAATAGGACCATAAACAATGTTGGAACTTCTAGCGTGCTGTATAGCATGTCTCTCCCAGTCGAGATCACTAGAAATCCAGACTCCACACTCGATGCAGAATCTGGCCCGTGTTGGTATCGTCATGTGGGTAAAGACATCATGTTCGATAACAAGATGTACGTGAAGATCAGTTAACTTGCTGGCTTTGTAGTTGCATGGGCCCCATTGGCAGTAAACAACATCAGCCGTAACGTGATCGCTCATGTGACTTGCCGCCGCTTCTGCATTGTTAAGGTTACCAGAACTGCAAGAGGTCCACATGCATCTCCATCGCCTCTCTTTCAGGGCTGTGGTGAGCTGCTTCTTCATCTCATAGTTCTTGTTCTTTTGTGAACACTTAAGCAAGTGTGCCTTCATCGGAATTCTAAATACGATGAGCCTGATCGTTATGCGCATGTAAATGAGTCTGCAGGTAAGGCTTACCGTTTCAGCCGAGCATCACACCACGGACAGCCCCCAGAGGCACTAGGCAACGCATCTGCATAATACGGCTCATATGCGACGGATTCGGCGGCCTTAACGAAAGGGTACAGTATGTCGGGAATCGCGTGATATGCGGCATATGACCCATATAGATAAGATATTATCATTGACCGTGTGATGTCATATTTGAGTTGAACATCTAACACATACGGCAGTGGATAGGGCGATTTGAGGCTCGCGGGTGTGCGAAAGGTCTTCGTGTCTAGGGGCGTGACCGGTTCAGAGGCTAGTATCACAGAAAAGCACTTTGCTTGTCCACGCCCAATCAAAAACGTCTCGGCGTCAACGTAACCGGCTGCAGTCTTCCGTCGCTTTTCCTGCTGATTCGCATTCCTGATGCCCCGAAGCATGGTTGCAAAAGTTTCTTCGTGTCCTGCTCGGTCCAACTGAGCCTGCATCATTGTGTAGAATACTGATGGCTTTATACTACAAGATGAGATCACTCTGGATTTATTACCGGTTCTCCGAAGTACCGGCAGATGTGATACATCCTGTTTGTATGGAAGAAGCAGCCACCCAGAGTGTTGGTGGCCACGAAACAACGATGCTATGTCACTGGTGCGATCAATGCCGTCGATGACACCATCGGCAACAGCCATCGAAAGAAACAGAGTAACGGGGCACATGTGGCGCTTCGTAGGCTCATCAATCAAGATCATTGTTTTTCTTAGTAAGTGTTAGCTTTACCAGAGGATCGAAAGGCGACTCCATAATTACCCGCTCCACTTGCGGGTCGCCCGCGCATTTTCATCCCGATTATCCAGGCGGATAAGAAGCATTGCTCGAGTGGTGTTTTCAAACCGAGTAAGAAAGATCCTCGTATCGCTGTAATACAGTCCTTCTTTAAGAGCGACATTAGGATGTAGTCCTAAATGGAATATTAACAGGATACTGAAAGCGACTTGGAGACGATAACTTAGGTGATCGAAACTGTAAGTATCGCGAGCCCAGATGAATGAAAACAGGTCGTGTAAATCAGCCTCGAGCAGTTGCGGTTTTAGTGGCTGGAACTCGTGGGCATGGTAGGACGCTGGAAAGCAGAACTTGGAAGCAAGATCGGGGGTAGTACACATTGTATTGAGTCGATGTATCAGTACTCTACTTTCCCCTCTCCCCACCTCAAGGGCATATGTAGTCGTGCACTGCGCTCTAGCCGTGTGGCGTTGTGATGCCTACACAGACTCCGGGTTCGGGAAACGGAACCCTCACCAACACTGCGCCCCAACCACCACCACTAACAGTTCACCCATTCCTGTAACTTGAGGTCGCGTTCACCGGTTTGTGTTACTATCGTGCCACACGGCGAGTTGATGATGTATATTAAACCAGCGTGAAGGCTGATAAGAATGGCGAGAACGCATAATGGAACTCGAGCTAAGCTCAGCAGGAATGCACTGCTGAACGCGTCCCTTTTGACTGGCACATTCATCGTAGGCGGATCTCGTGATAGGCAGGGTGTCGCGAATGAAGTACCTGAGAAGGAGTAACTTAGCATAGCTACCCACTCGCTGCTACAGCAACACTAACAATTTTGAGGCCGTATCTGATCTAAACGCTTCGTCCGCTGAGCACTTCTCAATTTGAGAAAGTGATGTAGAATCTATACTAGGTATAAATACTAAGTTGCATCGTAACATGACAAGATCGGTAACCATGGTCCGCTTGACACCGGCGCCTCTATGCCCCCGTACGTCATCTCTACCTACAAGAACCTTAACAGAGCCCAGTTTGCTTAGCATGACACCTGTCTCGTCCATGTTGTATACGTTTTCCGGCAGAATAGCCGGGTCCTGTAGCACCTTGCCGATGACGTCGAACCACTCTGTGATCTTATCATATATGTGTATCTCATGGCGCCTCCAGTCTATGGATCTTACTCTCTTTGACTTGAGCTCGGGATGGCGTTTCCCGAAGGCTTGAGCCCAGTTCTTACCGGGAGGTTTGTTCGGTCTACTCGCGGGGGATCGACGTCGGGCGATGCTGAAGGCTAGCGTTGGTATGTACTTGATGCGGACAGGCTGCACAAAACTAGACATTAGTAGCAAGAACGCAACAAGAGCTTTCTCCTCTTCTACGGTAAGGTACTGTTGGCCTTCGGCCTTTTTCTGAATCGAGGGCCGCCCTCGCCAACGATTGTATAACGTGGTAATCGCGATGCCGCTGGAATCGGCCCGGGCAGCCCATGTTCTATCGTCGTTTGCGGGAGCCTCTGCAAGTGCCTTGCTGGCAGCATCCATCTCGACGATCGTGGTAGTACCATAGTCACGAACGGACAACCAGCGAGGATGTCCTCTGCAACCCGCTCGAATGCTAAAAATAGCTCTCTGTCCGTAGATGCTTCTAGAAGAGCGCCGCACTTGTACTGCTTTGAAGATAGCTTGGAATACAGTACAGCGCGGCTACGATTTCAACATCGCGCGAGCCGCCTCTACAGTTCGAAAGGCTGCATCGCAGCGGAATAGAACGAAGCAAGAGGTTGTGGAGGATCAGGTCGTGGAGGATCAGGTTGTGGAGCGCGGTTACGGTAGTTAGAGCAGTGTCAATCAGGGCAGACGCGGGAAGGCATGGTTGCCAGCCCGTTCTATCGATAGCGCGCTGTCCCGCGCCCGCGCTCTACCTAGCGAAGGCTGTCCGTGCCTCGCGCAGTTGTTGTGAACGCCAAGACTGTGTTCTCCATTGTTTTCTTATCGACAAGCATAGAGTGTCATTCTTCTATAGCTTATAAACCCTACACCACCTGGTTTCTATCCTGTGCCGCCCTTCACTAGCTTCAGCTGCCTCTCCCGAATGTAAAACCCGACATTGTACCAGAGTTGTGGCCCAGCTGAAGGCCAGTGTTTCCACTGCCTGAAAAGACGATGTGGTGCGACTTCCCAGCACTCTCCGCAGCCTTCGTGATAGCTTGCTCTAACAACTTGTCCTGGGCGGCGGCAATTTCTCTCAACACAGAGATGTCTTGATCTTCTCCAATAGCAGAGACTTCGATGTCGCAGAGCTCACGCTGCGACTGCTGAGTGGCGGGGAAGAGGTTGTCCAAGTCGTTGACCAACTCGGTGATGTCCTCAATCAGTCGTCTAAACTGCTTCTCTTGGTACAATGCCCATCTGGCCTTTTGCCGTACGCCGGACCGGTTCTGGCGCTCGATGGCTAGCTGACGCATCTTCTCGTGGAGCTTCGCCATCGCCGGATCTAGGTCGGTTTGTGGATCGTATACTGCAAGGCTGCCGTCCTGAGGCTCTGTCCGGCCTCTGTATCTGCTCGACACGCCTTCAGCTTCGGCAAATAGTTCTACGATCTGGCCCAACAAGGCTTCGGCGTGCTTGACGTTTGCCTCCGACCCAACACGCCCCTGGAGCGACACCGTATCTGGGACATTACTATCCAGGCTCAGAGACTTGCCCCACCGCGACAGGCGGAGTCTTGCGCTGTCGAGCTTGAGCTGACTTGTCTGGAAGTCTTTTCCAAATGTGCGGCCGAGCTGGACGAACTCGAAGCACTCGACTGTGTTGTTGAAGAGGCCAGCAAGGGCGACGACACCAACAACAAGACCGGCTGCCTCTGCCATATCGTTCGTCAGAAATAGAGCGAGCTGGGAACGTCGGATTATGGAAGATGGAAAGCGAATATCAGCATGCGCAGACGCTCATCGAGGTACGAGCGCAAGATCAGTATCTGACGTTGGAGGCAGCAGCACCAGAGCAGGAGAGATAAACGCAGCGCTATACATAGAATGTGCGGGCAGCTCAGCTGAAGCGCCAGCCCAGCCTCGACAGCCCAGCCGTGACGGCTAAGCCTCGCGCGCCAGAGCAGCTGCGGGTTTGCACAAGGCTCTCCCTCCTACACAAACCAGATCGCCAATGTGTGCGATGGCCTTACCTAGCACTAACATCACGTTCGCAGGTGACAGCAACCAGGGGCTGCAGATAGGGCACAACTCTGGCGCTATCCACCTTGCTGCACCCGGCAAGTGCCCGCTCCCGCCTTGACCAGCGCTGCGCTAACTGTGCTTTGTCTCTGCAGAACGTCCCGAGACCCCACCACAGCCCTCGTGCTTCGTGCCCTTCCGTCGCGACCCTGACTTTGTCGATCGCGGGACGCTGCTCGACCAGATCCGCAAACGATGCGCTGCGCCAGCATCGCGAGTTGCGCTGGTGGGCCTCGGCGGGGTGGGGTAGGTTCGGCAAAAGAGCTTAGGTCGGCGATCGCATCTAACGCAGGCACAGGAAGTCGCAGCTGGCCATCGAGCACTGCTACCGCACCGCTGAGCAGTCGCCAGACACGTGGGTGTTGTGGGCGCACGCCAGCAACACGGCGCGACTCGAGCAGAGCTTCCGCGAGATCGCCGACCAAGTCAAGGTTCGCGGGCGGAAGGACCCGCAAGCGGATGTGTTCAAGCTGATGCACGACTGGCTGCGCAACGAGAAGAACGGACGGTGGCTCTTAGTCCTCGACAACGCCGACGATACTGCTGTTCTTTCCCCGACAGACGGCGGCGCTCTCCAACAGCATCTGTCGAGATACATCCCCTTAAACAGGCATGGCTTCGTCCTGGTGACGAGCCGGACAAAGCGTGCAGCAATGCAGGTCGTGGAGGACAGCGACATCATACCGATCGAGCCGATGCACGATGCAGCTGCACACGCTCTGCTCCGCAAGAAGCTAAGAGATGCAGACCAGGAAGATGGCAGCATCGCTAAGCTGGCGACGACGCTCGACCACATGCTGCTTGCTCTCGTGCAGGCGGCGGCCTACATTCGAGAGCGAGCGCCGCGATGCTCGGTGCGGCAGTACCTCGAGGAGTACCGGCAGAGCGACAGGAGAAAGACAAGTCTGCTGAACCGGGAGGCGGGCCACCTTCGCCGAGACGGGGCAGCCAGCAACTCGGTCCTGATAACGTGGCAGATCTCGTTCGACCACATACGGAGCACAAGACAGTCAGCAGCAGGCCTGCTGTCGCTGATGAGCTTCTTCGACCGACAGGGGATCCAGGAAGCTCTGCTCCGCGGCCAGAGCAGCACAGCAGACGACGGATTTGAGGAGGACGGGTTTGAGGAGGACGTGGTGGCCCTGCGAGACTACTCGTTCGTCACAGTGACTAGAGACGCGAGCACGTTTGAGATGCACAGCCTGGTGCAGCTAGCGACGCGCACGTGGCTAGAGAACGAAGGACAGCTGGACAAGTGGAGAGAGCAGTTTATCTCGAACCTGTGCGCAGAGCTGCCAACGGGAGAACACAAGAACTGGGAGAAGTGCCAGGCGCTGTTTCCACACGCACAGGCGGCATTAGCGCAGCGGCCGAAGGATAGAGAGTCACTAAAGGAGTGGGCGCTGTTGCTGTACAAGGCGGCGTGGTACGCGTGGCAACGAGGGAGAGCAGGCGAGGCAGAGGAGATGGCGATGATGTCGATGGACGTTAGGAGCGAGGTGCTTGGGGAAGAGCATAAGGAGACGCTGAGCAGCATGGGGATGGTAGGGGTAGCTAGAGAGCTTGGGGGCAAGTACGAAGAGGCGGAGGTGATGAACCGGCAGACGCTGGCGCGGTACGAGAAGGTGCTGGGGCCTGAGCATCCACACACCCTGACGAGCATGAGCAACTTGGCGTCAGTGCTGGACAGGCAGGGCAAGTACGAAGAGGCGGAGGCGATGAACAGGCAGACGCTGGCGCGGAGCGAGAAGGTGCTGGGGCCTGAGCATCCACACACGCTGACGAGTATGGGCAACTTGGCGTTAGTGCTGGATAACCAGGGCAAGTACGAAGAGGCGGAGGCGATGAACCGGCAGACGCTGGTGCGGAGAGAGAAGGTGCTGGGGCCTGAGCATCCATCCACGCTGACGAGCATGAACAACTTGGCGGTAGTGCTTAACAGGCAGGGCAAGTACGAAGAGGCGGAGGCGATGCACAAGCAGGAGCTAGCGATATGCGAGAAGGTGCTGGGGCATGAGCATCCCGACACGCTGATGAGCGTATACTGTCTTGCCCACCTCCTCACACATCAGCAGCGCTACAACGAATCTCTTGCTCTGTACGAGAGAGCATGTGCTGGGTACCAAGCTGTACTTGGGAAGGATCACCCAACCACGCGTGCGTGTCACCAGCATTACGCTGACGCGCTTGCATCGCACGAGCAGTACCAGCTTGCTGTTTCTCCTACAATAGCAGATAGCACCCGAAGTGCACGCACAGGCAAAGGGTCGAAGCTGCTGCGCGGACTAGCAAAGATAGGCATTGGAAGCTCAACGTCGTCTGCGAGATGAGGATAAAAGATCCTGTATAATTATCTGCACCAATTACTCTAAGCTATTTCTAACGCTGCTGCAGGACTGTATATAAGTCTCTGCCTATACTACTATCCGCTCCCAAGACAGGCGTGGGTGGAGTCTAGTGCGGCGTTTAAGCGTGTATTCGAGCACGAGCAGCCTTAGCCTTAGCCTTCGCCTTAGCCGCCAGTCGGGTGGCTCGCGTAATAAGGGTCTGACATCAGCGTGGATAGAATACTGCTAAGCTAGTTGTGGCGTTTCTGTACGACCTGCAGGTAGCGCGCCTTGGTTGTCGATCCTGCTCTGCAGAGCAATAGACTTGCACAACAGCGCCACAACCCATAATGCCATAGAACGTCGCTCGGGATACACTCTTTACATGTCTTTGTATCGCTTGACAGACTCTTAGATACATGCATTGAACCTTTAGCACGTCCGAGGCAGTCCGAGGCGGGGCTGTAGTGTATGCTGGCAGCGCATTGTGGTATTGCTAGCCAAGCAGGAATCTGTAGGCGAAGAGACGCAGCGTAGAGAAAGCTTAAGGGTCAAGTTCTCTATCCCGAGATTTTCGACGCCTCTCAGCCATGGTTGGTTTTGCTGTGGTAGGGAGCACGATCGGCATGCCGGCACGCAGGTTTTTCCCCCACACACGGAGGGATAGTACTGCGTGTGCCGGAGAGGCAGCTAATTACCCCTGCGGTGGAGCGTTCCCCGAGCCGTTAAAGAACCCTAGGTGTGTGCTCTCGCAGCCTGCTGATGCGTAGCCGCCATCGAAGCTGCTCTTCTGTCAGCTCTCACTCAGGCAGACATGATGCTAGCACTTGGTCTATGGCCGGAATGGCCAGCAATCTCTGTAAAGAAATCTCTGTAAAGAAGCTGGTGCTGCGCTCTCTTCTTTGTGTAATTATTTACTGTCTTTGATCTAGATAACGCTTATGCACATCACATGCTTCCCTCCTCTAGACGATTCCTGGTGCCGCTTCGGGATCTACTATCGAGTGTACAAATGTACCCACATCGTGCCCCAGCAGAAGAAGGTACTTGATGCAGTACCACACTAGCATGGCGCTCCAACACACGAAGCTAGCTACCATCACCACAGCGGAGCGCGCGTTTGCGTTTAGACCTCCCCTGCCCCTGCCCCTGCCCCAGTCTCTGCTGGGGCGCATGCTCGACGCTCGGAGAAACAGTCTCGCGGGCGGATTGCCAGCTCTCTGTCTCCGCTGCCTGCGGGCTCTGAGGGGCAGGTCTCTCTGCCCTTCGCTGCACGAGCACCTTGACTTGATCCCTCTGATGAGGCTTTGGTTCTAAGGTTTGTTGTTGTTGTTGTTGTTGTTGTTGTTGTTGTTGTTGTTGTTGTTGTTGTTGTTGTTGTTGTTGTTGTTGTTGTTGTTGTTGTTGTTGTTGTTGTTGTTGTTGTTGTTGTTGTTGTTGTTGTTGTTGTTGTTGTTGTTGTTGTTGTTGTTGTTGTTGTTGTACCTTGTGGCGCTCTGCCTCGAGCGACTCCAATCTCCATTCCTCGGCCTGCTCGGGCTCCACTTCGGGCTTGGTGGTCTCAGCTCCACCATCTCGACACGCTTCCTCCTCTTCCGCGCCATGACTGATTTCTCGCTTCTGCGCCGCAATCTTCATGTTCTGTTTCTCGACGGCAAGTTGCCATTTCAGTGTCGAGATCTCGTACAACATTGCGTTGCGTTCTCGGTTGGAGTTTTCCTGGAGATTGTGGATGATCACGTTCTTCTCACTCATGCGCTGTGCAACGGTACTCAGCAAGCTCGAGCAGGCTTGCAGCTGTTCGAGCAAATGGCGATCATCGTACTGCAGGTGCGTGTAAGCGTAGTCTTTGTAAGGTCGAGGGATGGACATACATAGTATCCGGGCGACCAGCTAGCCTGCTTGGTCGTGTTGTGAGAAGCCAGGGTGCGAAAGGTTGAGGTCTGTCTATCAGACATCGCAAGGGAGGTGCTGGGAACTGAAAGCTAGTAGATCGCAAACAGAGCAAGAAGAGAATCGTGCCCGTCGAGACGACAGCCCTTGCCTCGAAGGCTTTAAGCAGAGTCACGCCCAGTTGCTGTCGCCATGGAGAGGTAGCAGAAATGCTTCTGAAGAGTGCCGCATGCCATCCCGAGCGGTTGCTCCTGATGCCAAGTGGTGTCACGGCACCCTGGGTGGTGTGTACTATTCTGGACAGTGTACTATTCTGGACAGTGTACTATTCTGGTAGGCGTGCGCATCGTCGGGCGGCCTGCACTATCTTGAGCCATATCCTTGCGCCTGGAGGCGTCGTTTCCAGCCAGTGGTCGGGTTTCCCGTCGCTGTGGCCGTTGTCGCGGCAGGGCCTGCCAGAATAGTCCTCCATCTCTCGACGACCCCCTGTGGACGGCCATAGGTAGCACACGCTGGCCTCGGCATGCTGGCGGCACAGTCGCATCTCTTTTGGACACCGAAAACTATTAAATCGGTCGCCTCCTGCGGCCGTCGACCCGCATGCAGATCGTGCATCATGTCTTGCCGTGCTGCTCACCAGACCGATGACTGGCACCAAATCACAGACCGCGCCGAGCGCCACAGGACACAGAACCGCCTTGCTCAGCGTCAATACCGTAGGTAAGAGCCGCCCCGTTCTGCGCTCCTTCGCTGAGACCCGTGCAGGCAAGAAACTCAAGGAGAGACTCGAGAAAGCTGAGGGCATCATCGCATCTATATCACGCTCGAGCAATGATCTCCAGCCTGTGAAGCCCCACGCTCCGCCCGATCCGTCCTTTCCCAAAGGCTGTGTCGAGACCGACATAGCAGATCTGCATCGCGACCGAGGTAGCCGGCCGCAAGACAGCAGCGTCGCGCCGGCGCAGCAGCAGTGTAAAGAAGAACCTCCAGACGCTCTGCTGCCAGCTGCACACTCGCTGTTTCCAACATCTGGTGGGCTCGCAGGAAGCACGGCGCAGAACACCAGTCTTTCTCTTCCACAACACTATCCTTCAACAGCCGTTGCGGTCGGCTTGGCCACACCGCTCGCTGTCGAGTACCTTCCGTCGAACATATGCTACACCAACGATGGCAGCAGTCCGTTCAACCAAGGCTACCTAGCCATGAACGGACCGTGGGTGGCGGCGGCTCAGCATCGGTATCTGTCGCATAGCTGGGTGCGGGTATTGTAGACAGAATAGTTAGAAGAGAGTGTATGTGTTGTATTGTTTGTAGCATCCTAGCTCAGCTTATATGGAGGTAATCGCACGGGGTCATTAGTAATAAGGTTCATGTTCCCGACAGCGCTTGGCCTGCGACAAACTCTCTTCTAACTATTCTGTCTACAATACCCGCACCCAACCGTGCGACAACCAGCTTAAAGGGACATCTCGTTGAGCGCATGCTTGTGCTCAGTATCTTCGCGCTTGACTGGTACTTCCGGAATCGGTCACAGTGGTAGTAATATTGTGTTTTGATATCGGGATTGTGAGGTTTACTCCGCTTTAGGACAAAGCCGTAACCGTGTTGCATGCCATACGCCTTAAGAGTACAGTAGTAGAGGTACAGTAAGGCACTCAGCTACGCCAGTAAAGCTATCACCGGTTATCAATGTTCCAGACCCCGTGCTATTCCCACAATACCCTCTTCATCGCGTAAGGCAAGGCTCAAAAGGCCAACTTCGCAAGTGATTTCAACACATAGCGGTGCTGGTGCTTTTCGTCGCCATGCCGTTCTCACGCTTGAGGGAAGTAACTAGAGAACAGGGAACTTGGTGATGCAACGAACAATTACGTGGTGTACCGCGGTGCATCAATACTCTCTACACTACTATCGTAAGAACGACTCGAAGGTGAGTTCGCGCACCATTCACTGCGCGCTCTCACGCCCTAGGCCGTATCGCAAGCTTCCAGCTGTCAGCACTTTGGGTCAGTCACGCCCTTGGCGCGCTTCCCTAGTTTCCGCCTTGTGGTGTAGACCCACTCGTCCAGGAACATCCACAACCGGAGAAGCACAAACCAGCCAGCGACAACAGCGCACCCTACCAGACTCAGCACGCTGAACCAACGAGACACATACCAAACAGGAACCCATTGTGACGTCACCAACTGCTCAGCTGCAAGCGCGACTTGCATAGAGCTCAGGATCGTAGATACGAGAGCGAAGACGAAGAGAATGGGCCCGTACAGCCGCGCGAAGAAGTCGCCGTACTGCCCATGCACCTGCTCGAAATGGAACTTGCGCAGGAGCAGCGGAGCATAGAGGTTGAGCTGCGTTGAGCGCAGCTCGCCATAGCAGTACCTTCCCGACACAGCAGCATCGTCTATGCTGCTGAGCTCTGCCGTGAAGCGACAGAAGGACGGCCAGTCAACGTCCTTAGGGATCAGGCTGAGGTGCTCTTGCTGAGCGATGTTGAGGTCTGTCTAGTGTCGAACCAGATGCTTGTATGGGCGCAGAAAGCCAGCCGCGGCCCTGCGAATGTCACTCCGGTCCTTGCCTAGCTTGTTCGAACGCTCGTCCAGATAGCCTTCCCAGAACGCGTACGACAGCAGGTACCGGGGCAGGGGCTTGATGAAAATGCGGTTGTATATCCACACCAGGTGCAGTCGGGGCTCTTCTGTGACTATGATCTCACGCCCCTTGACCCGTTGCCGATGCAAAGCGTTGATGTTGGCGCTGGATGGGGGGTGGTCATGATCCACAAGCGTGGCGCCATCGTCTCCAGGTCGGGCGAGCACAGGTCATCTTTGAGGGAGGATCGTGTCCACTGGAGATCGCTTAGAGCGATCGAGGGCTGGCTGGGTAATGAAACGTCATGAGACACTCCAGGTGCAGGCGTAAGGTCGCGAACGAGCTCCGTCGCGTGCAAGAATGGTGGCATAGCAGCGAGAAGGAGCAATGTTGTCGCAGTGAAGTTTAGTTGCGTGCCTGACTGGGGAAGCGCTGATGTCGAGACAGCGCAGCTCGAGGAGGCTCAGCCTTGCCACAGCCACATGCATGCGCACGCAGGCGCCAGGCAACCGCTGCCCTCTGTCCTCTGCCCGACATCCCAGCCTGACTGCCTTTGGATTACAACCTCTCCACGTCTCCAGTTATCCCATTTTATCTACATGTCTCGTCGCTCGTTCTTTACCCTATAGCCTGAGTGCATAAACGGCAAAAGTGGGTCGCTACGTGGATCGAAGCGCACGCGCGCCTAGTGACGAACGAAGCTAACGCGGGTCGCAATCCGACTGGTGACCGACGACAGCAACGGCTTGAGGGTGCTCCACGACCCGCGCAGCAGACACGCACTGGAAAATTGCAGGTTGTTGCGTGTCCCTCTAGAGTTACCTTCTTCTATGCTTATCGTGGTGTTACATCAGTCACGTCACAAGGATAACCTCCGGCTTTTTCCAGGTATTCTGCTGCATTGTTGGGTGTCTCTCAACATCCTGACAGCCATTCTCAAGGCTTACGCTACAATGAGCACAGGCCTGCACATGTGCTCGAGTACGAGTAATGTCTCGCAGCCTGGACACGACATCTTTAGCACACCTGACAATGACGAGTTCTACGCCGCCTACAAATATGAACAACTAGATCCGTCCAAGCAGGAGATACGTTTGCTCAGAATACTCCCTGACCGTGGAGATGGCACAGTCAAATGCGAGTTACTAACCAAGGCACCCCTCGACAGCGTCACGAAAACGTACTCCGCACTCTCTTACTGCGCCGGCGAACCGAAGCGGACGCAGTGCATCGTAGTCAATGGTCGCAAATTTAGAGCATTCGCAAATCTTGCACATGCTCTCGCGGAGGCGCGCTTTTTCTGGAAGAAAACATATGGAACGAGAGAGCTTCTTTTGTGGGTAGATCAGATCTGCATAAGCCAACACAACCTACTTGAGAGATCTCAACAAGTCGCGCTCATGCGAGAGATCTATTCGAGTGCAGAAGAAGTTCTCATATGTCTCTCAACACGGAAGATTAGCAGCCGAGGCATGCACTGGTTACACGACCTCTGTCAAAACGTCCCTCGACAAGGAGACGATCTTGATGAGCAGTACCGCGGAGAGAGCTCATTCACTCTTACCTTGGGTGTTCCTTTTGTGCGGTTTCACTGGTTCAGGCTCATCGAACATCTACTGGACAGCGTCGCGAATGCAAAGTTTGTCGAAGATTGGCTTGCAGTATACGACGTATTCGAAAGCCCTTGGTGGACAAGATCATGGGTATATCAAGAGTTCATGAGCGCGACCCGCGCTCATTTCCTTTTCAATAAGGAGCCCATTGCTTGGGCAACTGCATCGCCAATCCTTGACACGTATCTGTCTGTCGTTAGGCATCTCATCCTCGCAGATGTCCTCTTCTCAAAGATTCAAGAAAGATTCGGCGCAAATACACCTGAGTGTCACCGAATGCTTCGTATTCGAGAGCGGTCCAGCCGGGCTGAACAAGCAGAAGGACTGGTGGCCTGGATGGTCGAGAGCAAAAGTCGCTGGTCTGGACCAACCGATCTTGTTAGTTTGCTTTCGTGTTCGCGACATTATGCAACTTCAGATGTTCGCGACAAGATATATGCCATGCTTGGACTCGCGTATCCAGGATATCGGATCATTCCCAACTACGCTCCTGAGTGGTCTTTACGTGTTCTTCTCATCCATACTGCGATGCGAATCATCGAGTTCGAAAACAGTTTGGAGATTCTGACGCATACGTCAGACAGAGGAGCGCTTACCAGTTTATTGCCGTCATGGGTGCCAGACTGGACTTGCCAGGAAGACGCGAGATACCGAATGCTTGTGAGAGAAAAGCTATCCCCTATAAACACCATCAACGACCCACGATGGAGTAAAGCCAACGCTTCGTTCCTAGAGCCCACTACCTCTGACTGCTTCGTGGCTTTGAAGGCTTGGGGTACTTATATCGACACGCTGATCACTCCGGTCCATAGGGACGCTCCGAGCGGGGATCGATTGGGCGCATTTTACACAGTCGCTGGAAACACCGTGCTGTGTACCTCAGAAGCCCGTATACAGGACCAACTCTGGTTACTGTGCGGGTCACAGAGGCCAATGATACTGCGACGAGGAGAAGAGGGATATTGTTTTATTTGCGCAGCACAGACATTGGAGTCGCTACAAGGGAGCGGCATCCTGTTGGAAAGTGCCATTAAGACTCTCGGAATACAACAGATCACAATACGCTGAGCAAGGTCGCGGACAAGTCCTGTGGATCTCGGGGAAGGCAGCGGGATAGACTGGGTGCCAGCATCGTTGCAGCGAAGAGTCTGATGGGATGAGAAAGCGCTGATGAGCTTGAGACTGTCGTTCTGCCGATACTCCTCGAGGTACTGTCGCATAGAGCACCGCGGCGCTCGCTCTTGAATGTATGCTGCCGCCTGTACGAGAGCAAGCGGCATGTGATCGAGTGTCGTCGCTAGTATAGCAATATTATCGTCTTTTTCGTCTACGTTTCTTAGCTTCTTGCGGAGCACAGCGTGTGTAGCTATATCGTGCATTGGCTCAATTAGTATAATGTCACTGTCCTCCACGACCTGCATCGCTGCGCGCTTTGTCCGGCTCGTCACAAGGACGGCGCCATTCCTGCTCGAAGGCAGATACCTCGACATATGCCGCAGAAGAGCGTCGTCGCCGTCGCTAAGCTTACTGCTGTGGTCTGGTAGAGAGAGCACGGCCGCATCGTCGGCGTTATCAAGCACAAACAGCCACCGTCCGTTCTTCGCGTCACGCAACCAGTCGTGCACTAATAGCTTAAACACGTCTGCTTGCGGGTCCTTGCGGCCGCGAACCTAACCTGGTCAACGATCTCCCGGAAGCTCTGCTCTAGTCGCGCCGTGTTGCTCGCGTGCGCCCAGAACACCCACGTGTCTGGCGACTGCTCGGCGGTGTGGCAGCAGTGCTCGATAGCTGCGACTTTCTGTCTACGTCAGATGCGACATGCGAGCACTAGTTTGATGCTCTTCCACCGAACCTACCCCACCCCGCCGAGCCCCACCAGCGCGATGCGAGATACTGGCGCAGAGCATCGTTGACGGATCTGGTCGAGCAGCGTGCCGCGGTCGACAAGGCATGAAGCACGAGGGCTGCAGGGGAGTCTCAGGACGCTCTGAAGAGACAGTGCATGGTTAGCGCAGCGCTAAGGCGGGAGCGGGTACAGTGTCCGTGCACCCAACGCCCGGAGTCACCGGACGCCCGCTCCGAGCCTTGAAGCCCATCACAGAGATGAGGCTACAGAGCCACGGAAAACACGACAACAGCGAGAATTTCACTTTTTGGAATTAACGTAGTACAACGCGCGCAAAACGTCCGCTAGAGACGGCTTTCGACTAGCCAGCACTCAGAAGTAGCGCCCACTGCTGCTGAGGCGCCATGGCGACACCGTGGCCCCGAAGGTCGACCTGGCCGATCCCAATAGACGAGCATGCTACCAACCTCAGCGCTTTCCTTCGCGAGGTGCTATCCTTGATCGAGCGCAACGGAGGCCAGCAGCCTCTGCCGGCAGACATCGTTGGCGACATCATTCGCGGCGCATTGACGTTCGTACTGAAGACGCAGCACTCCCCTGACCTCGGTGGTCTCAGCGACGCGCTCAACGTCGCGCGGACCGAGGCAAGAGCGACAGCAGAAAGCACGGCGCGAACCCTCGACCAAATCAAACAAGAACTCAAGTCCACCGTAGAACTCGTACAACAGTCCGCAACAAAGATACAACAAAATGGCAACATGGCAGAAGAGGCGAGGGCGGCAGCCAAGGACGCCACAGAGGTGGGTAAAGCGACGCTGGAGATTGCGCGAGAGATCAGGAACAAGAGACCACAAGAGCAGGCGAACGGACCAATGAGCTACGCTGCGGCGGCAGCCAGGGGAGTCCCGTTAGCAGGTACATACAATGCACAAAGTGTCAAACAGCCATCTGCGCAGACGCAGCGTGAGGTCATCATGAATATTAGAGACCCCCTTACCGTACAGAGCCTGAGGACTATGAATCCTAGCAACCTCAAAATGCATGTCCAGCGTGCCATCGAGCAAAGTGGCAATGAAAACATAGTCAACGTGAAGATCGTCTCATCTAACCAGCTGAAGAGCGGAGACCTGAGCATCAAGACAGCAAGCAGCAGGGAAGTCGAGGCGCTACGACAGTTCGCGGACGACTGGGCCCACCGCATAGGCAGTGGAACTACAGTGCAGATCCCGACGTTCGGCGTCCTCGCACACGGCATACGCACGAGCACGATGGACATGAGCAAGCTCGACGAGATCAGAGCGCAGATACTGCAGGACAACCGACCGTTCATACCCCAGGCGGAGATAAGACACATAGGCTGGCTTACTAGAGATGCTACCACCAAGACGGCGACAACTATCACCATCGAGTTCACCAAACCAGAAGACGCCAACAAGATCATCGACGAGGGTCTGATCTGGCAAGGTGAGGTTTTCCAGTGCGAGCGATACGAGCGACAGTGCCGAGTGAAGCAGTGCTTCAAGTGCCAAAGATACGGCCACATAGGAACCCAGTGCAAGGCAGCAACAGCATGTGGCCACTGTGCGCAGGAGCACGACACCCGAGACTGCCCATCGAGGGCCGGACAAGCCGTGACCAGGAAATGTGCCGCCTGCCGCGGCGAGCACGAAGCGTGGAGCCGCCAGTGCCCGACCAGGAAAGACGAGATAGCCAAGGCAAGGACCGCGTACGAGATGCGACCGCGCTACCACCCCGTTTCGCAAACAGCCGGACAAAACGTGCAGACTGATATCCCGACGTCTACGATTCAAAGGAGAAGGACTAGTCAACCAGTGGCAGCTACGCAGCCGATGCAGCTTACCAGGAACCGATCGCAAACCGGACGAGGACAGAAGAGAACCAACGCTGGAACCACTATCGACCCGTTGGATCAGGAAAATCCATCAACGCAAGCAAACGCGAGCCAAAGACCGCATCGACAGATCATACCTAGCAGGAGAGCTCTAGAATCGACTAGACTCAACACCCGGGCGATGCAGAACAACAGCAGTCACCACATGGAGATCGACTCCGACGATGATGCATGAATAAGCACAACACACTAAGCATACTACAGTACAACGTGCACAAATCAAGAAACATGGTGATGGCGAGCATGCTACGGGACCCCAGGATCCATGAGTACGACATACTGGCCATCCAGGAGCCATGGAGAAACCCCTTCGCGGCGACGACACACCATCCAGCGAAACGCGTCTTCCACCTTTGCTGCCCAGCAGGAAACGAGGCAGGACCCGCCCGGGTATGCTTTTTCATCAACAAGAGACTAGACCACAAGAAGTGGCAGTTTAAGGAGCACAGCAGAGACATTTGCTCGCTCACAGTAGAGTTTGGCGACGATCAACAGGAGGAGCAAAACGTGATCATACACAACGTCTATAACCCAGCGAGGCGCAGCGAGAGCGACAGTACCGTACTAGTGGATGTCCGCACAATACTGCACGACAATCAATCCAGCGAGCAGATCCTGCTCGGCGACTTTAACTTGCACCACCCCATGTGGGGAGGCACAGGCGTGAGGCACATCGACCATGAGTCTGCAGACCTACTGGCGATCATGGAGGACTTCAACCTGGGTAGCACACTACCACCTGGAACCATCACGTACGAAGAAAGAACCTCACGCACAACCATTGATCTTTGTCTGGTGACCGTGGGGTTGGTCGATCGGGTGGTTCGAAGCCAGGTCGACCGGGACCTCGATCACGACTCCGACCACCTGCCTATCAGCACTGTGATAGATATGAGGATACAGCAACTCGATGCAACACCAAAGCGAGACTGGAAACGATTAGATGAGGCCGTCTATAACAAAGCGTTAAAACAAGCCCTGCCGCCACTTCGCAGACCCGCAAATAAGACAGCGCTTGACACGTATGTCCAAGAGATCGTTGGGGCAATTCAAGGGGCCATTGACAAAGCAATACCATACTTACGGCCGTCAGACCGCATCAGGGAAGGCTGGTCGGAAGAGTGCAGAGCAGTGCTCGCAGAAGCAAAGAGACTCAAGAGAGTACACAGCCAGCGTCACACAGGCGAGTCGTGGGAGGCCTATCGTGCGGCAAGAAACCACAAAGCGAGAACGATCAAGAAAGCACTAAGAAACGCTCACAGAGAACAGGTAGAGCAGGCCGCGAAGTCGCCAGAAGCACTGTGGAGACTCGTCAAATGGGCGAAGACGAGAGAGAACCCGGCCCCTGTGGTCACACCTGCCATCCAACACCCAGAGACACAGCAGGAGGTAACAGATCCGGCGAAGAAAGCAGACATCTTCCGAGATACCTTCTTCCCAGTACCACCGGGGGCAGATCTGGAGGACATAAGAAACGCACACTACGACAATCAGGTGGACATGCCGCCAGTGACAGAGAAAGAGGTGAGAGATGCCATACGGGCAGCATCACCACTCAAAGCACCAGGTCCGGATGGCATCATCAACAAAGCCCTGCAGGCGGGATTAGCCCAGCTTGCAACTCACCTGACGAGGATCTTCAACCAGAGCCTGCACCTAGGATACTGCCCGGCCCACTTTCGCGAGTCGACTACGGTCGTCTTACGCAAGCCGGGCAAAGACGACTACACGGCACCGAAGTCGTACAGGCCCATCGCATTGATGAACACCACAGGCAAAATCATGGACGCAGTCATAGCACGGCGACTCAGCTACCTAGCCGAGACCTATCACGTCCTACCGCCGACACACATGGGCGGCAGGAAGATGCGCTCGACTGAGCACGCTCTTCACGCCGTGACCCATAAGATATACGAAGCATGGAGCCACAACACTGGACGGGTGGCGAGTCTCTTGCTGCTCGATGTCTCCGGAGCCTTCGATAACGTCTCACACACACGCCTGCTTCACGATCTGCGGAAGAGACGAGTAGACGAGAAAACAGTAAAGTGGATCGCAAGCTTCCTCAGCAACAGACACACCAGCATCGCAATCGACGGCTTCCGGTCGATAGCATACCAGATCAACACGGGTATACCCAGGGCTCGCCGCTATCGCCTATCCTCTACCTCTTCTACAACGCCGATCTGATAGATGAATGCAACCAAGCGCCAGACGCCATGTCCACAGGCTACATTGACGACGTCGGCATCCTTGCGTGGGGCCAGACGACAGAGCAGACATGTGAGACACTGGGCAAAATCCTTGAGAAAGCACAACGATGGGCCAGCACACGCATCGGTCTTCGCCCCAAACAAGTTCCAACTCACCCACTTTACAAGATCACGCAAGCGCATTAACACAGAGGCCTTAATTCATACCGCGTGGGGCGAGATACGGCCCGAAACAACATGCAAATACCTAGGCTTAACGATGGACGCGAAACTGCACTGGAAGCAACACACCGAGGAGATCAGGCGGAAAGCGACGAAGACAGTGAATGCGCTCAGCTGTCTGGGAGGATCCAACTGGGGCGCTAGCCTCCACGACCTGCGGCGAATATACGAAGGCACAGTGCTCCCCAGATGATGTATGCATGCTCAGTGTGGTCAAACGCTAGCATAAAAGGAAAACTCTACACTAAGAGGATGCTCAACACACTGCAGAGCATACAAGCAAGAGCAGCCAGGGTCATCAGCGGGCATACAAAGCTACATCAAGAGCGGCACTAGACGTAGAGACATTTCTCCTTCCCATCGAGCAGCAAATATGGAAGCACAACTCATACACTGTCGTCCGCCTACTCGAGCAAGAACATCGCAGCCACCTCAGGATTTCAGACAAACACAGCACAGCCGACAGTCCCAGACAAGACTCGCAGACATACCAGCTCCTGGCAGAAGGTTTACAACGACATAACGAGCATGCGAACCCAAGACTTCGACAGGCAAGAGCAGATTCCGTGCTTCCTCACGCCGCCCTGGAGACAGGGCCCAACCACTTACATTGATGCGACCGCTGAGGAAGCACGGGCGCGACACGACAAAGAACACGTAAAGGAAGACAGCCTTAGCATCTACACAGATGGCAGCGGCATCGAAGGCGAAATAGGCTCTGCGGCACTGTGTCCGCTCACACAACAGGCGCGATCCGTACACATGGGTTCAGACATAGAGTCGACGGTATATGCAGCAGAACTACAAGGCATCAGCTTAGCACTGCAGATCGCTCAAGAGTATGCGAGCCGAAACGGTGCGCGACGAGACGTCGCCATATACACAGACAACCAGGCCGCCGTCTGGTCCATCGCCAAGGCGGAGGGACGATCAGGCGCCTACATCCTCGCGGACATCGCGCGACAGGTCCGGGAGCTCCAAGACAACGGACGGACAGTGATCGTCCGATGGATACCGGCCCACGTCGGCATACCCGGGAACGAGGCCGTCGATAAAGCGGCCAAGGAAGCCACCGGATGGAGAGAAGACGGCCGCAGAAGCTTGCCGGCAGACGCGCCTCCCCAGCTGTTCACTATAAGGTCGACTGTAAAAAGATGGTGCAGCATACAAGCCGAACGGGCATGGATAGCAAAGTGGCGCAAGGACACCAAGGGCCGAGCAACCTACAGACACACTCCAACGCCCACCAAGAAAGTACTCCGGCTCCACGAGGGGCTCACTAAGCGGGAGAGCGCGCTGCTGGTGCAGCTGCGGACAGAGAAGATCGGACTCAACGACTTTCTCTTCGCCCGAAGAGTGCCAGACGTCACCAGCCCGCGCTGCGACTGCGGAGCGAGACGACAGACGGTCGCACATATCCTTCTCCACTGCAGCAAGCACAGGCATCTCCGGGACCGTATCTTCGCCAACCTGTCCGGACGAGACAACATCCGGACCATCCTAGGCACGCCACAGCTAGCCACCAAAGCCATCGAGTATGTAGAGCAGACGCAGATCCTTGGGCAAAATGGGGATCGCAGGCGCGAAGACGATAGCTGAGCGCTGGGGGGAGACTGAAGGTATTGCAGACGCAGAACACGAGGCAACCGTGCCTCTACGAGCCTAGAAGTACAGTGTTCAGTTAGTAGAGCCATTATCTAGATGAGCGGACAGGCAAATGTAGATAGTGGTGGGAGGGAAACGGCAGGCCTCTGGGGACAGATGGTTCTTTGGAATGAAGTGGGGCGGCGCGGATCAACGTCCGCACCGCGTCGGCTGTCTGCCAAGCCTGTCAGCCGGGCATAGCTGCTTTTCGCGGCTGCAACCGTGTAGGATCTAATCAAATCAAATCAATCGAATGACTACCCCGCATTTCTCCAGATGCACTTAGGAGCATTCTATTTTCTAACGCCAACTGAACCTTCATAACGTATCGGAGACTCTATTGATTCCATCAAGGGTACGATCTTTTACTTCTCATGTCTTCAAACCAAGATGACCCACAAAAGCCAGTGACTCCACGCAAGAACGCGTCCAGAAGTTCAGCGTCAGTGACTCCACTGGCTCAGTTTAAGCGTTCAAGTGAAGAGCTTCAAGCAGAAATAGTAGTCGGTGCCCATAAAGACGGCGATAGCCGCGAACTGTCCGATGTCGCCACCTCAGTCGCCTCTACCGTGCTTTCCGCGTCCTCCTTGAAAGACCATGATCAGACAGAGGCCGAGATTCTCGATAGTGAAACGCTCAGAACACGATTGAAACTCGACGACTGGCGCTGTGGTGGGTGTAAACCAAATGGGGAGCCTTGTCAACGACGAATATCTAAAAAGCGACAAGTCAAGATCTGCTCCCAACTCGACCAAATGTTGACTCTTTCGCAATCAAGCGAAGGTTTCGACGATGAGCTAGAGGAGTTAATCACGCTTGTACATTGTCAGTCTCATGATCATGGATATGCTAAGGAAGATCGGCTCGAGCTCTGGGCTAAGGTCTTCCCCCAAGGCTCTGCCAGCTCCACTGTCACCACTGAAAAACAAATCAAAAAGGCGTTCGGTCGGCTGGAGCAGCGTTGCATAGGGATGAATCAGAAGAAAGAGCGCTGCCGTCGAAGTATTGGCGGCCAAAGGGTTCAAAATTGCCGCAAAACCATCGACGAAATCTTGCAGCCAGATGTTTACGAGGATGCAGAACTCCTCGAGGGATATTTGAGAGTACTTGAGGTGAATATGTATTGCCCTTCTCACATCGACAAACAAGGATATAAAATGGTCAGCACGTGGAAATCAAGCATCATCGGCATCCTTAAGAAGTCCAAACCCGAATTTGTTCGAGATGCCAATCTACTTATATCCTCGGTCGAGGACGATGCTGAAGCCGTCAATAGCGGAGCTGTATCCGAAAGTACTGATAACACTAAAGAGACTGTCTGGCGCAATGGACAGCTGCCGACTCCAAGGAACACACGCTCGTTATCGCCCGAGTTCTATCATAGTCCATCCAAGTTTTGGCCCTCAGCCTCGGACGCTAGTTCTCTCAAAAGGCTGCCAAGGTTCGACGACATCCGAAACCCCAAGGAATGTTATGATCTGGTGAAGGAGGTTGTCACACGCAACTTGGCCAAAACCCACAACACAGGGGGCTATGTGTACTTGTACGAAGTAGAGGGTAATGAAGGGGTTGTCAAGATCGGATACACCAAAACACTCGAAAAAAGGCACAAAGATTGGGCTTTTGATTGCAACCGGGAGACAAAGCTCTTATACCCACTGTCAAAGGACAGTTTGGAGGAGGTCCCGAATGCACCCCGTGTTGAAGCTCTCTGCCACAGTGAGCTACATTATTGTAGGATTCGGGTGGATTGTAGGGCGTGTTTGAAAGAGCATATTGAATGGTTTGAGATATCACCGAAGAAATGCATCCAGGTCATCAAGAAGTGGTCACAATGGATGAGAACAAATCCCTTCGAAAACGTTGCGACTGACCAGGGGAGACTTTTGAAAAAAGAGGAAAACGAGAAGACGAAGGACATGGATGAATTCATGAAGAGCGTTGCCATGCTAGCCTAGTTATTGGGGACTTTTGGTTTGAAACGTGGAGTGTGGGCAACTTCGACTTTCAGCACGGGCGATCCTCTTGGGCGTTGCGTAACATATGTGTGAGAAATATGAAACTATGTTCCTTCCTGATCCCTCATAAACGAGATACAAACTTAGCCTGCAATTCTATACCTAGCTCTGAGAATTTTCTACTTGCTCTCGTATCCTGTACGATTGAAAAGGCTGAAGGCAGCCTGTCGTAATTCAATACCCCAGGTAGAAGCCGCGTTTATACGTGTCTGTAGCTCCGCTGTCAACTGCATAGCCCTTAACAATCCATTCACTGCCTCCGAACAATCAAGCGGCCAAGACTCTCTCTCTTTTCTCACTCCAATTAATAATTTATCACCCTCTTCAACAAGGGTGTGGCCAGAACGGGTCGGCCGCCCTCCCTGCTTGTGGTGATGACAGCGAGTGTCGAATAGCTTTTATTGCAGTTGAAAAATTATTTGTGAACCAGCTAAAATCTACTCTGGATATCACTCGGCTAGCTAAATTTAGAATAGATCCTGTTACGTTCTGCAATTACCACCTGAGGTTACTTGCCAAGACGTTCACAAAGGCAAGCTTTTTCTTAGCCGACCTCGTATCAATTGTTGCGCAACTTCTCATTACCTCGCTGCTACACCTTCATTGCCTAAAGTCCTATTTTTGTGCATCAAGAAGACTTCAGCGAAACTCAGTCCACAACATTCTACGTTCATTGTAGCCCATGCTTCCGATAGAGCCCGTCAGCTTTACTATTAGTGCAGTTGCCTTGGCTGGCCTTTTCTCTTTGTGTATACAATGTTTCGACCTGATCGAGATTGGCCGGAAGACTAGCGTGTACTACAAGATTTTGGTTGTGAAACTCAGCCTAGAGAAGCGGCGATTGATGGTCTGAAGCGAAGCAGTGGGTATACTCAGGCCGGATCAGGACAGAGATCTTCTTCTGGATGACCTGGAAACGCGGACACTGGTCGAGAGAATACTCTCAAGCGTTCAGAGACTGTTCGATGAAACACAGAATCTTAAGTCGAAGTATGGTCTGGAGAAAGCATCCTCAACGCAAAATAGTCCGAAAGCAATGATTCAGGGCAGCGCGGTTTGCTCGCTGTCTTTTGAGAGCTCACCACTGGTCCAATTTCAGACGAGGTTCTCTGAGCATATTAGAAAAGTAGGGCTTGTGGAGAAGACTCGATGGGCCATTCGAGATTCAAAGAAGTTTGCCACTTTGATTCGAGATTTGAAGGATTTGCTGGATGGGCTTGGTGAGATCACAACATCTTCCAGATCAACGATCCTCAAGGGACAGCTTATTCGGGAAGAGACGCAATCAATGTCGGATCTCAACATGTTGAAAGTTATTGAGTGGACGTGTTCCGATACAGATTGGAGGAGTTCTGCCAGTTCTGCGAGCGCCTACTTTATCAATCAGAATCGGCTGACAACTGAGGGGCGAGAAGACATACAAAAGTGGATGCAGGTTGATCCTCGCCGAGAAGTTGCAGAAGGAATATCTCCAGGTCGGGATCATGTTCAAATGCTGCCAGATACTAGCGAGATTGCGTATGAATCATCACAACTCGCGGTTTCCCTGTACTCGCCACCTCATACGAGACCGAGCAGTCCTAGTAGTTCTAGTCGTCTTAGACTGATAAATTTCGGTACATGTATCCCTGTCATAGGTATGATGCGGATTTTATGCTTACTTGTAAGTAGATTGTGTGTATTCTTCTTCCGATCACCGAGAGGTCTGTGATCTAAGCTTATATACATAGAGTAGTGGGCTGATTGGTCGCTGGATAGTCCACGTGACCATGCAAGGTACCCTGGGCTTACACACCTCCCTCAGGTTCGAACGTATGTAGAAGCTGATGTGATCATAGGCCACCCCCTACCCTGTTCAGGTAGAGCTGCTTGTTTGAGTGCGGTGGGTAGCCGCTTGATTGGAGCAGTTCCAGGTGGGGATCGTCCGCCGTCGCGGTGTTGGTTGATCTCGCTGATGAGCGTCCTCAAAAGCATATGAGATCTAATTGCCTCTCGCTCTGTATGGAGGTTGGTGGTATCCCTAACAAACATGAAAGTAAAGAGCGTAAGGAGTACAGCCTCATTAAACCTGTAAAAACCGTGTAGGAAAAACCAGGAAGAGTACTGTACATTGTAGAGCTCATAATTTAGGAAATGTGTTGAAATGCAAAAGTGATACCCAATTTTCGTGTCTCTGACGAGGCAACAGTTTAGTTAGACCATCTGCTGGCTGGCTTTTGGTCTGTATGTATGAAAGATTGATGTTGTGTGCTTGTGCTTCCTGGCGAAGCCAGTGATGATGTATATCGACGTGTCGCAGTGAGGTCTTGAGGCGTGGCGTAGCCGTAGTGACTAAACGAATTGTCTGCTGGTTGTCACAGAACAGTATTTGCTCATTGCCTGGATCGAATTCGATGTCCTTGAATAGCCTCCACCACCAGAGAAGCTCAGTGCCTGCTGATGATGCAGCAACCAGCTCAGCTTCAGTGGTAGACTTGGTAACACATCGTTGAAGTGTCGCTTTCCAGTCAATAGGGGCGCCAGACAGGAAGAATATATAGCCTTGAGAGCTCCTTAGTGTAGTGTCTCGAAAGCGGCGTAAAGAGGACGACATCTAATGGCTGTAAGCTGTAGGTTAAATAAGGTGGATACATCATAACTATAATGCGTTTAGCTTCACAATACTCTAAAAACTTGGGCGTGAGGTGGCTGGCGTGGCCGTCAAGTATCAGAAGGCGCCATTGCCGGCGAGCTTTGGCTACTATATAGCGATTGAACACCTGCTCAAGCCAGGCAAGTCCCAGGGCATTGTTTAACCATCCCGTCGCCGAGTGGGAGACGAAAACCTGGTGTTATTCGGCTAAAAGGTCGTCAACCCAGCTTAATTGAATTCTAGAGGTGCCCTGGTAGATGAGAGCGGGCGGCAATGACTCCCCAGAAGCGTATACGCAAGCCAGTAGCGTTATCCATTCTCTGTTGCCATCTCTAATCGCCGAAGTACGCTCTCTTAACTCCCAAACTACCTTAGAGAAGATCCTTCTAGTGCGGCTAGCGATGCCAACAAAGAAGCCTTTCTTATACATATTGTACGTGTTGCGCTCTTCAATGCCATGTTCTCGCATCTTGGAGTGTAGTAGATTGAAGTATAACTCATATTTATGCTTACTCTCAGCTAAGTGACGCTCACGATCGATCCCGGTGTCCTATTTAGTGGTGAGCTTGTCTGCATGGCGATATTGAAACCAGGTAATCCAGCTTTAGGAAACCTCCAACTGCGCAACTGCGCTGCTAAATTTTTTTTAAAATACCTCGTGTAATTAGCAAGCCTTCCCTTGTGCATCTTTCTATACATCTTACTAACTCGTCCTCTTGTTGTGGGTTGAGTACTTGCTAGTGTTGTGCCTGGGCGCGTAGGGATCGCTGTACACCTCTGTGCCTTCGCGACGGCGTTATTTAGTTTACACTAAATATTTTTGCGACTTCGCGGTACGAGAAATTATATTTAGCTATACGCGATTCTAAATATTTAATCGCCTCTGAAATTGGATCTATGGTGGTGGAGTTATATTGATTTGAAGTTGGGATGAAACATTGTGGGGTGGCTCGACCCGCCAACTGGCTCGACCTGCGCACGGGCATTGTACCCCCTGCTTGCCTCAGGGATCTGGCCTTGCGGGATCCTGCCCGCGCAGCTTGCGATGCTACGCTTGAGGATGTCCTCGCTGCGCCCGTCCAGCCAGAACACCGAGCTGAACTGGCAGTAGTGTCGCCGCGCAAACTCTACTGCCAGCTGCGTCTTGCCCATCCCGCCGAGGCCACGTAGCACGTGTATCTTCTGGCGCTGGCGCTGGTCCTGTCTTGGTCGCGGCAGCAACACACGTTCGAGCTCCGCCATCTCTGCCGGCCTGTCTACGAACCTACGCGCTTTTGGGACGCCCTCAAGGCTAAAATCAGTTTTGTATATTCCAAAGTCGACACGCGCTTTAGCTACGAGCCATGCATAAGAATAGACGTTTGCACTGACACTCTCGACCAGCGATGCTGCCCGCGCACGCCTGCATCCTGCGAGCTGATGTACCGCCGCGTCGCTGCCGCCATCTCCTTGACCTTCTTCGCCTCCTCCAGCCCGATGTCCTCCAGCCCCCGCGCCACGTTAAAGCGATAGTACCGCCCCGTGCTGTCCAGCAGCTCCCGCTCGCGCCGGAACCGCTCCGCCGTCTGCTCTGTCTCCGTGGCTATCGCAGCCAGCGTCTGGCCGATGTTGAAGACGTCGTCCTTGAACGCCTTCAGCGACGGCACCCCTGTCCCGATCGAGACCAGACACTTGACCCTGCCCTCCAGCGGCTCGGGGCCCCACGCTAGCTGCGCCTGGTCCCACACCTCCGCACCGGGTTGTTCGCCCCTGTATCGAACATAAATATCTGAATACCCCGCGCACTGTCCGGCGCCTTCCTGCGATTAGTACAAGCAATGTTCTTGTTTAAGAACTGGAACATAGGGGAACACGGGTACAAGCTAGGAACAGAATGTTATAGTCAGCAGAAATATGCTGAGGCAGACCCGCTGTTGCGACAGTCGGCTGAGCAGCGGGAGAAGGTGCTGGGCGCGGACCATGAGGATACCCTTGCTAGTAAAGAGCTTTCGCGCAAAGTGACTCTTGCGCAGGCGCCAGCTGCTATAACAAATACCCTCGCAGACACCGTGTCTCGCCGGTTAAGCGATTTCTTCGCCGAGGGCAACCAAAGGCAAACAGCGTACACCGACTCTGGGATTCAGCAGGTCTCGCTCCTCTTAGGTCAAGTCAACCTGCAATGGAGCAAAGTTCCTGTAACATACATAGTTCTTCGGGCGATCGGCTGCCTAGACCTCCTGAACACCTTTATCGACCTAGGCTTCTCCGACCACTGGTTCCCTGTGACTGAGCGAAGCCTTCCGCCATGTCTTCGGCCCAGCAGGCGCTCACAGTTTGTGGCTGCTCAGGACTTAGTAATGACCAAGTCTGTAGACCTTGAGAAGGGCGAGAAGGGCTAGCACTGCTTCTTCCGAGAGCATGAGCCTCTTCCGCTCGAGATGAAAGGGATCCTTGGTTCTGGGGGGTTCGGGCAGGTTGACCGGGTTCTTAGCTTAATTAGCTTCCGAGAGTATGCACTGAAGCGAGTATCGCGGAGCAGCGCGTTTGGTGGACGAGGAACAGAACACGTCAAACAGTTCATCGCTGAGATTAAGGCGTTAAAGCGTATAAAGCACCACCACGTAGTAGAGTTTGTTCAGAGCTACACCGACCCAAAGTATATGGGTCTGATCATGTCTCCCGTTGCTGACATGGACCTGTCTACCTACCTCGCACGCGCCGACACGGCCAGACACCGAGAGCTGCGTACCTTCTTTGGTTGTCTGGCTCGGGCGCTTGAGTTCTTGCACGAGCAAAGCATTCGGCACAAAGACATCAAACCTAGCAACATCTTAGTGTATGGCTGAAACGTCCTATATACAGATTTTGGGCTCGCATTAAATTTCACCGACAAAGACGGCCGCACGACGGCCAGCATGGTGAATGGAACGACGCCGAGGTATTGTGCGCCTGAGGTGGCTAACTATGAACCTCGGAACACGTCGTCCGACATCTGGAGCCTAGGAGTTGTCTTTCTTGAGATAGCAGCAGTGTTGAAGGATAGAACAGTTGAATATGTTTACAACTTCCTTAAAGAGCACGGTTCACGGCAGGCATTTGTGCGCACAAATTCTACTGGCACTAACGCTCTTATTATAGAGCTTAAAGAAACAGGTGGTCTTACCGACAACGCAGCGCTTGTGTGGGTTCAGGATATGGTCATGCTACAACAACAGCTGCGGCCTACAGCGGCGTCGCTGATGGCATCTATTACTAGCGCAGATGAGAAGGGGGGCAGAAATGAAGCTTTCCGCGGGATATGCTGCGCTTCGCGTGATGACTTCTTGAGCGATTTTGACGAGCTCAAGATAGCTGATACTAAGTGAAGTGAAGTATCTGTCTACGGCTTGGTATATGTATTAGTTGCGATGTGCTCGACAGCACAAGAACGCGGTGGGTTGGATGAGGGATCAACGGCGGGTCTGCGGAGCCGTAGGGCGGCGCGATAGTGTATGTGCTGCCGCTCATTTTGTTAGTGTTGTCTTTCCACTCTCCTCCATCACACCCCTGTCCGTTTGCGACAGTATATATTTGCGAAAAGCTCGATGGGCTAAGAAGGAGGCCAAGGTAGCAAAGATCAAGACTGGATCCTCGCAAGGTCGACTTAGGGTGATATAGGCACATTCCGGCAGTTTCTCCGCGCGGACGGCAAGATCGTTAAATCGCGTCTAATAACTTGACTTAACACAAAAGTTTCGCGTACATCTATATAGGGATGCGTCAAGAAGCCTCGTGATGATGACTATTGTGAGTGGCTCAATAGCCCCATTATTGGCATGGTGAACATGTTGGTGGCGTGGCTCAACAAGCGCGTCGGCTACCACGGTGATCCAACTTGCATAGTATAGTGCCCGCCAGTGTCCGAACCCATCTTCCCCACATTGCTCTTCTCCGTGTTGAATGTCATGAGATTATTCTACGCACGTAAGTGACTGTTTTCACCGGACACAAGGAACAAACTCACAGCCGGCTTGATTATTTTCTCCAACGCTAACATCAAATCCTCGTCTTGCCCCCTCGCTGCATTCCCCAACTCCAGGAATGGTTCGATGAGATCCGATACCTCCCGGGCGGCGAGTTCAACTTGTCTTTGCTTTCGAGCCGGAAAAAGATCCACGAGCTGATTTGTCAAATTGGTAATCTCGTCAACCAGTGCTTTCAAGTGTTTCTCATCGTAGAGAGTAAATTTGATCTTCTTCGCCAGAGATGCACCGTTCTGCCTCTTCTTAGCCATTGCTCGGATTTTCTCGTGGAGCGAGAAGGTCATCGGGTCCATCATTCCGTCGTTGACAATTGTGAGGCTTTCGCTGTCGGTTGCTTTATCGGTCTTGTATTGTTTGGAAATCTCCATTGCTTTACTGAATTGCTCGAGAATATGGCCAAGGTTCTGCTCTGCTTTATGTTGGTTTGCTTCCGACCAGACGTTGGATGGCAACGCCGTCGCGTCGTTGATGCCACCTCCACTCAGGCCTAAGTCATCTCCCCAACGCGACAGCCTTAATTGTGCGTTGTCCAACTTGAGGAGGTAAAGCTCAAAGTTCGAGCCGAACGATTTACCGATGTGGACGTATTCGAAGCAGTCGATGACATTGTTGAAGAGGCTAGCTAGGCTAATCACGCCTACGACGAAACCACCGACTTCCATTCTAAGAGCAAAGTATTACTTTGTTTGCTAGAGCTTGATGAGAATGTCTCCTATATTAATAGTCCCAGGCCGTGGGGGATGGACGGGATCCAGAGGGCCGCGCTGACGGGCGGTCCGTCGCCTTGGCCAAGCTCCCTGCAGGCAGAAGCGAAGCAGTCTCCAACACGCCTACAGCCACTGTCTAGAACAGCTCGCCCACAACCACCCGCTCACGAGAGCTGGGCGAGCCGGAAACGGCAAATGCAAGGTATGCTGATTTTCACAGCACATGCAGCTGATAATGTCGCTTAGCGAGCGCTATCTAACGAGCTACTCTATTGATTGGCAATGCCGTGGAGATGAAGTGGCGAGCATGTCGCACAAGCCATAAGCACACAGAAGGACGCAGGCGGGGTAGAGCTAAGCCCCCGCTCCAATGCGTTTGAGCACAGACTAACTGCCGACAGCGTTAGACCTCCTGACCACTTGGAAGTGATACTGCATATTTGTGGCGCAAGTACTGATAAGACAAGGTTCTAGCGCATCAGGGTACCGGCAAGCAGTAGTTGACGCTGCTGACGGTTATTTGCAAGGGCCACGAGCGCCACGAGGCTAAATTCTTAGAGCCAACAATAGTACGAGTTGCTAATTCCGAGTCTATCGGCCTCCCGCTTCCAACAAGACATCTTAGACTGATAGTAAGACGGCTACGTTCTTAGCTTACTATCAGCCCTAGTACATTGCCGCCAAGTCCACTTAGTAATGCCTCTACCTTTTTTCTAGCTGGCCCTAGACAAGATCTATAGCGAACCGAAGGGATCAACTCGACAATGACCTCGCCTGCAACGTTCCCAGCTTGCACTTGCTCCACTCTCAACGCCAACGGATCAAATGTGCAGGCGTTGGGTGGCCATTATGAGAAATGGTAAGCAGCTGCAGAATAGAAGCCGAGACCTTGAACCTTAAGAGCTAACTGCGAATCGCAGCAATTTCACCATGTACCTAAGAGAAGACGATCGCTGCTTACAATACCTTCCTTGTACTGATCCTCGATTAGACAAGAAGCGTATCCAAGAAAGGAAGGGTGGACTGCTAGAGGACTCGTACCGCTGGATTCTCGACAGCCCCAACTTCCAGCAATGGAGAGACGACTCGCAGAGCCGACTGCTGTGGATCAAGGGCGACCCCGGCAAAGGCAAGACGATGCTGCTTTGCGGTATCATTGACGAGCTGAGCAAGCCAGTGGCCCCGACAACCCATTTATGCTACTTCTTCTGCGAGGCCGGATACAAGCATAACAACAACGCCACGGACGTGATTCGAGGACTGCTGTATATGCTTGTGGATCAGCAGCCATCGCTCGTTTCACACATACAGAAGCTATGCAAAACCCTAGGCAAAGCACTCTTTGAAAGTGTCAACTCCTGGGTCGCATTGTGCGATACCTTTACCGCCATCCTGCAAGACCCAAGCTTAGACAGTGCGTGCTTTTTCGTTGATGCGCTCGACGAGTGCGTGATGGGCCTAGACAAGCTGCTGGTGTTCATCGTCCAGATATTGTCTTCATCTTCGCGTGCCAAGTGGATAGTCACGAGCCGTGGCCTTTTCAACATTGAGAAGAAACTACGACTAGACAGCTCTAGAACGAGGCTAAGCCTTGAGCTAAAGGAGAACGCGGCGCAAGTATCGCGTGCTGTGGACGCTTACATCGACTACCGCCTCCAGGAACTAGAGAGTATCCAACACAACCAACTCCTGCAATTGTCAGTTCGGAACGAAATGCGACGGAAGGCAAATAGCACATTCCTCTGGGTATCTCTTGTTATGAAGGAGCTAAAGGATGCCGAGTCTTGGGAGGTACTGCAGGTCCTCAAAGAAATACCGACAGAGCTAACGGCACTTTACCAACGAATGATGGAGCATATCGAGCAACTGAAGCGCAAGAATCCAGAACTATGCCGGCGGACTCTTGCCACCGTTGTCACTGCATACCGACCGCTACATTTGCAGGAGCTTTATGCTCTAGCAGACTTGCCTAGGGAAGGCCCTAATGTAGAAGGAACGGCTGCGACCATCGTAAAGATGTGCGGTTCGTTTCTTACAATACGAGAACACCATGTCTACGTCATCCACCAGACCGCAACGGAATTCTTATCAACAAAACCAGTACTCCACACTATATTTCCCTCTGGTAAAGAGGAATTTCACAAGGCTGTCTTTTTGAGGTCGCTCCAATGCATGTCTACGACGCTACACCGAGATATGTACGACTTGCGCGAGCCGGGTTATTCTGCGAAAGAGATCCAACAGCCAGATCCTGACCCCCTAACAGCGTTGCGCTACTCGTGTATCTACTGGGTCGATCATCTCTACGACTCAGAACCCGACTCCCACACGGACCCCGATGCCAACCTGCAGGACGGGGGCACTGTGGACCAATTCATGAGAACGAAATACCTTTACTGGCTTGAGGCCTTAAGCCTTTTTGAAAGCATGTCAGAGGGTGTGCTTGCGATGGCAAAGCTTGATACTTTAGCTCAGGTGACTATTAAAGTAGCAGTGCTTTGTATGGTGTATGCTAACACGATGCAGAGAAGAGCAGGTGCTCAGAGCGTCAAAGAGTTACTTCAAGATGCGCGCCAGTTTATCATGTACCATGTCCCGGCAATTCAGAACAGCCCTCTCCAAGTATATGCATCTGCACTCCTGTTTAGTCCAGACCGCAGTCTTGTAAAGAGTTGTTTTAGAGAAGAAACTCCAAAAGGAATCTCGAGAAGGACAGCTATGGGGGGTCAGTGGAGTGCCTGCCTACAGACGCTTAAAGGCCATAGCGGTTCAGTCAACTCAGTAGCCTTCTCGCACGACTCGGCCCGGCTGGCGTCGGCATCGGACGACGAGACGATCAAGATATGGGATGCGACCCGCGGCGATTGCCTCCGGACACTTAAAGGCCATAGCGATTCAGTCCTGTCAGTAGCCTTCTCGCACGACTCGGCCTGGCTGGCGTCGGCATCGGCCGACCACACGGTCAAGATATGGAATGCGAGCAGCGACGACTATCTCCTGACGCTCGATGAACATAACGGTTCAGTCAACTCAGTAGTCTTCTCGCACGACTCGAAGTGGCTGGCGTCGGCGTCATCCGACCAAACGGTCAAGATATGGGATGCGAGTAACGGCGAGTGCCTCCGGACGCTTGAGGGCCATAGTGGTATGGTCAGGTCAGTAGCCTTCTCGCACGACTCGGTCCGGCTAATGTCAACGTCGACGTCGCCCGACAGGAGGATCAAGGCATGGGGTGCGAGTAATGGCGGGTGCCTCCAAACGCTCAAGGCCAATAGCGGTTCGGCCTCAGTAGCCTTCTCGCACGACTCGAAATGGCTGGCGTCGGCGTCGTCCTTCGATAAGACGGTTAAGATATGGGATGCGAGCAGCGGCGAATGCCTCCAGATGCTCAAGGGTCATAACGGTGAGGTCAGGTCAGTAGCCTTCTCGCACGACTCGGCCCGGCTGGCGTCGGCATCGGACGACGAGACGGTCAAGATATGGGATGCGAGTAACGGCGAGTGCCGCCGGACGCTTAGGGGCCACAGCCTTTGGGTGCAGTCAGTAGCCTTCTCGCACGACTCGGCCTGGCTGGCGTCGGCATCGGCCGACCGCACGGTCAAGATATGGAATGCGAGCAGCGACGACTACCTCCTGACGCTCGATGGACATAGCGGTTCAGTCAACTCAGTAGTCTTCTCGCACGACTCGAAGTGGCTGGCGTCGGCGTCATCCGACCAAACGGTCAAGATATGGGATGCGAGTAACGGCGAGTGCCTCCGGACGCTTAAGGATCATAGTGATCCAGTCAGATCAGTAGCCTTCTCGCACAACTCGAAGTGGCTGGCGTCGGCGTCATCCGACCACACGGTCAAGATATGGGATGCGAGTAACGGCGAGTGCCGCCGGACGCTTAGGGGCCACAGCCTTTGGGTGCAGTCAGTAGCCTTCTCGCACGACTCGGCCTGGCTGGCGTCGGCATCGGCCGACCGCACGGTCAAGATATGGAATGCGAGCAGCGACGACTACCTCCTGACGCTCGATGGACATAGCGGTTCAGTCAACTCAGTAGTCTTCTCGCACGACTCGAAGTGGCTGGCGTCGGCGTCATCCGACCACACGGTCAAGATATGGGATGCGAGTAACGGCGAGTGCCGCCGGACGCTTGAGGGCCATAGTGGTATGGTCAGTTCAGTAGCCTTCTCGCACGACTCGGCCCGGCTGGCGTCGGCATCGGACGACAAGACGATCAAGATATGGGATGCGACCCGCGGCGATTGCCTCCAGACACTTTCTATTGGTAAGGTACTTAAAAGCATCTCATTTGACACCGGCAGCTCATGTCTTCACACCGATATTGGCATTATTGAAATTCGTACCCTATCCAATTCAGGACCTCAGAATTATCAACGTAAAGGCCCAGCCTTAAGTGCAGATGATGTATGGATAGGATTTGATTCAGAGAACCGAATATGGCTACCAATTGAGTACCGGCCACGTTGTTCAGTGGTGTCAGGAAAGATGATTGGAATTGGTGTTCGATCCGGAAAAGTATGGATATGCAAAGTTGATTTAGATGCATTTTACGATGTTGGTGTATTCGTGTAATGATAATTTGATATGTATTCTCATTCCAATCCTCTTATGTAAGAATGGAGATTGAAACAAAACTATAGCTTGTTAAGTTAATCTCCGCAGTGAGTAAGGCTTCAAGCGTACTCTACATTAAGTAGCTGTTGAGGAGAAGAGCGTGTGAAGGGGTAGATCAATCGATCTACCAAGTGGTCTTACGGCCAAGGCTTAGCTTGCCCCATATGAATAGTACTTGGTCGTCCGATCCTTCGTTTGTGCAATCTGATCAAATTGTTCCTGCACAAAAAGCTCCAGCTCATCAATCCACGGCAGTTGGTGAATCACGTTCTGAAGGCTCGTCACTTAAGACGCGCCAGGAGCGGCCGAACGCCTCGATCACGCTAATAGGGAGGATGGTCAAGCCGCAGCAACCACACCCTTTGCCATGGATGTCTGGATTGGATGGCACTGAAGAGACATGAGGGTCATTATCCATGACAGGACGGCATGCAGCCTGAGATAGCGTAGCACCATACCAAGCATAACTACCATCAAATCTCTGCTCTGCCTAACCCCGCGCTCATAAGCGTCGATGACCTGAGCTCTTCATCCCCCTCAGAGATCAAACTGAAGCGCTTCTCCACCACCCTAATGATTGCAGTGCTCATGCAAGGAGCCATCCGCTGTATGACAGTACCATAGCTGTATCCCCAAGATATGCAGAGTCTTTCCACCTTTGTACGTGTGTGTAACGACAGCATTCTTCTAGTGGCACGCACTCCGCTTACCAAAGCGTACACTGGGACCTTGGTACTCTGTACCATGCCAGTCTGTGTCCCTTGCCATGCCCACTGTGTGATACCTGCCCGCTTTATCCTACAGAAGCCTCCTAACTCCCTGTATTCCCCTTCAACGAGCTGAATCGACATGCAGCTATTGCTTGATATACGTATCGGTCGCGATGTGCTCGAAAGCATGAGGAGGTGATAGGTCGGACGCGGGATCAACGGCGGGTCTGCGGAGCTTTAGAGCAGTGCGACAGTTTATCCCTGTGACATGCAAGCTTTCGCGTTAGCTATGGTCGTGCAATACCCTGCACCTCGAAGCTGCACAATGGCTGTATCGGAAGCTGCTTGCGGTTTCGATGCTAGGTGTGTTCGTTGACATGAGCTATACGCCAGGCCTTTCAACCTAGCCCTGCTCCCAATCCGAGCCGGTTTTCGGATATCCTGGAGCGGTTGGCAAAAGTGCCGTACAGCCACAGCCGCACAGCCACAGATCTAGCGTCAGTAGCGATAGATTACAGCTAAGCTACTTAAAGATAGGTGTGCGGGTTATCCTCATCTAATTAGCACTTCTAGTAGTCGGACTTAGAATTAGCACAGAAGCACAACAATCTCTCAAGCTTAAGCGCAGTGCTCGGGATAGGACAAAAATATAGCAAATTGTAAATTGACGGACTTTCGACAAGATGCACGAGCTTTCGACGCACCTACTGCTAGCCAAAGCGAAGCGGCCGTGTGACGCTCATACCAAATGGTCGTATTACACGATAAGCCGAACCTATTTCTCAAGACGTCAGAAAAGTATAGAATTAATAGCGTAAGACTAATACTCCGAGAATATCTATGCTTCTGACCTGTTGTGGATATTGTTATGTTGGGGGAATGTCATTGCCGCCCCGCCACGCAGGGTGTCCCATTACGCGGGGATGGACGTTAGTGTTTATCTTCTGTTTTCTGTAGAGACTGGCTGCTGACATTATCGCTCGACTTCCAGGTCACTCCATACAAATGGCGAGCAACTGCAAGCCACACCTGACGCTGAGCCACTTACCCATATGACTGGGCACCTGCAACCGCACAGCCCCAGCCAAAGCGCTGCCGCAGGGTTCGACTGCTGAATTCACCCAACCCCGCCGAGGCCCACCAACGTGATGCGAGACGCTGGCGCGGCGCATCGCTCGCGTATTTGCTCGAGCAGCGGTCCACGAGCGACAAACTCGGGGTTGCAGCGGAACGCCACAAAGCATGAAGCTGTAGTAGAGTCTTGGGACGCTCTGCGGCTAGTGTTAGAGTAGAGATAGTCACTTGCTGGGTGCGGAAACGTGGATAGCGCTAGAGTTGTAGTCTACCTACAGTTATCGCGCACTTGCACATCCTGTAAGATGCAGATGCTATCTCTATCAATCGTATAGTAAAAACTATGGTTAGGTCAACTTTGGTCTTGTTCGAAGTCAATCAATAAGTTCCATTGTTTAATGGATTTGAAAGTAAATAAGTCGTCCTCTGCAAGCTGTGACAGTAAGTACTACAACTCGTGCGAACCCCACTACCTTCACCTGCCTCTTCCATGTTATATAGTCTGTAAATATGCGAATTAATAGATTTAAACTGTAGAAAAAATCACTATAATAGGCATATTCCCACTGCGCTTTAATGCCTTCATAATTTGCTGCAGACTGTTTTAGTGTATCTAGGAACTAGGATATCTCGCTCAAACAACGTATTTCTGTTGCCAGCTAGTGTCACCAAGTTTGGTCCAAACTAACGCAATGCGTTTAGGTTCCTTTTGAGGATAAAAGTAAACCTTCAGTTGTCCGGAATTGTAGTTGATGTGGGCAGAAATAGAAGTCCCAGGAACTGCCTGTAGGTCGAGATTGCTCTGTCCAAGTGACCCCATGGTCCATTTAGGAGAGCTGCTTCCGTCTTGGACTGCTTGCTTTGGAATGTCTTTGCAAACCTCTTGGATCATATTGTTCTTGTCCGAATAGTACACCCTAGTCTGTGCGGTAGGCATCAGCGCTGCGACTTGTGCTGACATAACACTTGGGACATTGGCAAACTCTACTTACGCTCCATTTGTCGCCCCACTCATAAGCCAGAGCAGCAAGATCCTTACTGCCACACTCGGGATCTTGATTGGCAATTTCTACGTAACCATCCTTGTAGTTTAAGGGTTTTTCCTTGCTATTCTTCTCACCTTCCTGTACCGCTTCGCGGATGCAGAGGTTGTTCTGATCGTTAACAAAGAAGATTGTGCTCTTGCCAGCACTTCCTTGTGCGCTCGTAATAGGTCCCTTTTGGTAAAAAGAGTTAAATCCGCGCCTGAAAGATACCCTTAGCAGGGCATACTTACATTCATGATGAATTGACAAGACTATATGTAAAGGCTTGTGAGTTGGTTCTGGGGAATTCGATAGTCCTGCGTTCTTTAATTGCTATTAAAAAGACTCTAGGCTTGGTAGAGGGACAAGCTCATATTTATGTTCGGGGATGAAGCTCTAGATCTAGGCGGTAGTCATTCTCAGTTAGGCTACTAGCTGTGCTGGATCCTCAGCTCTACATGGTCAGCCCGACCCAACGTTATCTGTCTGAACTCCCCATCACAGCTGAGAGATCCAACTGATCGCTTTCTCGTAACCCGTCACAAGGGGGCTGATCTCCTGCGGTCTTTTCCACATCGAGCGATACGCACTGTCTCCTGCGGGTAGCTGCTTATAGGTTACCATTACTTTGACATTAGCGAGTGCAAACTCTAATATGTAGTAAGCGGGCATGTCCTTATGAGTAAGCATGGTCCTACGTAGTTATCCTTGCAGTTTAGATTGCGCCTACTACTAGTCTGAACGAGCATCCGCTCTAATGGCACCCACCGCACACGTATTCAACTCGCCACAATATGTTAATTTAATGCGTGTTCCTATTCTTGTATAGTACATTTATCTAGCGATTGTGCTTAGCGACGCTTAGTAACCTGATTTCGCCACACTAAGACCCTTGTCGTAAGTGCAAACGCTGTCGAATAGATAGTAGTCGCCACAACACTAGAGGCGGAGAAATGGGAGTACAACCCCTCGGAGAAGCCGCATTTTAGCGTCGTAAAGTCGTTTTGACACATTATTTCGTACATGGCGATGCATAATGATGCAATCGGATGAGCGTGCCGACCCATGGAACGGAACGGAACGGTGCCTAGTTGACAGCCGCAGCTGAATGCAAACGCGCAAGTTAGTAAGCCCTATGACTTCCAACAGCTTGGAATCTTGTGACAGACACAGACCGCCCACTAGCCCAAGCTTTAGCTAAGCCGAGGGATGTATCCATGTGATCTGGGATGTTGCCTGTATGATACTCAGTTCCTGTTGTGCCTCGAGGCTAGTCGTATACCGTGTATACCGTGATAGGTAAAGTCCCTCCCTGCGTGCCGAAAAACCCTGTGTGCCGAAAACCCACTTATACGCTGCATCACAACAATGTCAACACATGCTTAGAGGCGTCAATACTCTCGGAATATACTCTCCCTACCTTGAAATTGGTCGTCACTTCTCCGCTCCTCCGACTCAGCTCCAGTGTGTCCATCAACCAAGTAACTTACTTGGTTGACACTAGGGTTCCAGGCAACTGTGGACCCTCTGAACCGACCAGTTCAACCGGTTGCTTTAACGTAAGCAGATCGTCTTAAGGTGATTGGCCAGTGTCGCGCGTCGGTGCTTAAGGTTCCAACTAATTTAGTCCAGCCCACTGTAGTGCTCTAGCGCCCTGATGTCAACCAAGTAAGTTACTTGGTTGATGGACACACTGGAGCTGAGTCGGAGGAGCGGAGAAGTGACGACCAATTTCAAGGTAGGGAGAGTATATTCCGAGAGTATTGACGCCTCTAAGCATGTGTTGACATTGTTGTGATGCAGCGTATAAGTGGGTTTTCGGCACACAGGGTTTTTCGGCACGCAGGGAGGGACTTTACCTATCACGGTATACACGGTATACGACTAGCCTCGAGGCACAACAGGAACTGAGTATCATACAGGCAACATCCCAGATCACATGGATACATCCCTCGGCTTAGCTAAAGCTTGGGCTAGTGGGCGGTCTGTGTCTGTCACAAGATTCCAAGCTGTTGGAAGTCATAGGGCTTACTAACTTGCGCGTTTGCATTCAGCTGCGGCTGTCAACTAGGCACCGTTCCGTTCCGTTCCATGGGTCGGCACGCTCATCCGATTGCATCATTATGCATCGCCATGTACGAAATAATGTGTCAAAACGACTTTACGACGCTAAAATGCGGCTTCTCCGAGGGGTTGTACTCCCATTTCTCCGCCTCTAGTGTTGTGGCGACTACTATCTATTCGACAGCGTTTGCACTTACGACAAGGGTCTTAGTGTGGCGAAATCAGGTTACTAAGCGTCGCTAAGCACAATCGCTAGATAAATGTACTATACAAGAATAGGAACACGCATTAAATTAACATATTGTGGCGAGTTGAATACGTGTGCGGTGGGTGCCATTAGAGCGGATGCTCGTTCAGACTAGTAGTAGGCGCAATCTAAACTGCAAGGATAACTACGTAGGACCATGCTTACTCATAAGGACATGCCCGCTTACTACATATTAGAGTTTGCACTCGCTAATGTCAAAGTAATGGTAACCTATAAGCAGCTACCCGCAGGAGACAGTGCGTATCGCTCGATGTGGAAAAGACCGCAGGAGATCAGCCCCCTTGTGACGGGTTACGAGAAAGCGATCAGTTGGATCTCTCAGCTGTGATGGGGAGTTCAGACAGATAACGTTGGGTCGGGCTGACCATGTAGAGCTGAGGATCCAGCACAGCTAGTAGCCTAACTGAGAATGACTACCGCCTAGATCTAGAGCTTCATCCCCGAACATAAATATGAGCTTGTCCCTCTACCAAGCCTAGAGTCTTTTTAATAGCAATTAAAGAACGCAGGACTATCGAATTCCCAGAACCAACTCACAAGCCTTTACATATAGTCTTGTCAATTCATCATGAATGTAAGTATGCCCTGCTAAGGGTATCTTTCAGGCGCGGATTTAACTCTTTTTACCAAAAGGGACCTATTACGAGCGCACAAGGAAGTGCTGGCAAGAGCACAATCTTCTTTGTTAACGATCAGAACAACCTCTGCATCCGCGAAGCGGTACAGGAAGGTGAGAAGAATAGCAAGGAAAAACCCTTAAACTACAAGGATGGTTACGTAGAAATTGCCAATCAAGATCCCGAGTGTGGCAGTAAGGATCTTGCTGCTCTGGCTTATGAGTGGGGCGACAAATGGAGCGTAAGTAGAGTTTGCCAATGTCCCAAGTGTTATGTCAGCACAAGTCGCAGCGCTGATGCCTACCGCACAGACTAGGGTGTACTATTCGGACAAGAACAATATGATCCAAGAGGTTTGCAAAGACATTCCAAAGCAAGCAGTCCAAGACGGAAGCAGCTCTCCTAAATGGACCATGGGGTCACTTGGACAGAGCAATCTCGACCTACAGGCAGTTCCTGGGACTTCTATTTCTGCCCACATCAACTACAATTCCGGACAACTGAAGGTTTACTTTTATCCTCAAAAAGGAACCTAAACGCATTGCGTTAGTTTGGACCAAACTTGGTGACACTAGCTGGCAACAGAAATACGTTGTTTGAGCGAGATATCCTAGTTCCTAGATACACTAAAACAGTCTGCAGCAAATTATGAAGGCATTAAAGCGCAGTGGGAATATGCCTATTATAGTGATTTTTTCTACAGTTTAAATCTATTAATTCGCATATTTACAGACTATATAACATGGAAGAGGCAGGTGAAGGTAGTGGGGTTCGCACGAGTTGTAGTACTTACTGTCACAGCTTGCAGAGGACGACTTATTTACTTTCAAATCCATTAAACAATGGAACTTATTGATTGACTTCGAACAAGACCAAAGTTGACCTAACCATAGTTTTTACTATACGATTGATAGAGATAGCATCTGCATCTTACAGGATGTGCAAGTGCGCGATAACTGTAGGTAGACTACAACTCTAGCGCTATCCACGTTTCCGCACCCAGCAAGTGACTATCTCTACTCTAACACTAGCCGCAGAGCGTCCCAAGACTCTACTACAGCTTCATGCTTTGTGGCGTTCCGCTGCAACCCCGAGTTTGTCGCTCGTGGACCGCTGCTCGAGCAAATACGCGAGCGATGCGCCGCGCCAGCGTCTCGCATCACGTTGGTGGGCCTCGGCGGGGTTGGGTGAATTCAGCAGTCGAACCCTGCGGCAGCGCTTTGGCTGGGGCTGTGCGGTTGCAGGTGCCCAGTCATATGGGTAAGTGGCTCAGCGTCAGGTGTGGCTTGCAGTTGCTCGCCATTTGTATGGAGTGACCTGGAAGTCGAGCGATAATGTCAGCATGGCTGCTGAGATTTGTCCCCCGTTTTTGAGATTTGTCCCCTCCAAAGTACCGAATTGCTTTGCATCTACACAACTTAACACTAGCAAGATTTTAAATAAACTTTCAAACGTTAAAAAATCTTCTAGGGCCTCGCAAAGCTCCTATAAAAATTTGAAACTAAAGATTAGTCTGTGTTGTAGTTGAATTGCATGTTAAAGTTAGTAGCATTTTCGAAGAAATCGCAAACTTCAAGTCCACTTAGCTCATTCCCATCTCTGTCGAAATTTACAAAATACAAGCAAGAGGTACTCTAGTGCATGCGAAACGTATTCTAGGCTTTAAAGATAAAAATTACATGCAGTGTTGCGGTAAAATTGCATTGCGGAGCGCAAAAGTTAACATTTTCGGTACTTCGGAGGGGGACAAATCTCAAAAACGGGGGGACAAATCTCAGCAGCCGCTAGGCAAACGAAAGTACTGGGCATCCACGTGATGTGGGAGGCACTCGGGATGACCTGGAATGAACGACTCGGGATAGCAACAGAAGACCTGGAGCAATCACGTAAGCCACTAGTGATGCACAACAGACCACTCAGGACTGCAGATCCGCCTTATCCAGAGTCTGTTGTCACTGGGTGATTTGATAGTCGCAGGTCGTGACGGCGTCTTACCCTAATGACCTATTGAGTTCCGTGTGTAACATTAGAGAGATTGCACTAATGACCGCATTAGACGCAGTGTACTGCAGGTACAAGATTGACGATTGCGTCTCACTACAACACCACTTCCGCTGCACCTACCTCGCGCAGGCTCTGTACCCATACGAGGAGCTTAGGATGACATACTTCACGGACATGTTTTCCCCGGATGTTGGACTGCGGAACGACAGCCGCCCAGCGAACCCGCAGATATCTCGTCGTACCTCTGTATGCAGCCACCAGAATAAGTTCATCGAGCTGCGGCAACACGGTAACGAGGAACAGTGGCACGACTTGATCGCATTCGAATCATCCAGAGAACACAGTCGAGCTGAGAATCGCCCAGCATACATCGAGGCACAGTGTCCAGAGTGCGCAACAGAGGTGAAAGATGGAGACGAAAAAAACCAAATGATGCTACCACAAAGAACACCAGGCTCGTATCAAGTAGGGACATCATCCACTCACGTGGGCGAGACAGGCATACCATCGCGAGGTGAGTTTCACGACCTGCTGGAAAGGCCCAAATGTTCCCGCCCTCGAGACACAGCCGCCAAGCCTAACCCGCGCGTCTTCGAAGAGAAAGATCAAGCTCATCGCCGTGGAGTACAAGCAAAAACGACATCATACCGTAGCAAGTGGCTAGCGATCCCAACGAGACGGGTTTGGGACACGGCGCGTCACACCACGGGTAGAGTTGAATCAGGAGTCCATCGGCGAAGCATGTTTCCCTTGTCTAGATACGAGGACAAACTGATTCAGTCGAAAGCAGACGGCGGCATAATCCCACAAAGCAGGAGACGTTCCCTACCGTGTAGCTTGTGTTGGGAGGTACAAACAGAAGAAGGCAAGGATACCGGGGACGCCTTCAGAGCAAGTGCTGGAATCCATTTTGCCGACAGTGCCCATTGTCTCACTCTCGCGCGCACAACGAACAGCGAAGAGAACGGGTTTCAGGTAGCTGCCACGAACTCAAGTCTTACATCCGATCCAGGGCTCGCTAAGCAGCAAGGTCTCTCCAATGTGGCCGACTTGATGGAGAAGAACAGCGACAGTACCCTCTCCAGTCGCGCAGCGGACGCAGAATGCCGTCGTACTGCTGATACCCTAGCTCCATTTGCGGGAGAGTCTGCGCTAATCGAACAACTGATTGCCGATTATACCTCACTCTTCGACAGTCCCTTCGATCCGGATGTTGCGGACATGCGGTACGAGCGACCACGAGCTGTTCCTGCCGTCCCCAAGAGAGATTCGCTGGATTCTATAAAGCAGCGAGACAGCATCTCAACAAGAGCTATAACCAACTCCAAGCCGGTTTCGAGGAACTTCCGAAAACTCCGTTTGGATATCCAGCACTCTACTCGATCCACTTGCAAGACACAACAACACCAGGAGAGTCCAGACTGGGCCTGCCGAACATCCCTGGCCATCGAAGCTGGAACCATTTCGATGGACAGTGTATACATGCATAGACGGGATTCGACACCGAGACACATACTGGACGCTATGCGTAGCCCAGTCAAAATCTGTCTACCAGACGGTAGGAGAGTGCAGAGCTTCGGACCAGGAGGGAGGGAGGCAGTCTACCCAGCGCCTTCAAGTAAGCACAGCTTGGCCCATCCTGCGGCCAGCAGGCATTCGGAAGGCGCCTTGCAGTTTGTGCGAGGAGCAGATGCCGCTCGTTTCATGGGAAAACTTGAGGGAATGGAAGTCGCAATCGGGAGAGAGCCGCTGACATATCACTGTATGCAGGTGGCTTCACCAGTAGACTTGAACAAGAGCCTGCCTGCCTTGCCTCTGCACGTGTACGGGCAGCAGGGCAAGGAATAGACTGGGTCTCAATAAAGCAACCTAGGCGAGCTTCTACCAAGCTTGGAATATGCGATAGCTTGGTCATCGACTTGCATGCGTTCGAGGCAGATGAACCCATCAGGATGACGTGCAGTGAACTACTCAGGATAGCAACAGACCGGTGTAAAACAACCACGTAAGCCACTGCTGACGCTACCTCACACAATACACGCTTGTCCTCAGCTATCTACAGCTTACGTGTCTTGCCAGCCTTCTTAGGCGCGGCTTCCTCAGCTTTCGGAGTTGTAGCTTCCTCTTTTCACGCTCCTCTACGATCCCACAAGCACGTGCCTCTAACCTTCTTTGGTGGACGGAGTAAAGCTTCACCGTGATGCTATAGACACTGTTGTAGATCGAAAACTTGGCACACGTCTCATGCCTCCTCCTGCTGTTTGTAACTTTCTCATAATCGCTGCTGCTGTGGCAAGTTAGCTTGTTTTGAAGGAGATACAACAGAGCGATTGACTAAGCTTCCGTGATCGCTTCCATCTCACGTAAGTTCTGCTGTTTCGACCCGTGCACTGCTTTCTTAAAGTGATGCATGGTAAGTGCACAAACAAAGCTCGGGCCAAGGTGGTCTTACTGATGAGTTTCTGCATTAACTCGGGTCCACTAGCTTTCACCCTCGTGATCTAAGCAGTATTGGTGGACAAAGAAGCTTTCATTCGTTGCTGGAGCGCGGCTTGTACTTGCTGCCCCCGACGCCACGACAAGTAAGCGTGTGGAGTAGACAAAGGATACTATTTATGGGTAGTCTCTCCCGTTCCTGTCCTCGCCACCCACTGCCTCCTTCATTGCTCAATTCCTACGCTATCGAGCTGACCCGTGTTCCTCGCGGCATTGTGTGCTCCGCCGTTTGTCAATGGAAAGTGACAGGGAATTTCGTCTGGACTGCCCGTGTCGAAGGAGAGGGTTGCGGGTCGAAAGTAGTTCTCTTGGCCGTGTCGACAAATGGATCGAATCGTAGGTCCGTGCGAAAGCCGATGACTGTGGGGATGTAACTACTTGGGGTGGGGCGCTTTCGGAGACACCACTCGTGATTACCACTCGTGATTACCTCTCCGGTAAAATCTGCAAAACGGCGTCGGAGAGAAACCGCTAGCGCAACATCTTCCAGACTAAACATGTGGCGGTAGCTTGTTGGCGTTGTGCAGACCTGTGCGGTGTGCTTCCTCGGAACGACCCTTGGCTCTGTCGTAGCACTACGTTCGTCTAAGTCATGTTCCACTGGATCGGACTCCGCAGACGTAACCCAAATAACTTTGCGTGGACGTAGCGACTCCAAATTAGTGCGCATCTATTAAGATTTTGCATTTCTAGAGCATTCTAAAGTCTGCTGAATTCAATGAAGAGGGACGGTGTATGCCAGATCTCGGGCGTTGCCGCTTGGTTCTACCCCTCAAGGGCTCCCATTCGTATCTCCCATAGTCCGTATAGCAGACGAAAATCAGATTGTACGACAAACGCCAATAGGGTGGCTTGCGCACTCCCGCAAACACATGCCCCTCTTCAAACTTGCTCGGTCGTAACCCTTCGTGCTGTGCCCGACTCCGACGACTTTGTGTCTTCTCCAAGCTCTGTTGTGGCCGTCAAACCTCTTTTCCTGCCTCTGGAGTCCCTCAGCCAAAGTATCTTCAGTCCAGGTAAGGAGGCGACGATAATGGCGAGGGCCAACTCGACCATGCTGAGGATGTCTGCGTAGCATCAGGGTCAGTACACGAGTTGCATGGATACAGTAGCGGTCATCAAACCTACAAACAAGGTTCCCCTGGCCCGTCCCAACTTTGAGGCAGATGAAGCGAACGATGCCTGTGACTATGGGAAGTGCTCCCATAGCAAGAGTTAGAACGACTGCAGTGGACGTCTTGAGGATGCCTTGTATAAGGAGGGTCGTGGGGAGCATATAAATGATCAGATAGCAGGTCAGGCCGAGCGTGAAGTTTAGGATGAAAGGCTCCTGAGCATAGAACACCGAGCATGCGCCTCTCTCTTGAGACCACTGCACAGAGACGTCTTTGCCGCAGAAGAACGTGTCGTCTAGGAGAGTCGTCGAATAGCAGGCAATGACGAAGGCAGTCGTGAACAACAAGAACTTCCGAACCGTTCGATGACCGGTAAGGTCGAAGAAGGTCCAGTAGAAAGCCAGCATACTGAGCTTGGGCAACCCCAGTCCGAAATCATAAAAATAGTTCGGGCGAACGAGATCTTGAAGTGCAGGTGTCAGTGGCGGTCCTTGTAGAATCAAGCGGCTAGTGTGGAGTAACTTGGCGATGAGAGTTGATGGGCGGGCCCAAACAACGCGTACCTTGTACAGTTTTCAAGTCTGATAGTCGTCTAGTACGCCCATCTGGAAAGTCAGGGTGTCGCAGATGATCAAACCCAAGGCGTCAAGGGCAGAGGCCATCAGCAAGAACTCGGACCAGTTTAGTCTCTTGCCTTCGCAAAAAGGTGCGCGTAGATGCGCAGAGCAACAAGCGCAGGCAACGCCCAAAGAAAATCCTTTCCCTGTGACCGGGAAAAGGGTTTGGTCATCGCAATGCTATGTTCAACCTGTTTGCAGTAAGAAGCAACCTACCATGCAGTCTCTGCCATCAATGATGTATCCATTGCAATGACGTGGAGTAGCCGAGCAGAAGATGGCACAGATGATGAAACCACGGGGAGGGCAGTGACCCTTCTGAGGTCAAGATCATGCACAAGGGAGATGAAACTTTTCATTCCAGCAGTGTAACAATTTTCGCTAGTCTTGTGTGCGTTTGTTTCGGCCGAGATGTCCTATTACACGAGCCACAGCTGCAGGTTCACACGGGTAGAAGGAGTCAGCAAGATATCCGACTAGCAGTCGTGCCTAAGCATCATTAGGTCTCCACGTGTTTGCTCGTGTGGTTCCCCAAGTGGTTCCCCATGCGGTCAAGCCGAGGCACCTGAGGCAGCTGGCATCTTCACGGAGCTCAGACCAGCGATGACATCGATTATAAGAGTTTGACTTCACCTTCGAGACAGTGAGCTCATTTACAAGTCGGCCGAGGCACTCTTTATATAACATCCTTACAGGCTTATGAACATGAGGATCTCTGCATATCTGCTAGCTTTGCGGGGCCTGTTGGGAGTCGTAGCCGGTAAACGAGCCCCAACAGCTTGCATTACGAGGCGCTGACATCTTAGACTCATGTGTGCAAACAGTCCCACTCCAGACCTCGGCTATGAAGAACTCTGGCGCCCCCAGCACAGTTCTACGAGCGATGGATAACGCCCAATAACGTCAAAGCCGAGTCCATCAACCCCAACTATATTCTCTGACAATGTAAGATTACGACTCTTGCGTTGGTCACCGGTACTGACCATCACGACCCAAGGACGCTTTTCCCGACACGCACCTTCGTAGGCCGTGAGTCAACACCGAGTACTCTTCGGGCTCTTCATGCCCTCAGACTCTCTGTCTATCATCGAAATCCACCGGTACGAAGTTATCCAGTTTGCAGCGGTCCGAACATCGCATCAGCAACCACGGGGTCAACTTTACCTTTCCAGCGTTCAACAACATCTCCCTGCCAGTTGTGATCAACACATGGATGACGTGGAACTCTGCTCGCCAGATGACGCAGTATGATGTTGTGTTCAAGTGGTTTGGAAACCTCTCCAAACTCTTATACTAAGCGAGCGGCTCTGCTGAGGAGGCTGGCGGCAAGACAGTAAACAAGATTGCGACATCGATCTGCAACTCGCATGAAAGATACTGTATGGCACGAACGCCCAGTACGATTTTTGGGGAGGATGCTATAATTTTCTGACAAAAAGAGATACGCGTGGGTCAGAGTTTGGGCTGGGCATGAACACACTCATGTGCCGCAGTGTACACGAGCTCATGGTCAAGTATCGGCCTGGAGTTCACTGCAGCCACATTGGCCCTACAGGAGGTGGAGAGTGCGACGACACAATCACATATGTCGAGAAAGCGGAGGAGCGACTTGATGCGAACTCGCCATGGATCGCTGGGGGATCATAGAGAATTGCTAGCAGAGGCTTGCGGGTGGAATACGTCTGCGCGACCCTCTGTTCTCCCGCCATAGCTTGTAATAGTCTCTCCTTGCGTGCGGAGGTTGGTCACACGGTGTGACTCACACCCTGCACAACTGCTATGGTATTGTCTTTTCCCAGGTGGGGCGTCTGGATCGCGCACGCTATATATAGTTAAATCTATACGATGTTTTTTTTTCTAGACGAGCGCTTTTCTTAGCCATCTTATGAACTCCAAAGCAAGCTCTCTCAGGAAGCTGATATTTGTCCCAGATAACATCTAAAACATTCAAAGCTTTTGGGTCTTATTTGGGACTCAATTCTTGCAGAAGGTGACTCTACAAATACTGCACAGTACAGTACATCACTTGGGCTATGTTCGTCACGCTTGCCTGGTTTGCACGACTCGATCCCGTTTTCTCATGGCCCGTTCTTGTCCACATCTCATCAATTTTCCCGTATCTGGTCGATAACGACGATATGTTGGGATGGGCGTCAAGCTACTCGACCACGACTAACTTGGTGCGGATGCCGAGTGGATTGGCAGCCGAAAACCACTTGGGACGCTGGGTCTACTCGTAAGTAAGACCAGATTCATTGCCCTGCACCACAAGTAGTATCTTTAGTGCATTCCGTCGGACGCAAGCTTCAGCGGTGACACCGCAGAAACACACAATACTGCGGCATGGCGTACACGCGCCAGTTGGACTGGACGTCCTTGATGAATCGTAGTGCGTCTTTGCCTCAACTAGACCGGTGGGGCGACTGCCCGCTGTCAACGGCGGATAGCTAGAGCACATTGTCGTGAGGGATGCATCGGTGAACGTGCGCTTGACACGCTGGCGTGCCGTCCAGGAAAGCAACTGTGTTTTCACACCTCAGCAGCAGTACCGCGCCTGCATACAAGGATCATCTGGCTGCATCTGGCTATTCGGAAAAAGCCTGGAAGTACACCTTGCATATCTGCGAGTGTTGACCATCTGTCGCTGACCGTTGTTTCGGGTATCAGTGCTCAACGCCAGCGAGCTCGTGGCCGTGCTGCGAGATAGCTGCTAGAACAGCGCTGCTCGCCTCCTCAATTCGGGTCGACTGGTGTTCTTGTGACGATAGGGCGGGCCGGTGCTATCTGTGAGCAGGCGACACTGTGCGTCTAAGCTCATGGGCAAGGAAGTACGGTTCGAGCTGCTTCAATCTGTGGTCGCGCAAGTGCACGATCAGCGACGACTCTAATCACTGTGCCCCCTTGCAGTGCCACATTAGCCCCCTCCCTACGTGTGCTGCAGATACCAGTGGATCTAGTGAAGAGCACCCCGTTCCTTTCGATAAGGCTATGCTAGTTGCGTAATGACCAAGTTTCTTTCTTGTGCACCTGCGTAGGTACGCCGCTATCGAACGAGACCTGCAAACGAACCTGTAGTGTGGTGAGCTGAGACGATACACATTTTTGTTCTGATAGTGAAAGATACAGACCTTCTGCAAAGCCGCTCCATTCCAGATCTTTTGGACGTGGTCTGAGTGCTGGGTGGTGAGAACGTGTTCATCAGCGTCTACGCGAGCGGCATTTGGGACGACGGCAAAGGCGCCCTCATGGAGCGCGGTCTAGTGCTTACGAACTACGGAGCCGAGAGGGGCCTAGAGCCATCAACTACCACTCGCCTTGACGAGATGACTGTGCTGGATGATGCTCCCAGATGTGTTCGACGCAGAGTACAGGTGGCGGGACCGTTTCTGCTTGCTTTGCTTGATACGGTTGGTCGCATAGCCACCTCTGTTCTGCTCGTATCCTAGATCCCAGGTCTTGTCCACACAATTTGGCCACTCTCTAGTCCTTACATCTACCTGTCATCTTCGCAACACAGCGGTTCTTTACGTGTTTTGCTTAGCTGCCCGCTGGAACAGTTCCATCACTCGCTAGTGGGTTGAAAGACGTCCTCGAGCCGACCTGGGAGGCAACTCGCTGGCTTATACGGCCCTAGCCGATAGCTGGAGACGCTTTTAGATCTCCATCGGTCACTGCGCTGCGGCTTTCTTGTATCGTCCATCTCTACCTCCAGCGGCTATACCCACAACCTACCACCTCACTCACTATGGCGAATCACAGCACCTCCTCGAACGTCGTCGGCATCCACTACAGAATCGGCAAGCAGATTGGTGAAGGCTCGTTTGGCATCATTTTCGAGGGCATCAATTTGCTCAACCAACAGCAGGTTGCCATAAAATTCGAGCCCCGCAAGAGCAAAGCTCCTCAATTGTACAATGAATATTGCACGTACAAGGCTCTCGTAGGCTGTTGTAAGTTCTCTCGCTGCTTCTATCATTCACCCTAATATCGCCCGTACGAGCAAGTGAAGGCACTGTCTGTGTATGGGAAACTGCCTCACATCATAAGGTAGATGGAACGTGTTCTGTACGGAACACTTTAAATGCTTTTCTTGGCTGCTCTAGAGGATTGCTGCCGTCCTACCGGATATGGCTTTTGCCAATCAACCTGATCTTCAAGCACATCAAAGACTCAACTAACATGACGCAGCGGGGGTTCCCAATGTCTATTACTTTGGCCCGGAGGGCATGCACAACATTCTGATAATCGACCTGCTCGGGCCTAGCTTGGAGGACCTGTTCGGCCACTGCAACAGGAAGTTCACAGTCAAAACTGTAGTCATGATTGGCAAGCAAATGGTGTGTAAATATAACGATCTCACCGTCTCCCTAGTCTGATGTATCTGTAGTTGTCAAGGATACAGGCTATCCACGAGAAGAACCTCGTCCACCGCGACATCAAGCCTGAGAACTTCCTCGTTGGCCGACTGAGGTCTGAGACCGCCAATTAAATTTCCCTTATGGTGGATTTCGGTATGGCTAAGCGTACCGTGCCCCGTGACAGAAACACACTTTTCGTAAGGGAACCGTAAGTCTCTCACTGGTACGGCGCGTTACATGAGTACCAATGCACATCTCAGACGGAACAGCTCGTAGAGACGACCTGGAACTCTGGTCACGTCTTCTATACTTCCTACGGTGTTTCTTCCATGGCAAGGCCTCAGGGTTTCTAACGAGCAGAAGTACGCGAAGATCGGCGAGATGAAGCAGACAATTCCCATCGAATACATCTGCAACGGCCTTCCTCGTGTGTCCCTTGTCTTAACTTCCGTCCAACACTGCTAACAAAAAACAGGCGAGTTCAATAGATACCTCATCTACGTCCGTAACCTGGGTTTCGAGGATACACCTGACTACGACTACCTGCGGGGACTGCTCACGGAAGCGCTCAAAAGCGTCGGCGAAGTTGAAGACGGCGGATACGACTGGACGAATTCAAACAATGGAAGAGGCCAGAAAGTCAACGACCGCCAGGGCACCCCTAACGCAATCATCGTTCACCACCGATCTAAGAAGAGACATTCGTCCGCCAAGCGGTACCACTTGACCGAGCTACTCCCAGATCCTATAGCAACAAGATCTGTACCTGGAAGAAACTGGGACCAAGCAGCGTCGTGCCAGGCTCAGTTTCAACACAGCCGATCGTACCTGAACCAGATCCAATACTGCGCGACTCCGTTACAGAGTACGAACTCTCAGCAATTGCGACAGGAACGAGAGCATCAGACAGAGGGCTTCATGCAGACGCTCTCCAAGATACTTTGCTGCAACCCGAGCCGCAGATAACAGGTTCGCTGCTCTATCTAATCTATTACATATTTGTATTACGGAAATCGTTCATCAAGCGGATTTTGATGCTAACGTCTTTTTTGTTTAGATAGTCTTCTCATGGTTGATAGACGGAATCGAGATGTTCTTCTTTTTCTTTCACTTAAAACCTAGGGTACGTGAGTTCTCATGTGTCCTATCGTTACGGGTGCTGTTTGTATGGTTGCAGCAATGTGATGTCTTACATCCAGTATATAGCTTACGATGTTCATCACTTTCTCTTTCGATCTCTATGATAATACCAGCCTGCATCTCACTACTTCACAAGCAGTCAATTCAGTTGAGGCTTCTAGATTCAAGCCCAATGCCTATGAAAAGTAGATAACATACCCTCCTCTTTAAGGACTGGGAAACACCTGAATAGTTCATATCTACAATATGTAGAAAAAAAATGCCTCCGCAGGGGCGTTCCACCGCGTGTTGACCTTGTAGTGACAGAAAATACAGCGCACATATCCCCTTCGATGGCTTCACACTTCGGTGTGCGCGGTACGATAAGTACGATTGCTATCTCACAGACTGGGTCATTGTTGTGAAAGATGAGTATGGCTAGAGCTGTACCGCTACAGTATCGTTGCACAGTACAGAAGTGCTAAAAGATGATTTTCAGGTCAGTCCTGAAGTTACGTGCAGTGAATTGGCACGATAGTCGAGCAACTAAATTTTCAGGATGGGCGTTGGCGTTTTGAAGCCATACTATCTCAGTCAGCATCTACCGAAACAAATGGATTTGCTGTAAGCACTAATGACGCTACCACTATGGATGTGTAGTCGAGTGATTGCATGTAACACCTGGGTTATGCCATGTGACGACAGTTTACATTAAAGCTTAGTCAGATTTTGTACCGCTTCAGGCTCCAGCACTGAGATTATGCAAGCACTTAGGAAGAATAGCCTCCTTTGTTCCGATCGTGTAAGCTGACCAACTCAGGGTCCCGGGAAAACGAAGAAAAGGGTTTGGGCCCGCTCAGAGTTAGAGTTGTTAGTATATCAGTACCAGAGCATCCACCGTTATTCCAGTCAAAGATGCTGGCTTCCATGCTCACTTTCGTCAAAGCTCCCCACGCTCCAAAGCTCCAGCGAACACCGCCACAACAAATGTGGGAGAACCACGCGACTCCATACCAGGCTGTCGTCCCATCGCCCCAACGATCTGGGAGCACATCTATCCTTCTACCTCGAATTTAGAAGAAGACAAATCAGCACCGTGCCTCATCATACTCATGACATGGACTGGCGCTTATGGTCAGCATATTTCCAAATATGTTTCGGAATATGCCACCATGTTTCCAACTTCCCGCATCCTCGTTATCACCACGTCAGCAAAAGACATCGTCTGGAGAAGTTCTGCCCGCAAGCGACAGCGCCTTCGACCAGCAATCGAATACATTTTAAGCCTCTATGGAATTTCACAGATACGCAAAGGCAGTATATTGCTGCACATCTTCTCGGAAGGAGGTGCCAACAAAGCCTGCGAACTTGGAATAGCATACCATGCCGTTACCGGCAGGCAGTTTCCTATTTCAGTGATGTGCCTAGACAGCACACCTGGCCACCCACGCTTCCTGCGGCTCTGCTCCGCCCTGGCGAAATCGCTCCCTCCGATACCTGTCCTGAAGCAGTTCGCCACAGTAATCGCGGTTGTTGTGTTGGGACTAGTATGGACTGCGTATCACGTTTTTAAGGGGTACGAGAATAACCCTGTCTCGCAGTCGAGGAAACAGCTTCTTGACCCAGAATTGTTTGCTCTTACGGTTCCGAGGTGCTATCTCTACTCGAAGAGCGATGCCCTAGTCGCATGGCAAGACATCTACGAGCATGCGAGCGATTTGATCAAGCAAGATGGATGTGTGACGGAGACTATCTTTGAAGCCTCTCAACACGTCTCTCATGCAAAAACCGAGTCGAGGCGGTATTGGGATACTGTGAGAACGGTTTGGATGCACAGCCAGGAGAGACATGAACAGACCGACACAAAACCTACAAGTAGAAATCCACAGCTACCCAAGTCCGTTTTCCAAGATGGAGTTGTTACAGCTCTGGCCCCTGTAGTGAGGGAATCGCCCGTAAGGAGAGATATCAGGCGGGAGAGTGAGAGGTATAGCGTGTTCGTCTAGGGCAGATCGCCTGCTGGCTCATACGTGCTCTTGATCAATCCCAGGTCTTGACACCTTCTACGGCGTGTTATACATGGCATGTTGGTTGATTATATTGATACATAAGTTTCAGAAAGAAAAATTGCAGTTGTGCTTGCGTGTAGTAGTCGTAAGGTAGTAGCAGCTGTATGATGAATGCGCAAATCGCTATCCAAAGCACCAAGTCTTTGATTAGGTAATATCAAAATGACTAGATGTTCACAATCAGTTCTTCTATCGGATGTTCAAAGCCTAACGCCAGCCTTTTTTAATATTATCTGGAACCTAGAACGACCCGCTACTTGCTGGAAAAGGCTCGATCCGTGCAGGACTAATGCAACCAAGTGCTAGGATCAGCACAGTACGACCGCTCATGTCGGCAGACAAAGAAAGCCTAATCACTAGTATCGGAGGCATCATTCAGACAGGTGCGAGCGTTATGTCCCGTCCTTTTGCAGCGTCCGCAGTGCCGTTTACGCGGCTTGCACGTAACCATCCGCCCCCCACCTTCGTTCCTTCTCACCTTGATCCGTACCCTGGTGTTCGAATAGGCATTTAGATCTTCTCCATCTTCATCTGAGCATTCGTCCCCTCGTGACTTTCTTTTGCGTCGCGTACATTCGGACGCAGCCTTGTCCAACGCCTCTGGTTGTACTGGTTTAGTCGCCAGCAATTTCCGTAAACGATAAATTTCTTGTCCGAGATCATCAAGTATCTTGATCATAGAAGGAAATAAAGAAGGCTGGCCAGCTCGCATCTGGCCGCTGGATGGACTCGAGCGAGCCATTGTTTTCGTAGCGTTGTCGGTTGAGTTTTGGTGCTTCACAAGAGCCCAGTAGTCCTGGAGGAGCTTTTCGCAATCATCGAGGTTGCTCTCCGGCTCCCATGTCATGTCCTCTTCAGACCATCCACCCCATTTGATGAGATAACGCTTCCGACCAGCATACTCGTCATGATCCACGATTCGCTCAACTGTGCATCGATCTTCTTTGTCTTCACTAAGCGCCCTTGATCGTTTCCTGGAGCCATGAGTGGATTCAATGTCACTCTGTCTGTCTTCATCTCTCGAATCCGTCCATGCAGACGGAACATCCCGGTCTACTGCTTTCAGAAGTGAAATCGATCTATCCGGTGATTGAAGCAGCTCTTGTCTAACCTCTGACTCTGGTGCGCTCCCAGCGTGAACATTCACGCCAAAAGCTGTCATTCCAGTGGAAACGGTAGGTTCTATATTGCAGTCGGATAGCAACCATGATACGTACGCATCTGTGATCGGTATAGGTGACAATCCGGCTGTGTTCGGAGCTGTCAGGGCTTCTAGAGAACCGTTTTGTTGGTCTGATTGCAATCTGCAATCTGGGTTCTTTGTCGCACAGATCGATTTGCTAGGAGAGGAGCGCCGTCGCTCGTCTAATTCCGATGGTGTGCTAGCGGCTTCACTATTACAACTAACAGGAGGAGGCATGCCAATGGCTGTGGTTTGAATTAGACGACGTTGGACTGCACTTCTCGACTGGTACTTACTATGGCTGTGTGTATCGTATATAGGAGGGTCGGATGTGTCAGTGTCCCCTGACTCCTGAAGTATCATTTGCAGGCAATCTCCGTCGCCAGCAAATTGGTAACCACAGTCTTTCATTAGGAACTCCCAATCTCCTATCGATTATTAGCAAATGATTTAGCCTTGTCCTAGCGAACCTACCTGGAGTACTGTCAAACAGGAAAGCTTCCGCTGCTGCATTTGGTTTCGCGGTATCTGCAAGGTCCTGCTTTTCTTCCATGATAGAGGCTTTATCTCCGACCTCACATCGACCTTGGTTTTGATTGAGGACAGCGGCGCCAGCATCAATGACTGTATCGGCAAGCTCATGTCAGTTGGGACTCGACAAATTGCAAGATGCATCAGCCCACGGTACCTTCATTGTTGACAAGAAAGCCGGACTCTGCGGTCACAAGAAGAGCGGGTGACTCCACATTAGAGATGTAAGGCAATTCAGGAGTTGGCCCTGGAAGGATACTGATATCTTTGATTCCTGCACAATTTTTGTTTTTTTTCTTGTCGCTGGACATGTGCTGGGATACCTTCTTCCTCGCGTTCTGCTTTGTAATAATTGGCTTGGACCTAGTCAATGATGGGTCATACGATACGAACTTCGTTTGATTGTACCCTTGGAAAGCGGTAGAAGAATTGGCAGGGAAAGAAGACATTTTGTAGGATTCCTAGGAGCCTACAGTTTCGTATACTGGACGAAGAAGGCTGGTATTCCTGTGAAAGGCTTCTCTTTCGTCTATATACCATCGCCAAGGCGGCCGGTGAATAGGCGTATAGGTTTCGCATGAACGACGCCCCTGGGACGATATGGCAGAGTGGGGACAAATATCATGGCCTAGAGCATGGCCTAGAGCATGGCCTAGAGCATGGCACCATAGGAGCTGCAAATGCGTTGGTTCGAGGAGCCATGGGATCCGGTCACGATAGTGCTGATCCTTCATTCCATCCAAATGAGCCCAATCATCGAACTTTCTGACAGCCACTATGGTAGGGGGTACGTGTATCCCGGCTTCGATAGGTTGGAGAATCATGGAGGAGCGGCTGGTTGAGACAAAATCCTTTGATTGCCAACCTATTGGCGCACGGAACATGACTGCTTGCATGAAATGGGGCTGGCGATTAATCTCTCGGACTCAGTTTGCCGTGTTCCATATCATCATCTTTCCAGGCTATTAGTCACATTGGCCACTCACAGCCCGATCGATGTTATTTTTGGGCCTTGGGCTACCCACTTCCTGGAGCAGGGCCATTCGAAAGCAGTGTTGAATTTCAACTTCTGGTCTAGTATCTGCAGAAGTTGGGCCTCAGACCATCTACCCGCACTCAGAGTGCTGCATGAAGGTCAGCCTTTACAGGTCTAGTCCATCCGACAGCAGGGGCAAGCTGCAATATGAGGACAAAAGGCGCTGACCTGATAGCCTGTTCGGGTCTAGACGACCGTGAGGTGCTCGAACATACTCGCTGGCTTTGACAGTGCGAGCAGTGTTAAATCTCGCGCAGGTTGGAAGAGAGACAAATTCGAAGGAGCATGTCATGACTAGATGGCGATGGGTTGGCAGACCCAATTGCTTGTGGAAGGGCAAGGACAGCCTCTTTGTTATTACGTGCAACGGTCGACACTAGAAGCAAAGCCGTGACTTCAGGCCTAGATAGGGGTGACTGCAACAGGGGCCGGTTGGGCGCAGCGTTGGGTCTGCGTATGGATGTGGATGCTGGTGTGCGGCGATAATGCCTCGTAGGAATTTGTTGGGAGACAGGCAGCGCTGAATTAGGCGATGCCATCCGGCGCGAAAGGGTGGGAATAGAGAGAGATAGCTGGCAGATGGGAAAAGAAGACGGGGGGGTCAGTAGCCTTTTATGGTAGGAGTCGAGGTCAATTTCCTATTCGGGCAGTATTACGAAACGCTGTAAGCCAAGGTTCGGATTACCCGAATAAGGTGCAACCATTTCCTGATGCAGGTCAACCATTTCCTGATGCATGCTTGCCGTCTTATTATTTACCTTAATATTAACCTACGCGCTGCTTAGCGTAAGGCTAACAAGTACTACGATAAGCTTGATTAATTGCCTGCCTACTACGCTGCTGCCTGCCTCTATCTATACTATAAGTACTACTGCAAGAACAGCTAGGTTAATAAGCTAGAGTAGCTTACTGCCGCTAACGCTAGGTTTCAGCGACTCTAGCAGTCGTATAGACCTTAGCGTATACGCCCCTAACCTCTACTAACTTTAACAACAACTGCGCGTAGTATAGATAACGTAATTAGCGCCTTTGTACGCCGTAACAACACTATGCATAAAGCAGCTTACAACGACAAGTACGAGCGCTAGAGGACTCAAGAGCTAGAGTAGAGCAGAGAGCAGTACTTAGGTAATAGTTACCCTGTCGTTTACTAGATATAGATGCGCTTAAAATACCTGTGTTTAAGCTAGTTTGCGATTAATATACTAACAATTCTAGCATTAAGCTACAAGTGTAAGAGGCTCTTTAGTAAGCTTAGCGACCTACTTAAGCCTAAGCGACAAGCTATTAGTAGTAAGTTGCTAGCTGCTCTTTAGTTAATACGATCGTAGATAAGAGCAGGCTTTAAGACTTATTATAACAACAGGGACGACGTACTAGATAAGGATATTATACAAGACTATAATATAGACAAGTGGGCTAATAAGCCACTATAGCTGTATACAACTTAATCCTTTAGCGTCTAATCTAATTAATCTACTAATTAAGTCGCAATCAAGCTACCTAAAAACACTAACAATTAAGCAACAATTAAGCGACAATAACGTCGCTAACAAGCAAGTTAATCGACGACCTTAAGATTGCTTAACTTGCTTGTTGCGGACTGTAGTAGCTACTAGTACTTTATTTTAAGGACCGCGACTATCTTGTTAACGCCGTAGTGTCCGCCTATAGGATTATTGTAATTCCTTATAAGGAGGTTCGCGCGGAGTGCTGCGTCTTCGGGTATCTACACTTTCCTGTTCCTGCGCAAGATACTAGTAGGGTTAACTTCCTACATATTAGCTGTCTTATTCGCCTCGCCCTCCGCTTAACGCGTTAGCGCTTCGTTTCTGTAATAGGCCTAATTACGTTCCTAAACTAGTCTAATGTGTTGGAGTAGGAGGTCTAGGGGTTCTAGTGCGAAGGCGTTATTGCCTTACGCAGCTTTATGCGCTAGGCTGTTTAGCGAGAGGTATTTGCTGTTAAGGCTTTAGAGGAGGCCTAGGGCTACATTAAATTTCTCTCCCCTAGCTTCGTAGGTTTCCTCCTCGCACTAGCATTCTTTGCCTGTAGGTTAAGTGCGAGCTAGGACAGGCGACTTATCGCTAGGGTCTAATAACGTGTTAGGGAATTCTAGCTCTAGAGCAAGTGTTCTAGATAGTTAACGGGACTGCTCTAGTCCTCTATTAGGGGGTTTGCTGCCTTATACTTCTAGAGTAGTACTAGAAGCTATAGACATCTAGATAGTCTATATTCGAAGCTTTTGCTAGAGGGTTAGTGTGAAGATCGTCCGAAGATGATCTAGGGTTAGTTCTCGGGGAGTAAGTGGGCGACGATGGACGAGGGGTAGTACTAGCACGATTGGTAGATCGATATAATAGTACGGGGTGTGTTAGCACGATTAGTAGACCGATGTAATAGCACGAGGGTTTGAGAATCAAGTAGTAACGTGCCCCACTATCGAGATGCGCACACCATCGAAATGCGCACGAAATACAGCAATCTATGTTCGCATGCGAATAACTCAACACCACAACAAGCTATCTACGCATTTAATAGCTCGAATTAATCCTCTACTTCTGCTGCATATTTCTTGCATGTGCGCTTATTATGTCCTGCCTCGCCGCAGTTCTTGCAGCGTCGGATACCTCCTGCACTACCACCTGCGCGCACCCTCTCCTGACGCCTCTCCACCTCTAACTGGATCTCAACATCCCTTTGCTCAACTATATCCTCTGCCTCTGCCTGCGATAGGGTTCCTCCCTTCTGGATTCGCTTTTCTTGCGCTTTATACGTTTAGATGCTGCCTGGTTTGCCTCCTCAAGGTTGGCTATTCTAGCCTCTAGCAACGTGTGTGAGTGCACCTTCAAAGTTGATCCCTTTTTGACCTGCAACACTATCTCAATGATAGAATCAGGTGATGATTCCTTGTGATCTGTTATCCTCTTGACAATCAGCGTTGTTTGAGCCTCTATCTCCCAGGCGTTGCTTGGTGTTTTAGGTTCCTAAGGGGTAGGCCCTAATGCAGGTGGTGTTGGCGTACGAGGCTGTACTTTAAGCCTAGATAACACCACATCTGGGTTATGTGGGACTAAGCCAGTTGCTTGAAAGCTTGATAAGATATTGTTCTTTGAGAACGCCTTGTCAAATATTGGCCTGAAGGCAGCTAGGAAGGCTTTCTTGTCGATGTGGTAGATGTGGCTGTCTGCCAAGCCCCTGACTTCCTTCTTGTACGCCTGCTTCAGCGGGGCAAAACAACCCACATCAAGTGGCTGTAGGATGTGCGATGAGTGTGGAGGCATGCAGAGGGTGATAATATTGCTTTCCTCACACAGATCCTGGAAGGCGAGCGACTTGTGGCTCTCATAGCCATCAATAATAAGCAGCCGGTGACTACCCACTGTGCGAGCCTCTGTATGCTGGATAAAGTGCTGCAGCCATGCAAGACCAAGCTCGTTTATTGTCCAGCCATTCTCACTAACTCCTATCCTCCAATCTTTAGGGTTGTGATACCAGGCCTGGTTATGGTTCTTTGCCTTGAAGATGAAAAAGGGTGGGATGGACCACCCCATCGCGTTGATGCCAGCAATCAGCGTTGCCCACTCACGATCGCCAGGCTGAACACCAAGTGGCTTGAGACGTCTCTCAGAGGCTGTTACTACCTTAACAGACCCTCTAACGCCTATCTGGAAGCCAGTCTTATCAAAATTATAGACGTCTTCATCTAGAATCCCATACTTGGCCTTGACGTTGTGTACAAGATTGAACCAGGGCCCAATAATAGCTGGGTCGCTGCAGAGGACTCTCTGATGATCCCGCTGTCTTGTTACCTGAGATTTGATCTCAGGTCTCCGGCGTACAAGCCTGTAGGTCCAGTTTTCTCCAACCTGGCCACCACTACGTGTAGCTAGTAGTTGGTTGGCCATTTCTCGCACATAGTTAAGCGTAGGGCGAAACCTCGCGCGTCAAGCTTCCTTATATATTGTATAATCGCCTCCTCTTCATGTCTCTGGAGTTTTGATCGGTTGGGTTGAGTATCGCGTCGTGAAGCCTTCCCAGCGCGTCGATTGCGGAGAGTGCTTTCATGTATATCGTAGCGATGCGCGGCTTGTCGCTGGGTAAGCGACGCGTTAGATTTCATAGCTTGGATAGCCTGGATGACTCTGTCTTCAGTAGAAAGCAGTTCAAGATTTGGTAGTTGAGACATTGTAATAGAGAGTTGAAAGTGGTGGGGGCTTGGCAGAGTGCGCATTTCGATGGTGTGCGCATCTCGATAGTGGGGCACGTTAATCCTTAGATTGAACTATAAGTCGAAGTTGAACACAATGAGCTGTAAGAGCTCATTGCCTAGTACTATATACTTAATGAATGTCCTACATGTTCTACATGTCCTACATGTCCTACATGTCCTACGCGTGGTACATTGTAGTACTCCGTGGTACATCGTGGGACACACGTGACTTTGTCCTACAGTAGCTTTCCGCCAAGACCGTAGGATCACGTGCCCTGCGGGGTGGCGTCATCTATTGGCCCTCAAAGTGCTGACCTCCAGGCCGACCCGCCTAGGTGTTTCCTGTCATCCTTTTCATACATAGATTGCAGGTTCCCTTCCTTTAGGTTCGTAACACTATCCCCCTCTTCCGCATTTATGTCCTCATGAACTGACCCAATGGTTTCCCGCAGTACCGCTCATCGTTACATCGTTAGTAATCGCATAAACCGTATCAGAACACTCGCAATGGTCGCTTGTAAATATTGCGCAAAGAAGAATTTGGAGTGTTGGATGTTGTCTTTGAAGAAGGAGTGTAGGAACTGTTATCAGAATGGTGTGAGGAGTCCGTGCGTTCTGGTGGAGGTTCCCTTGCCGGATTTCTCGAAATTAGATAAAGAGCTGGCTCGCTTGGAGTAGCAGGAGGCGGATGCCAATTAGGCCGAGGCAGACGCGTTGGACGCTCTGTTAGCGGCTCGTGCGAAAAAGGATCGTCTTTGTAAACAACGAAAGGTGTTAAAGCGTCGTGAACAACAGTGGGTTGACGAGTCTAGGAAGTTTGTGGAAGATATTAAAGCTCTAGAAGCGATTAACACGGTTAATCAGGAAATAGGCCTTCTCGAGGATGGCATGATGCCTAGTACTCTGGCGCTTGACTAGAGTGCTTTTATGCCGTCCGTTCTCGAGGGCGATTCGGGCTTCGACGAGGCGTTTGGTGCTTCGCATACTGCGCAAGCAAGTGTCGGCAATTCGTAAGGTTCGTGTCCGGTTCCCATGTATTGTCGCTGTCCAGATAGTCTAACCATTTGACTAGGTATTCTTTGCCGTTGCTATTGTTTCGATGTGCGAGGATCTTCTCGACTTCGAAGACGTTGTCTTCTTCCGTTTCGAAATGAAAGGTTTTTTGTAGTGGCGTTTCTAGGTCTGCTAGTTCTAACATGTTAATATGGAATCTTAGGTGGATTTTTGCATTAGGTGGAAGGTCGAGTGTATAAGTAACTGGTCCCTTCTGGTTTAGAATTAAAAACGGTCCGACCTTAACGTAGTTAAGTCCCTTGTTTGGTCGCTTAGTGCGAAGGTTCTTTGTAAGCAAATAAACTTTATCCCCCTTCTTTAGCTAAGGTGCCGTTTTTCGTTTCTTATTAACATATGAGATGCTTTGGCGTTAAGCCTTTTCGAGTGTAGCTTTAAGCGACTCGTGTACTTTCTTCAGCTCGTCGGCTGTGGCGATAGCTGCTTCTGTTTTCAGACTAGGAAATGTACGTGTAAAGAGATTTGGGTGTCTCCCGTGGTTCGCGTAGAACGGAGTCTGTCCTGTAGACTCTGAAAGCTTGTTGTTGTATGCCATTTGTGCCATAGGTAGTAACGATACCTAGTTGTTTTGTTGTTCGTTAACATATATTCGTAGGTAGGCTTTCATCGTGCGATTTGTTCGCTCGGTTTGTCCGTCTGTTTGCGGGTGGTAAGCTGTCGATAGCTTCCGTTTTATTCCGATTACAGCAAGTAAAGTAGTCCAAAAGTTCGAGGTGAAGAGCTTGTCTCTGTCACTAATGATTGACTTTGGTATGCCGTGGTATCTGATGATTCGATCCTTAAATATGTGTGCAAGTTGTTCCGCCGTGTAGTCCTTTCTGAAGGCAATATATTCGGCTTGTTTCGTGAATCGATTAACGACTAAGAGAATTGCGTCGTAGGATACTTTGGTGACAGGGTCTCTTGAGACTGGTAGGCCTGTAACAAAGTCCATAGAGATGTCTGACCATGGCGCGTCGGGCAACTCCATTGCCTGCATTTCTCTGTAAGGTGCGTAGGTACTGTGTTTGTTTTTCTGGCAGTCCGCGCATTTGGCGATAAAGGAGGCGATTTTGTCCTTTATTCCTGGAAACTCGTAATTTCGCTTGATGAGTTCTATTGTTCTTGCAATACTAGGATGCCCATGTACGGGGTCGTCGTAGTGTTGCGCGATGATTGCTTCCTGCAATTCTTCTGGTACTTTATGTGCGATTGTTATCATTAGGTTGTTCAGCGTTTTAGCTGGTCCTAGTGATCTGTCTTCGTTGACCTTAAGTATCGCGGTGTCGATGATTTCCTTAGTTCCTGCGATATCGTGTCTTCGGCTAAGAGCGTCGGCTCTGCCGTTGTCTTTTCCTGGCGTATATACGATCTTGAACTTGTATTGTCCTAGCATTTCTGACTATCTAACCTGGCGTTAGTTAAGTACTTTGGTGGTCGTGAAGTTGACTAAGTTCTTATGATCCGTAAATATCGTCAGTTCCGAGCAGCTTTCTGCGTATACTCTCTAGTGCTGTAAGCATGCGACAATAGCTAATAGCTCCTTGTCGTGAACGTCGTATCGTTCTTCTAGTCCTGAGAACTTGCGAGAGTAATAGGCAATAGGGTGCCATTTGCCTTCGTGTAGTTGGCTGGCACAACCTCCTAGTGCGAGATCTAATGCGTTGGTCTCGAAGCGTAGTAGTTGTCCTGCTTGGAATATGCGGAAGCATGGTAGTTCTATGCTTGCATTCTTGAGCGTCTGGAAGGCGTCTTCGGCTTCCTTGCTCCACTCAAAAGGTGTATCTTTCCTTGTAAGTTTGGTTAGTGGGATGGCTATCTTAGAGTAGTCTTTAATGAACTGTTAGTTAAAGTTTAGGAATCCTAGGAAGGACTGTATCTCCTTGACTGTTTTCGGTGTTGGCCATTCCTTGACTACCTTGATCTTTTCTTCGCTCATGCGTACTCCGTTGACCCCTACGATGTAGCCTAGGAAGTCCACTTCTTTCTTGTGGAATTTACACTTCTTAGGTTTCACTCGTAAGTTGTACTGGTCTAGGCACCTTAGTACCGTGCGGACATGTTTAACATAGTCTTCTTTGTTCTTAGAGTAGACGAGGATGTCGTCTAAATAGGCGACAACAAAGATGTCTAAGTGAGCTCTTAACACGTTGTTAATAAGTTCCTAAAATGTTGCTAGGGCGTTTGTTAACCTAAACGGCATAACAGTGTATTCGTAGTGTCCGTATCTTGTTCGGAACGCTGTCTTCCATTCTTTACCTTTCTTAATCCTAATAAGGTAGTATCTATCTTGTAGATCCATTGCTGTGAAGATCTTTGCTCAAGATAATTGATCCTGAAGTTCTGTGATGTTCGGCAATGGGTATCGATTCTTCACTGTAATGTCGTTCAGTTTGCGATAGTCAACGCACATCCTTAGTAGTCTATTCTTCTTTAGTACGAAGAGTATAGGGAATCCTGCTAGTAACGTAGAAGGTCTGATGTATCCTTTCTTCAGATCCTTGTCCAGCTTCTCTCTTAGTATTTTAAGTTCTATCTCTAATAGTTAGTATATTAGCCCAAAGGGTAGAGTCTTCCCTTCTTCTAGGACAATCTTGTGGTCCTAGGGTTGGTGCTTTAGTAAGGCTTCGCTGTCTACTACTTCCGCAAAGAGGTGCTAAAATTCTTTGTACTCTTTTAGGATGTCTAGAGTTACGCGTTTCTCTGTTACTCTAACTTTGTGACCTAGGGGTGCCCTTCCGGTATCTGTTGAGTCGAATCCTCGTGACTTAAGGCCGTTCTTGTGCGAGGTTCGCTTTCCTTTAGCGAGATTGTTGTTAGTCTTCCTCTTATCTACTATCTAGTCTTGTTAATGCGTAGGCTAGCTCGTGGTTGCGTCTAATCTACAGCACTCGAATAAGAACGTTTTCGACTTCTAGTCGATCCGCGGGTTGTGTTCTCGTAGCTAGGGGAGTCCTAATATAATGTCGTGGGTAGCTAGTCCAAAGACGTCTAGGTCTAGTTCTTCCTAGTGGTCCTGGATGCGGAGTGTCACTTTACTGACCTCGTGTGTAATCGTGGTTTCGCCTAGCATAGGCTAACCGTTGGCAACATGTAGTAGGTAGCTTTCTTCTTTCCTCAGTGGCCTTAGTCCGGCTAAGAGCACTGCTCGAGCGGAAATGTAGTTTGCTTGTGATCCTAAATCTACTAGTGCCTGCATCCGTCTTCCGTTAAGCTTTACTGTAAGCTTAAGGAGTGTAGAGGAGTTAATGCTGTTAAGCTCCTTGCTAGTTCCTTTTGTCTAGAACGCTAGTCTAAAAAAGACTTTCTATATCCGTAGAAATCTTTAGAGATGCAATGTTTATCGCATGCTGTGTTAAGACATGTGTGCTAACTCGGCTGGTTACATTCTAGTGCCGGGTGGTCTCTAATTAGGACTTCCTCTACTAATTGCATGTCTAAGGCTTCCTGTAGATTATCATAGCCGGGGAAGTAGTGCGCTGTGCGTTTGTCCTATAGGTAAATGGCGCATAAGTCTGTAGTGCAATTGTACTACTATTGTTTGCATTTAGGGGTGCCGTAAATTCGTCTTAGGAACTATCCTGTTCCTACCTTATCGGAGTAGTGTATTAGGCATGTGTTGTGTGCACATGCCAACTAGTTAAGTTTGACATGCTCTGGGTTTCGGTAATCCAACTAGTAGTGTGTGTCAGTAGCGCGGCTGATGTCGTGAGCTTTGCGCTTCTTTCGTTCTTAGGTCTTAGCTTAAGTAAGCTAGTCTTGCTTAGCTTGCTTAGCCTATTCTAGCTTTGCAGGGTGCTAGTTGTCTTTCTAGAAGCGGTATTCCTCATCCAGCTGCGTGCCGCGTAGCTTGCATTGCTGTTAGAGTTCTTTCTTAATTTCCTGCTTCTCTAGGTCGGAGAGTTAGTGTGTAGGTTCTTCCTATAATGCTTTAGCATCCTTATTCTACTGTTGTACGAATTCCTTGTGCAAGTCTTCGTTAATAGAGTGCATGGTCTCTTTGACCCACTCCTAAAGGGCCTTGTTCCCCTCTAGTGTGTCTCCTTTAACGAGAGTTACTTTAGGTGTTATACCTTAGGTACGTACTTCTTTCTCTAGTTCTAAGAATTCCGAATATTTCTCGAACTGTGTGTAGAAGTCGTCTTCGTCGTTTTCGACGGGTCTCTTGGTTCTGCCTAGTTGTCCTAGTAGAACATTGATCTTTTGATCTAAGTTAGGTGGACACTGGATTGCTGTTGTCTTAGAGTTAGTCTTGGATTTTCCCTAGATGTTGACTGCTCTGTTAATCCAGTCCAGTTCATCTGTAGTAGGCAAGAATTTCTTGATGTTGCTAGGGAGATCCTCCCTGAATGGTTCAACTTGTTGGGACAGGTTATAGAAGTCTTGTCGTATCGTAGCTATGACATCTGGTGTTTCGCTGGCGTACTTAATAGGTGGCTTGTTTAAGTATTAAAGTAGCTTGTTGATTTGTGAGGCGAGTGTCTTCTGTTGTTCTTTTGGCGCGTAAGGCGTTGGTGCTCGATTGCTGTCCTGGAAGTTGGCCATCTTGCCATACTTGGTTTTGTCGATTTCTGTGACCTCTAGGTCCTCATAGGACTCTGACTCGGAGACGTACTCGTCCGAGGTAGGTTCTTCTTTGGTGATGATGGTGAGGTCGTCGATTCCGTTGACGATCTCGTCTGTTTGTCCAGGAACGGTTACAGTTGCTCTTGTTACTACGTTCTATTCATTATCGCTGTCGGTGTTAGGTACTGCCCGGTGTAAGACGTTGAGTTGTCGTACGACCTTGCCTTGGCTACGGCAGTCCTGTTTTATGTGGCCTTCTTTACTACAGGCGTAACAAGTGATCTTCTTCTTGTTACCCTTGTTGCCCTGAAACTTGGGTTTCCCTGGTCCCTTGTTGAGGTTGTTGAGGTGCATAGGTTCGTAGCCATTGGTGGCGTATGCTCCTGGGATCCTAGGTACGTAGCTTCGTTGGCGTCCCTAGTTAGGGTGCGATCTTCGTGGCTAGTGCCTTGGTCGATCGTTCGTGTTTCCCAGTGCGCGAGTTCCCTGACTGAACAGTCGTTCCTCCAGCATAAGCTCATAGAGTTCATTATCTACTCGTATAGCTTCTTTTATAAGGTCGTCGAGTGTCTTCTAGGTGGCTCCACTTCTCATGAGTTCTCGTCGTACGGTAGGCTTAAGACCTTGTTGGTACATCCGCATTAAAGCGTTGTCGTCCTAGTCGATAACCGTCTAGTACTGTTAGAACTTGGTCGTGTAGGCGGCAGTAGATTTAGTTTGCTTAAGCTGCTAAATCTTTTATTCCGCGATTACTGATTCCTTAAAGGGTGAGAAGATTTCCTTTATCTTAGTCTTAAAAGCATCCCAATCTTCGACTAGATAGGTGTTTTCGCTATCCTCGATGTCGTTATCTATGTAGCGGCTGATGATTGGGTTGGCCCATTTCTCGGCGTCGCCGCGAAAGTAAGTGCTGGCCTAAACGACTTTGTCGTTTTCCTTAATCTTGTTTCCGCCTAGGTAGAAGTATTTGTTAACCTAGAGTAGCTAAGCTGCAAGCTTGGTGCGGTCGCTATAGTAAAGCTCGGGCTTGTTGGCATGACCAGCGTTTACTCGGGTCTAGGACTCAGTTGGGGTGTCTATTGCAACGTCACTCATCTTGAGGGTGTTCAAAGTGTGAAGATCGTCCGAAGATAATCTAGGGTTAGTTCTCGGGGAATGAGTGGGCGACGATAGACGAGAGGGTTGTACTAGCACGATTGGTAGATCGATGTAATAGTACGAGGTGTGTTAGCACGATTAGTAGATCGATGTAATAACACAAGGTTTTGAGAATCAAGTAGTAATCCTTAGATTAGATACGAAGTTGAACACAATGAGCTGTAAGAGCTTATTGCCTAGTACTATATACTTAATGAATGTCCTACATGTTCTACATGTCCTACATGTTCTACATGTCCTACATGTCCTACGCGTAGTACATTGTAGTACTCTGTGGTACATCGTGGGACACACGTGACTTTGTCCTACAGTGGCTTTCCGCCAAGACCGTGGGATCACGTGCCTTGCGGGGTGGCGTCATCTATTGGCCCTCAAAGTGCTGACCTCCAGGCCGACCCGCCTGGGTGTTTCCTGTTATCCTTTTCATACATAGATTGCAGGTTCCCTTCCTTCAGGTTCGTAACACCTTGTCTTGCCGCGAACGTGGCTATAACAGAGCCACCCGGCTAGCGACTAGCAGGTAAGGCTAAGCATAACTCGCTTATGCTTAAATACACGCTTGAACGCGGCACCAGACTCCACGTACGCATGTTTAGGGAGTAGATAGTAGTAGAGGTAGGGACTTATATAGAGTCCTACAGCAGCGTTAATATAAGCTTAGAGTAGTTACTACAGATATACAGGATCTTTCATTCTTATCTTGCAGACGACTTTGGGCTTCTAATGCCTATCTTTGCTAGCCCGCGTAGCAGCTTCGACCCTTTGCCTGTGCGTGTACTTTAGGTGCTACCTGCTATCGTTAGAGAAACAGCAAACTAGTGCTGCTCGTGCGATGCAAGCGCGTCAGCGTAATGCTGTCGACACGCACGCGTAGTAGGGTGATCTTTCCCAAGTACAGCTTAGTACCCAGCACATGCTCTCTCGTACAAAGTAAGAGATTCGCTGTAGCGTTGCTGATATGTGAGGACGTTAGCAAGACAGTATACGCTCGCCAATGTGTCTGGATGTTCATGCCCGAGCACCTTCTCGTACCGCGCCAGCGTCTGCCGGTTTATCGCCTCAGCTTCTTCGTACTTGCCCTGCCTAGTAAGCACCGACGCTAAGTTGTTCATGCTCGTTAGCGTAGATGGATGCTCATGCCCCAGCACCTTCTCCCTCCGCGCCAGCGTCTGTCAGTTTATCGCCTTAGCTTCTTCGTACTTGCCCTAGCTGTTAAGCACTAACGCTAAGTTGTTTATGCTTGTCAGCGTAGAGGGATGCTTAGGCCCCAGCACCTCCTTCCTCAAGAACGATGCTTTTCGATGCGACATCTCTGCTGATGCATATTGCCCCAGACTCTCTTAACAACTGCCTAGTCGTTCTAGGAGCGAAGCACTCATCGCACTATCTACAGCTTCAACCAGTCCAGCCACGTACGTCGCATGTAGAAGATACACACTCCATACTCCTTTTCCTTCATGCCCACCGTACAGCACTAGTTCCTTAGCTTAGGCTGCTGCTGTGCCTGCCTAGTCCGCCCGCTTACCGTAGCCTTCTAGCCACCAGATCAAGGCCATGTGCACTAGTTAGTGCATGTCAAAAAGCTTCTCTTTGCTAGATCCTAGCACAGTCTGCTAGCGTTCTGTAATAAATGCGTATCCCGTTAGCGTTCCGAGTGCTTTCGTCTGCTGTAAAATAGATCCTCCTAACAGCAACAGTGACTAAGGAATGTTAATACGATTGATGCATGCAATAAACAAGAGGTAATCTGCTGCAAGAGGGTCTTGCCTGCGAATTTGCTCAAAAGAGATGTGCCATGTCTTTGCAATCGTGCTATCCATACTGCGGTATCTGCTAGAATCTTCAAAGTGCTCGCTAAAGAGCTCAGCTTTCGTGCCAGCATGCTAGAGCAGCGATACGTACTCGGAGACCGGTGTATCGTTTTGGTTCATAAAAGCGGCAGCCTGTACGATAGCAAGCGGCAGGCCTGCGAGTGACTCTAGCAATACGCCAACCGCCGCCTCATCGTTTAGCAATGCTTATCTTGTCGTTCGTCGCGCTAGCAGCTGCCTAGCCTCAGCCTTGCCTATATTGTTTAGCTTAAGGACATTACCCTAAGTCAAGTCTGTAGCCGCCTTCCTACTGCGAGTAGTAAAAAGAATTGCGCCTCTATTGCTGTGCAGAATATAGTCGATCAATTAAGCGGACCCGTAACTTTCATCGTCTACTCCTAGCAAGACCTAAGAGTTATCGACGTTATTAACGACCATTAGCCAGTCGCCTACATTTCCTAGGCTTAACGTCTCCTTAACAAGTCCCTTCGTGTCCGCGTTGTCATCGCTAATCCCTAGTATACGAAGACGGACTCTAATCTCCCAATACGCAAGCTTAAAACTCTTAGGACTTATAGCTAGCACCCAGAAAACTAAGCGTCTAGCGTGTCCTGCAAGTGCGCGATACGCAAACTTAAGAGCAAGCGCGGATTTTCCACATCCTCCTAGTCTATATATAGTTATCCGTCAGTAGGTGTTAGGTAAGAGGAGGGCTCCTTCAATCAACTGGAGCTAGCTCTCTCGTCTAACGAAGAGCTCGTTTCGTAGGAAAGGCAGCGATACTAAGACTACAGGTCGTTAGCTAAGTGCGGTCTGTGCATTGCGAGGCTATCCGAGCCATACTTAATACACACCGGACAGGTCTTGCATATCTACAGTCTCCCGTCCTTGCTGCCGCTTCTGTATCTCATCTTAGAGACGCAGCGTCGCATACTCTTCTCCTTTACCATATATAAGCGGCAGGAAGACCCCAAAGATGCCGAGCAAATAGTATACTCTGTCCTCTTTTACCGTCGTTGTACGTTTCGCCGCCTAGCCCGTTCGCTCCTCAACGCTAAACTTAGTAAGCCTTTAGCCTCTAAGCGCATTAATAGGTATACTAGTAATGCTGTGTATCTCCTGCTCTAGCGAGATCCTGCTGCCTAGCCGCTTGCTATCTTAGGAGAAGAACTCAACGCTAGCTAGCGCGAGTAGCTCTTGCAGCGTCCAGTCTCGTGTAAACCACCAGCTGCTCTAAAAAGCTTGCTGCTACAATATGCGAAAGGCTTTGGCATTAGTAATCTCATCTAGCACTAGGACGTCTGTCAGGTATACATAGCACTTAACTGCGCGCTAGTACCAGCGAAACATAGAGTTGATCGCTGTGCTCAGCTCGTCGCTCTTAGACTTATCGATGCAGCAGGTGTCCACCCAGAAGTACTCGAGGCCGTCTGCTGCAGCTCTCTCGCCGCAGAAGCGGATCTTAGCATAGCCGCGCTTGTCTGCGCCTGTTCCCGCCAACAGCTCATTATATGTAACTTCTTAGCCGTCCTTCCAGGTGTACGAGAGAATAGCGTACAGAGGAGCATAGTCGTCGCTGAAAGACGTCAGCTCGAAGCCGTCGCCTGCTGAGAGACGCTTGAGAAGGCGCATTGTGTTCCAGCATGCTCTGTCTAGGATGCTAGCAAACTCAGTCGCGGTGTGTAGCACAGGCGGGCAGAGGTAAGTAGTGGAGGGCGGTAGGAGACGTGTCTGTTGCGCACACACGTGAAGCACATCAGGCAGGCAGTGAGCAGGCAGCTGATAAGCACGTAAGGCTGCATAGCTGAGAGAGTTCAGCTGTGCTTAGCCGCAAGCTTCATGCGCGCATGGCAGTCTTAAGGCGCAGCGAACCTAGGCGCGTGGCAGTAGACTTGCTACACAGCGACTTTTGGGGGCTAATCCTAGGTAGGTAAAGCGCGTATTTTAAAACAATACGATACACAGACATCTGAGCACGCTACTGCAAGCCAAGAGCGGCGATAGCGCTATGCCCGTGCAGACGCGTTTTGGCGATCTTGCTATCTGCGCGGAGAAACTACCGGGAGGCACACTACTTAGCTTAAATCGATCTTTAGAGACAGTGATCTAAATCTTTAAGATTTAGGCTCTCTTGCTAGACATCCGAGCGGTTGACAGAGATTGGTTGTTGCGAGTGGACAGGGGGGTTCTGTGAGGAGGTTGATTAATAGCAATGACAGATTAGCCTACAGCACGTCCAACACAACGCTCTTCTTCATCAGAGGTTTACAGGCTAGAAGAGTAGCAACTACAGGATCGATGCGCGTTGAACTTGACTTAGTGTAGTCGCACCAGCCCGACGCCGAAGGTCCGGAAGAAAAAGTGTCCCGGCACACGGGGCGTCCC